GCAGACTAGGCTTTGGTGATTCACAGGATCTTCTTTGTAACAACCACCCCCCCCCCCTTTTTTTTTAGAGGGGAGGGATCAAAGGAAAAGAGGATTGGAATTCCTAAACTACTTAGCAGGGGCATTGTGCATCTGCCCTTAGGGCAGTTACAACAGTATTCAGATCCTAATAAGCATCTTTTTTTGCAAGAGGGTGCACAACATGGGGCGAAAGGGGGTTGCCATGGGTGGCCAACAGGGGGCTGAGGGGATTAGGCAAGGGATTAGTGTTTGGGAAGTAATTAAACTGTTTCTCTTTTGGTTAGGGTGAACTGCAGGAGGATGAATAATGAATGTGTCACTCACTGGGAAAATTGTTAGCAAGCTAGTTAGTCTCTGGACAGCCTCCCTGTTTAATCTCACTTTTTTCAACAGAGAATGTGAAGGATGGGGGAACACTTCTTGACAAATGCACGTTATACATCCTTACAGAAGACCATAGAGCAAGGAACACTATGAGAAGACTGACTCAACATTTTGTGCAACTGAAATTCCAAATAAAATGTGAAGAAAAAAAGAAGAAGCTGGCTCATCAGATTAAATGCCAGAGTAAATACCGGTACATGTAAACTGTACATGTCCATATAAAGATGAGGCTCTTGTATCCATAGTTTTGTGTAAAAAATGATGAGAGATGGTGAAAGTTTGAAACCATCTTACACATTTTTGACTCCTGAAGTATGCCTTGCTAGCGATACCTATGTGACTTTCTACTCTCAAGTTTCTCGAATAATCAAACTTTTTGGTGAAAGACGTAGTCCCAATAATACCTCCTACTGAGTGATTTGTCTCTTTATCAGATGCACAGTCTGTGGTAAGCCTGCACAGAAATATAGGTGACAGGGCCAACTTTGTTTTCGCTATGATCACAAGTATGCTTCAACCAGATAGCAGCGCTCTTCCTGTTATGCAATGTCATGTTAATCAATGCTTCATTAGCTTGCTCTTCAGCCTATGAGCTGTGTGCAATTATGAGGTGTTAATTCTTGACTTGTTTGTCATCACTGGGGCCCATTATCTGCGGTTAGCACTCCTTTTGTGGAGTACTAGGAAGGGGTATACTCAATGTAAATACTTAGTGTGTTTATCTAATCTCGCAGGAACATTTTTGTGTGTCCGCTTATAATTCAGCTGTCTAACATGCCTGAATCATCAAGTTGAAAGCAGCTTCCTTGAATTTCTTGGGCTTGATGGAAACAAAAATTGAGCAAAAACAAGTTTTTGTTGACAGTCTTGAACAGAAATAACATCTCACAACTCTTCAAAATTTCTTATATAGGTCAAATTCACCGAGTGATCCTTCTTGTACCTTTAGCTTAGCTTTTCTGACTAAATGCTCTAGCAAATAATTTGATACATCTGAAATTGTAGGCCTACATGTAAGATTTTCTGCAGAATGTATACAATTGTAATGAGTATTATTTTACAACTAACATCCCTTGTTTCAAGCTTTGTCACATGTTAAATTGCAAGCAATTATTTGTTGGAAGCAGTAATATAGATTTTTTTTTAGGACCCAGTTTTGAGCAATAACAATGTGAAGGTAACAGTCTATTGATCTCAAATTCTTTGTACGCCAATTCCACAAATGTGGCACCCATCCATAAGCATTATTGACGCTTGAGTAAAAGAGTAATCAACACAAAAACATGAACATTTGGGCTTTTAAAAACTGTTGCAAACCTGACTCACAATAGCGCCTCCTATTCTCCTGGGCACGAATCAGGCAGAGCCAGAGAGTGTCTTATAAGATGGTAAAACCTGGGCAATATCGTGTGCATGACTACGGCGCTGTTGGCTGGCCGACTGTGGCTGGAAAGCCTGGAATTTAATTTGAGCTGAGCTTCCTTCAACCCATCATAATGCAGTATGCTGTCACTAAAACGCTCCCATAGGCAAAATTATTATGAAGTGTGGTGTAGCATAAAGGTGCAGTGTGCACATGATGACTAAATTCCTAAGTTCTGGATAAATAATGTTAGCTCTTCCTATATTTACTTCTTAAAAAATGCAACTGCTTTGGATGGGACTTGAGATTTGTTACGCATACAACTTACAAGGCAGAAGATGCATACAGTTGTCAGTATATAATTCTAATCATCTTTTACTGGAAAATATTGTTTACCCAAAGAGTTCAAATATGGACAAAGCCTCAGGCTCAAGTTGACCATTAATAGTAAAGCCTGAAATGCTGGCATTCCAAGTCATATTTGCGTTCTGTAGATTAGCAGATTAAACAAACACCTCATGTCCTATGGGTCATGTTTGAACAATGCCCAAGCTGACATTCTGTTTGTGTGCACAGCGAGTCAATCACCTACAGGTCAAAGTTCAAAGGTCGTCGTGTGCCCTTCATCCCACAGGAAAATAAATCTGCTCGGAGGATTACCATGACTTCATCAAAGTACCATTCTTAGAATCATCATTTGAGAGCTAGGCGGGCTTCATGTAATGTACTCATCTTCCATAAATATTGGGAAATTGGTCAATGGATGGGAATTATTCATCGCTCATCATGCAACCGAATAAGCATGACCGCAATGCCAGAGTGAATAATAAATACAGAAACTACACCTACCGGAAGGTATGAACATGGAGGAAGGTTAATTCCTTCCTCCATGGTATGAATGACGAAAAAAAATTGTCTTTCAATACAAAACGTTGTAATCTTATTCACCAGATGAAGACATTACATCTGGTTTAATGGTTTGAAGAATTTGTTAATTCCATCAAGAAGACGGCGGTCATTAGGCATATTTTGATGTCATCTAATCAGTGCGTTAACTGCATTCCACAACAAAGTCAATATTGGTTTAGGCTGCATGAGAAAGTAGCCCAACTTGAATAAGGCTACAAATATACACAAACAAAACAGGAAGGGCACAAATGAAAGGGAAAACAAAACTAATAATAGTGATAGTGGGGCAGATAGGGGAAATATTTAGGGAAATTGTGCCTTTGATGATAGAAGCGTGGCATTTGGCACACAGTCAGAGAATGTCTTAAGAAAGATATTTGGCTACAGGGCTATCGCAGATTTGTCCTTTCAAAAAATAGAATAACAAGCAATTTTCAGATCAAGATGGCTGCCATTGCTTGTCATTCTACCTATATTTTTTCAACGGACACAATTTGTGTGATGGCCATATACTGATATAGCCAAATGTCTGTCTTAGGACATACTTTGACTGTGTGCCAAATGCCATGCTTGTACCATCAAAGGCACGATCCCATCACCTATTTGCTGTTCTTTAACCCTAACCGCACCTGACGCTACAAAATACTACTAGTAGTAAACTGTAGTATGCAGTACTTTAGCATAAGTGAGCACAGCACATAGTATTTTCTAGTATTTGGGTACCTGCGCACATAATTTTTGTAGTACTTTGTAGTATGTGGTACTGTACTCCAAATGAACTTTTAGGGGGTTAGATTACTCAAAATAGCATCGCTACAGATTTAAGACTTTACCAGTTGTTGATGAAGAGTGCAACTGTGATTGTTATGCCATTGCCATGCCTTTTCCTGTTAGTATGTCGCAAAGAACAGACGAAAGCCCACATGGTTTCCTTATCTGAGACATGTCAATTAAAAGCAATTGTCTCCCATGTGGTTTTTATTCCTGGTAGGCATTCCAATGCAGAGGTCAGGCATGCAACTGGGAAATCACAAAAAAAAGAGGAAATTCAAATTTTTCCCAGACTTTGTACAGTATTTGTCTATTGTCAATGGCACACATGGGAAGTAAAAAAAGAGGAAATCAGCTGATCCGAGGAAAAGTTGCATGCCTGAGAGGTGACATCACACACGTTATGGACATGGAATGCTGCGGTGGATCCGTGGAAACATTGCAGAAACATGAAATTACACTCGTGCACATGCTCTGCAACTCAAACCACCCTATAATATCAGGGCTAGATGATGGGCTAAACTCTCACTAAAAAGTCTTTCTCTATGTGTACACACATGTAGACACTCAAACTACATCTTTATCAATATAAATACCCAATGCTGTTCTACGTCGACAAATATAAATTGTTAGTTCATGATCAAATTAATAATAAAATAGTCTGATAAAAGTTGAAGCTATTTTTTTTTTGGTTACAAAAATTAAAGAATTCAACCACATGAATAACATTCCGTCACTGCAACTTTTGCAATGTTGAACCAGATTTTACTGCCAAATTTTGTTTTATATTTCAACTTGGTATGCAGTTAATTTTTGAAACAATGCTCTGAATATTGAATTATTGGGTAAAATTCATACAATTATCAAAACTTGATCATTGTAGGAAGTTTAAGCAGGGAAGGCCCTAACACTTAGTAACACTACAGTATAACCCATGGTATAACCTAACAAATTTACTTTTTGTGTTCTATTGTAGTTAGTTTAGTTATAGTACATGTACTTAGTACACAAGTTACCATGGTTACTTCTTCTTTTTTAAGAATGTTGCATTCAGATGCCACTTTTTTCATTATATATTATCTCAATGGAAGGTATCTCAATGAAGGTATTAAAGTCATTGCAAAAATGTTGAAGAGACATGAATCTCGGACTGACAAGCATTTCCGATTTTATTAGAATGAAGGCGTACTTTGAAAATGCACTTGACTCTCCAGGTTCACTCTCCATACATAGACTTTGTGCACAACCACAGATATGCGGCGTCTGTTGGACACATGCTGGATTTTAGACTCTGTCCCCTTTTTTTATTTAACTTAAAATATTTTGAATTAAGTGACCCTCTCAAAATTACATGGAAAACATGTAATTTCACATTAAAATAAAATATAACATTTCTTCACGTTCAAAATTGTGGGGTTTTAATTCTACTGTCTACCCGTGTGTTGCTAAGCAGTGCACTTCGAGGACGCTATTCCATTCATCAAAACATTCCCCAAAAATGAAAAAAATATGTTTGTACATGTATTTCCTATCCAAATCCAAGCATTCTTACCCGAAACTGCAAAATCCGGGACTTCATTTGTACTAAATCCCTTATTCTGATAAGCGTCTCTGACATCGGCACATCCATTTTGTCCAGAAAGGGCAGTCGAAAATCCCGAAAACACAGTCAAAATCGTCCCCACCGAGAGGATAAAATCCAGGGAAAGCGCCATGATGCGAAGCGAGTCGTACGAATTCCCCAGCGAGTTTTGTGTGTATTGTCCAATGGTGATTGAATCAGGCCGAAAGCACGTCACGAACCACGGTACCCGTACCGGTGCGAGCGGCAGACGATCACACTGCCGCTCCGTACGACGTGGGGAACAAACAACAAAACTGACGAGAATTTTCCTCAGAATTTCAGACTTAATTCCGCCAGAAGATGTGGTCACATACGCCCAGAACAATCCGGTAGATAACTGGAAAAGCGTGTGGGGTAGTCTTCCTGACTTCAAGGCATTGGAATGGTGGGAAATGACCGCTGAATTCCGGAGTAAAAAAGTCTGATTTTTTTTTTACTCAAGATCCAGAGCTAGAGTAGGTTATTTTCTTCTGTGTACAAAATTTCTATGTGGCGCTAGCTAGCTAGCTGCGCATAGCGCATTCACACATGCATCGATTGAAAATGTACAGGTTGATTAAGTTGGGCTAAGCCATTTTTCAAGCGGGGTGATACGGAAATATCGCGAAGGCATTTATATACCATCATTACACGAATAAACACAATTGAAATGTGTGATACATTTATGAATACTACATTTTGTTTGTACCAATTTAAAAATATTAAAACAATATTTTGTAATTCAAATAATAATTCTAAAAGGCGTACTAAAAATATTTTCTAAAAACACCCCTTTACAAATGATGCGGTCAACACATGCTGTGCCGCTGTTAGTAGGGGATCAACTCCCTTCCAGAGCAATTTGACAAAAGAACACATTCATTTTCTTCCAATTTTGTATGGTGTAATTTTTTTTATAAGAAACTAGATAGTGCTCTGACAATGAGAAACCTTGTCAACACATTTTAACACTTGTCTTAAATATTTTACTCTCTTAACATAACCCTCCATGACATAACATAGTTTGGATCTTGCATTCCTTTGTTATGTTTGATAAAAAGAGAAAAAACACAATTATTGAATTTTTTTGATTAGTTTCGATAATATTCTGACTTATGGAATGTCTGGAGTTCATTCCCTGTTTAAAAAAAACTGTGACAGAAACCGTTCAATAAATTTGTAGGCAAATGAAAACTCCGAGTCGGCACTTCACGCACAGACCGCACCGCTAGAGGGCGACAGACTGATAAAACGGCCAGTCAAGAAAGATGGTTGCGTACCGCTGAGGGCGGAATGAACCGAGGGTGTGGGGACTGGGGATGCATTTTGCAAAGTTAGGGTGCCAAAAACAACCCCAAACAAACAACACAACAAACTAAAAACGACTCCCACAACACACACAAAAACAAACACAAACACCATTGCGACTTAATTCCGGGGGGGGGGGCGGGGTTACATCAGCAGATAAAATGTAAAAATAATTGTTACAGATTCTTTTCATCAAACGATAGATAATGAGGGAGACAATTCAGAAAACTGATTTCATTTCAACAGAATTATTTTATTTTCCAGTGTTTTTGTTCCTCCACTCTACTTCCAAGCTGAGCAAATAAAAAAAAAATGTTCTCATTTCTATGGCAAGTTGGCAACCATTGGTTTCCAAGATTTACATTCAAGCAGTAACAATTTTAGATTTGACAATATCAACTTTCATTGTCCATATCCCAAAACTTTATATGTAGCATTACCTTTGCAAAACTTACAAACTTGTTAAGTACCTTTAGGAAATAGATAATTTCAAATCTTCATAAATGAATACGATAAATCATCAACCATCCAATTTAAAAAATATATTCCATGCATCACTAGCCGAATTGTCTTCTTTGATCTTAAAATTTCATGCTCCGTTTTGGCTATAATATTCGTCCCCATATTTCAGGGAGAATTTATTTTTACATAAAATGTGGCAATTCGGGCAGTTTAAATATTTTTAAAAGTATCCCCGAAATAAATTAGAGTAAGCTATAATTGTCCTGATCTCAAGCGGTAAGACGAAGGTATCCTTCACACTGGCATCACTGAATTTAATTTTTGAAAAGTACTTAGCGATTGAAGAACAGACTTGTATACCAAAAAGTTATACACATATATATACAAAAGTTATTTTATAAACTTGCTGCCCATTCAAAGCATTATATACATATTAAATCTGATTTCTGACTTGTTAAAACATAAACAGGCAAATCATGTGCAGAAATTTCATTTCCTTGCATACAAAATTATATTACACATAGTTTTCTAATGTGGATAAAATATATTACCAAACAAATTAGAAATACCCTCCCCCAAAAATGAAATAAAACTGCAGGGTAGTGCAAAAAGAAGGGAACCCACGTTTGACAGCAATTTTGACCTGCTTGTTGAGTATATTTCAAAAAGTCAATTTAATGGTATTTAAATATTGATCTTTAAACATAACTGTCACAAAAGTGATGACAATGCATCTTTTGTCTCTGAGATATGGTAGTTTAAAATTTTCATGTGCCAAACCTATTTGTCCTGAGTTTGATTTGAAGACCAAAAAAACATTACACTAGACTCACACAAACAGTGATTTTGGTGACTTGCATTCAACTTAGCATCATAACACTATTCTTGCAAAAAAAATTTCAAGGCATTTTCACCACGTATGGTGGAAGAGCTATAGGGCCTACTTCACTACATTATAAAAAAAAACAGTTCAAATAAGATAAGCAAATAGGTTAAAATTCCTGTCAAAAGTGGGTTTCCTTCTTTTTGCAATACCCTGTATAATATTTCAGTCAAAAAATATCCATTTAATTAGTGCACTCCTTTTGTAGCTTTAGCAATCACAAAACAAAACACAAAACCAAAAGAAATTCTTGACTTGACAACTTAAAACAAACAAAACTGAGTTTCCACTAAAACTCACAGGAAAACATAGTTTTCAGTACAATCAGTACAATCTGATACAAATTAAAAAAACACAGAAAATGTACTTTGAGACTTTTCTTAGTAGCATCATGGTAGCATGCAGGAAAAGTATTTGGTAAACACACAAAGTACTACTTTTGTCTTTTACACTTTGTTCTTTTTTGCTATAGTACATTATAAAAACTCCAGCTTAGATTTTCTAAAAAGAATATTAAATCTTTAGTGAGTTTTAACTTCCTACCTCAACAGTCTGTTACATTGCAGCAGTTTGTGATGAAAACTTAAACCACTTGCACAAATTAAAAATGTTTCTATCAAGCAAAATGTTGTTTACAAAAGAAAAGACTTAATTTTATACTTGGCCATTCAGACATGATTGTGATTTGAAATCAGTGCAACCATTTGAAAAAAATATTTGCCAGTTTAGTTTAGAGTTTTTAAGTTAAATCATATGCCCATTCTCAAAAGAATACAGCAAAAGATCACACAACAATGGCATAAATACCGGGAAGGCATGGGGCGCGCCCCCCCCCCCCCTCCCTCCCGTTTCTCCACTCTAAATTTGGAGAAGAAAAAAAAACCTCGGTATTTTTACCAATAGTCTTTATACTGCCCAAAACCATCCCGCCTGGTACTCCTTAGACTGCCCCAATCCACCTCACAACTCTATGGTTTTACTGATTCATCAAGGAATAAGTACAATGTAATACAATGTAATACAATGTATTACAATGCATTTCAAGTGCTAATGGGTCAAACTGTGACCAAACCCAATAACGACCCCTATAGAAGAAGACACCCCTAATGCCCTGTCATCCCAGCAAATAAATATAGTGAAGCTATTGCGACCGTACTCTTATTTTTTAGGAACAGATAATTTCTTTAAAAACATCTTTGGAAGTTTTTAAAGGTAAAAAAGCAAGGCAAAATAAACAGAGTTTTGCAGAAAAAAAATAAAGATTTTTAACAGGCTATAAAGTCATTCTCAGTTTTGAAAAATGAACCCTCAATCCATGAGGAGTTTTCCTAGGAGCCTTCCTGCAACCTTCAAAATCAAACACTGTGCAGGCATCCAATAGCACACTCTTTGTACCTACCAAGTTTCAAGTGGTCTCAAGCCCCATGCAAAGTAATAGTGGCTGTGCTATACCTTTCTCAATCCTTCAAAGACCAACACTGTTGCAGACGTCCAATGGCACATTGTTTGAACTTAGACATTCAAGGCTCATGTAATAGTTGCTGGGCCATGCCTTCCTTAATCCTGCAAAATCCTCACAAAAATAATCCTGGTGGAGTTTTCATCAGGGAGGGTTGTTGGACGAACAAAACAATTCTTCAGACTTCAAAGAATTGGAGAACGGAGCTTCAGAAAACACTCAGCTCTACACTCGACAACCTGCTTATATCAGGGTAGATGTTTGAGCTAGCCAGGATTGTGGGTAAATCTGCATTCCTGGGCGATTCCGGGAAAGAGAGGAGTCCAGTTGTAAGGCCATTGCTTGCGGGCAGTTCCGAAGATGGTTGGTATTGGCTGACGCTTTCTCTGGACGAAATGTGCTGCGGGACTTCAGATGAGACGAGGTTTAAGTCGGATGCCGCGCTGCTTGGGGGCGGGGTTCTAGCTGGAGGGGGCAGTCTCAACAACATTTCCTTGTTGAGCGACTTTTCCGAATACGGAGACCCGATCACGCTCTTGATGATCTTCTGCGCCTTGCTCAGCGGCTGCGACTGCTGCAGACGGTCGTAGTGCAGACACGGCATGGACAGGATCTGCTTCACGAGTGCACCCTGGTCCTCGCCAGCCATCGCCGACGAGATGTCGCGGTAGATGATGGGGATGATTTCACGCTTGTAGTTGCGGACATTGTCCATGGTGTAAACGACGTCGAGGTTGCGATGGGAGGCGAGATAGTCTGGGCTGAAGATGATGACGCAACGGCTGCTGGTTTTTAGGATTTCCAGAATGTCCTCATCAGTATCTGAGTGTCAAAACAAACACTATTTGTAGTTACAAAGTCCTCAGACCATACCTACAACTTAGCCCATGACCTGCGAAATCACGCTTATCTAATCAGAAGTGCAAATTTTGTTCACATCTCTCTTGACTCAAGACTTGAATAGGCAGGAAATTTGAATTTTAAAATATTGATCTCGGTTTCAGAAAGTGCTGTTTTGCTGAACCATTTTGCTGCACACGATACAGTATTTATCAGTACTTACTTTCATCAGAGCTAAATCTAATATTACAGGAAACTTTAACCTTTTTCTTTTTAGTATGATGAATAAAACTGAGGGTGATTGGAGGAAATATGATAGTGCTTTGTTTTTCCATAAGATGGAATTTGCGTCGGGGTGATGCAAGCTCAATATTGGGTTTGTCCCTCACCGACGTATGTTATAAACACCAAATACTTAGAGTTGTCCCGAGTGCTTGCGAGTAAACAAAAAAGGATGCAGTGTACACAGTTTTCATAAAATACATTGCTGAGGGCTTAACCTAATACTGAAAGATAGTGCTAAATGTGGCTTAATGGCATACTCACCGTCAGTGCTGTATGACTCATATTTATATGAATTTGCTCAAACTCAAGTCCAAACTCGAGTCCACTTATTATGACTCGGACACAAATGTAGAGGACTTAGACAGACTTGGACTCTGAATTAGAATCAGACTAGACAGACCCAGACTAAAAGACTTCAACTCAGACTAGAATTTCAAATGAGGTGATCTTGACTTCAAAACTGCTCATTATTCAAAGCCTACACTTCAAACAACTTTAGGTCTCCAAAACAAAATTGGGAAGTAAATGTGCATTATTTTCTCTTAAAAATAAGAAAATAATTTGCTTAAAATTACCTCCACCAGGTAAACAGTCCATTTCCCATGAGACTTTGTAGCCACGTTCTTCCAAGCGTTTGACTAAGCTGATAGCAAAGCTTCGGTCTGTTTCGCTGTTCCAGTCATAAGACAGATACACGTCATAGTCCTTCGACTCTGAAAAAAAAAAAAACATGTCATGGTACAGTTTGAATAACAAAAGATTACATGGGTTTCATGGCCTGATTTAGCCTTACGGGGTATTCCTATATGATAGCACTGCCCGGCTCGCTTCACCAACCAACAACCAGGCCAATGATAAAGTGACAGTCAGTCAGTCAGTTAGTCAGTCTCAGTGAGGTACACGGATGCCAGCCTTCTTTGAGACCAGCAAAAACCTTTGATTTCACTTACCATCTCTTTTGCCGGCAAAGTCTTTCCATCTCAACTTGAAGTCAGTCCGGAAGCGATAGCTGGTCACCAAGACAATGATAGCGACCCCCACAACACAGGCCAATGGGATGGTCAGGTGCTCGTGCCAGTCTTTCGGTTGCACTCGCGGTAGGAGAGTTGGGGGCTCTGAAGACAGGAAGGCATTCAAGAAAAATCAAGTTATTTCTTCTTGCAAGTGTGTTTCGTCTTTAAACTGAAAAGAAGTTCAAAGAACTGTATGAAACTCAATGTTTTGGACAGTATATGCTCTGCCTGTCGTAAGGAGACATGTACGGGCAGGGCATTACTGTCCGAAAATTGAGTTTTCGACACCGGTTCTTTTCAGGACCACACAAACTCCAAACGAGACAAGACCAGCCTAGTAAGCTTGGTCCAAGAGTACACAAAATTTTATTCAATCCAATCAGATGTGAATAACAGCGCATTCTGATTTCAAAGTGAAACAATATCTACTTCTCAAAAGGCAGGTTCCAACCAAAACCGCATCTTTCCATATTTTGAGGCTCCTTTTGGCCCATTACCAGTGACCCCTTGGGTCTAGTAGCCCAACTCACCATAGCTTAACTCCAGAAATTTCTCAGTTTTATCAGTGCAACTACTGTAGACAGTCAACCGGTACGTGCCAAAGGCGTCCTGGCTGATATTGTTGGTCTCAAGCATGAAACCAAACAGAGAGTCGCAGTCGGTGTACTGACACTTTGCCCTGAAAGTTTCGATAAAGTTATGAGTTGACAACCGGTTCTATTTTCGAGAGAACAAAATACGGATATGGAAGTTTCTTTCCTGTCTCTTTATAGTTTTGAAAATTCTGCGTGTACTCCTAAATACCCGTTTCCCCTAAGAGTGATGATGTAATGCAAACTACTGGTACCTAACCATCAGATAATAATAATTTGAACTCATTTTTAATGATAGTTGAGCAGCAAATTAACAAGATTTTAGAGGTAACGGGGTAAGGAGAAATGTCACACTTTGGACCCTTAATTTACAAAAATAACCCATATATGAATACCATTACAATCGGAAGCTGACAATCACTTTCAACCACCATCATACTGTACAATCTTTTGTACTCCCGTTTGAGTTGATTATATTGTTTTATAATTATTAATACTGCTTAATACGGATGTTTATTAGAGGGACCATATGCGTTTACGTGATGAATTACCGACGGAATACTACATCCGTTGATTCCCAGATTAAACATCATTGTGTAAAGATGGCTTTGCATGAAATTATGTCTCGGAAATTCTTTCTGTGATATCCAATCGTGGACAGTCATTTCAGTTGGCCTGTCCGTGATAATCATGGAACCGTGGGTGTCTGTAGCTTACCCATTTTCAGCCATTTTTTCCAGTGGATACTCGGTCTCATTGAAGGTTGTGCCCCCAGTCATCTTATACAAGTCCACATATCCGTACCTCAGATCATCAATGGGGGCGGACTTGTTCACCATTGTCCAACTGCCGTGGCTGTTTCCGCAATCCTGCTTGGGCACCAAGAACTCACAGTAGAAGGTGACGCTGCCTCCGATGTTGGCTGTTGCGTTGCTGCAGCTCTGATGCTGAAGGTCGACGGGTTTTTGCGACGTTGAGCTCTCTGGAAAAGAAACATTCAAGAAAACTCCACTTCAGTTGAAAAAATCTGGGGAAAAAAGAGCACTTCAGAGGTGAATGAGACTTTCTACAGAGTTTTTGAAGTTACAAACCAAGAAATTTAGCTGCGCTGATATGAGGAAAACTGGGAAGTCCCTCAGGCCAAAACAAGTAACCAGGACATAAAGCTGAAATCAGCCAACAGCAATTTTAGTATTCTTACTGTTTTTATGGGCACTATCAGACAATAGGGGGAGCTTTTCCTGGCGGTAAAATTGCCAACATTAAGTGCAAACTTAAAAAAATAATAAAAGGCCACTCCTTAAATAACGGCGCTCATGAAAAAAAAGGTCACTTGTGAAAAAAGGTACTCTTTACCAAATCTTTGGGGGTAAATAACCCCCCCCCCCCCCAACCCTGGCTATGCCACTGCCACAGGCTGGGACTGAAAACTCATGACATTTGTAGAGTGGTGGTTGGTCGGGAAATTTACCCCTTTACCAATAGGCGATACCATCTTCCGGATACCAACAGTAACAAAGTAGAAATATCAAGCAATTTCACAGCTTCAATTCAATCAAAATATGAAGTTTTGAATTGCTGCAACAAGTGAACTTACTCCAATAACCTTAGGTACATATCTGTTTATACCCCCCCCCAAAATGAAACCCCTCTTGTATGAGCAGGATGCACTTCAAATAGGCAACAGGAAATTTTTGGACGTGGCTCACGAACAACAAGTTTAACCACATCAGCAACACATGAAAATAGACCACATTTTAGAAAAAAAATCTACACAATTTCTGATGTGGCTATGTGCGTGTGAACAAAAGAATCGTGCACAATTTCTGGCGTGATTATGTGTGCGTGTGACAGACAGGTTTAACAAATGGGGGAAAATCCCACACCTGCCCCGGCCCAAGCAAACCACCCAAGTCGGCCGATTATTCTGGCATAAAAATCAAAGATAAAGGTGCACAATGGTCTCAACACAAAAGACTGAACAATTTTTACAATGGAAGACCAAAGTCGCTGTCTGCCAACGATAAGCTTTTTTTTTTTTTAAGTTCTGTACCATGTGCAATAACAAAAATTATAAGTTGTGTCAAAAGTCACATAGTACATGTATCTCACAGAAGATCCACGAATGCGGTTGAGATTATTTGCACCGGGCAAGGGTCGTTTGCATGGGTCATATCAAGGGCTTAAAATGACAAGTTTGTATAAATACACTCAACTTGTCAAATTATGCAAACATTTTAGTGGGGCAGATAGGGGAAATATTTGGGGGAATTGTGCCTTTGATGATACAAGCATGGCATTTGGCACACTGTCAGAGTATGACGTGAGAAAGATATTTGGCTATAGGGCCATCGCAGATTTGTCCTTTGTATAGAATAACAAGCAAATTTCAATATGTTCAAAATGGCTGCCATTGCTTGTTATTCTACCTTTATTTTTATTTTTAGTCGGTAGAGATGATTGTTTGAACTGGCCAAACATGGGACTTCCAATTTGATGTTGGTAATTTGATAATCAGTAGCCGAACCAACCACAAAACTACCGGGCTAGTTGGGTCACAGAAAGTACCAAACCCCTAAAATCACTGAAATGTTCAAGCTTCGTTATCACTTTATGCACACACTTCAGAAGATAATGAATTAAACTGCTGCAAACTGTACTAGAATGACCTGAAATATACAAATCAACAAAATTACTGCACTTGACGTTTTGGTCTTAAGCAAGACCTGTCTCAAAAGGCAAAGGCAAAAGGCACACACACCTATGACGATTAAAGTCACCCTCCGCGTGATAGTCGTCTTGCCATCTGATGCCATGCAAGTATAGACCCCTCGGTCTGCCTCATCCAGACTCTTAAATACCAGTGTCTGGTTTCGGTCTCTCAGCTCCACATTCTTGGACAGGTTGAGTGACTGGCCGCCCTTCGTCCACTGGATGTTGCAGAAGTTGCGAGCTCCACAGAGAAGTTCGGTGTACTTGTGCCTGTACCCTAGTTGCTTCAGGTCACTTTCTTCGAAACCCAAGTTTCCGTTATCTATAGGTTAAGAATAAAAAAATTGCCTGTAAAAAAGGACATTCATCATGCAGCAGTATGTATCAACGAATTCTGCATCAGACTTGAGTTGTCCACCACCGTCTAGGAAAGCGCAACATATTTGATCAAACTGCCTAATTTTTGTCGCAAGTCGTCAGAGAGCTGATTTTCACAAATCTTGCGCAATTTCAATCAATATATAGCCAACAAAAAGTCAACATTTTCACACCTGCATATTAACATGTCAGTGATCTACCGGTATTTATTAAAATGTAGAGTAGAAAATGCTCTTTCAGATATATAAATGAAACTAAGAAATGTCAAAAATATCCTTAATACTCATTTTTTTTGCAATGTGGTCACATACTTGTGGTTTTGTGCAAAATTAACATCCGCAAAAGACGGATATTCATGTTTCCTTTATTTCAGAGTAATTTTCTTTCTCTAACATGGGAAAATTTATGAAATTAATAAAAAGGGCCCAGACTTTTAAAATGTCCATTTGGGTTTCAGTGAAACAGTTAAGGCAAGGGGCAAACAAAGACAAACATCATTCAAAAACATGAAATAAAGGATTACATTTGTACGTGTGTCTCAAAAAACCTCGACTGGTAAGAATCCATGCTGATTAGTATAATGGGGGGGGGGGGGTGTTTCGTTCAACGACCCCCCCCCCCCCCCCCCCCCCCCCCCCCCCAGCGTACAAGCCTGATTAGTATAATGGAAAGACAATGATATACAGTTGTTCACTGTTGCATGCAGTCAGAGTACAGTTTATGTGCCAGGGGAGACATACAATGTATTAGTTTCATTTTTCAATTATCTTGACAGATTCTGGCTACAAGCGCATAATTCATGCCTTGGACATGTCATGCTTCATTTGATGGTTCATTTCAGCAAATCATTGAGACAGCTTTCCTGTGCCTGGGAATTATATTAATGGTTGTCTGATAAAAAAAAAAACCTTAAAAAAAACCCAAAAGTGTGTTTTTTTAATTTCAGATAAAATCAAAAGGTGGGCTGATGCAAAAAGTCCACTAGAAACTTGACCATCAAATTTGACGCTTGAAAAGTCAACATAAAAACTCTAAAAAATCAACTCCAAAACTCCAAAAGACAGTTCAAAACTCAAAGAAAGACCTCACCCCAAGGTAAATGTTGCAAAGGATTGTTAGGGCTGTGTCAGCTTCGCGTATCTGATAGTATTTCAATGTCAAAACAACAAAATTCACTAAGTCAATATCCTTGACTTGCATGTACCACATGAAGGGGTTAAAACCACTAATATTATTACACCTGTACAACAGCAGGACAGTCATTTAGAACACCAGAAATACACCACTGACGGAACGGTGTACTTCCTGGTAAATGATGAGTCACCCACTGATGTGTCCAAAAAAGTATGGTCACTTGACATGACAGGATAGCTCAGTTGGTATACAGGGGGGTCACAGGTTCAAATCCAGGGGTCACAGGTTCAAACCCCGGCCACTCCAGTCAATTTCTTTGTTCAATCTTTGGAGAAGTTTGCCCTTTGCGAAAATCGAAATGTTTGACAAAAATAATCCTGGCGCGAAGTGGTTATTAATAAACTGCTATGCCTCCTGCCGCTGTGGTAATCTTGAATACAGACACAGCTGGCTATGGGCTCCATTTTGTAAAGCAGGTAAGGCAGAATATGCTGCTTAGCAACGTTTATGCGCTAAGCATAATTCGGCTGAGTACCAGTGATTATAAGCAATATGCACTGCATGTCATTTTGGCTGGTAACCTGTTTCTGCTAAGAAAATATTTTTGACGCTTAGCAAATTTCTGTGCTTAGCAACTCCCTGAACTTGGACCCTTAATGTTATCTCTGTTGATTGATATGTACCACAGTGAGCATATGCCATACCAAGATTTGACTTTTGATGGATTACCAGACAGCAACCAGATATGGACACCACAGGGGACTGCTAATAAAATTCATTCCATAGTCCATACATCAAAAAAATGCCAACCAACTAATGGTTTTTCCATATATACAAATCCTCAGTCAACACGTATCTAATTTCTTTTTGTGAAATGACAAACTACATTTATACATGTACATTTTGGGGCAGCAAGTTCACTTCAGCTGAATATAACTGGATTTTGTTTTTATAGTTGAATGACCCTGTATTTCTTTTTCTGCTTAATGCAACCTTTCTTCTAGGACAGAAGGTTGGCGTGACAAAGTTCCTTCCTGACTTCACGTATCACACGTGCCGGAATCGACAGGGTAAAAATGGTTCTTTGTACTATTCATGCTACAAACAGGTGTTGGAAGTGTATAGCCCATGTGATGGGAGGTTTTTGAAAGGGACTCATTGAAATACATTTCTGTGTCTTAGTTATCTTCATTTTCAATCTTTGTATTGCAGTTTTATATTTGTATTGGTGTATATTTGGGGTCTTATAACACATGTTTGGGTGACAGAGCAGATGGTTTTATTTAACAACAGTTTCTATTAGCTTTCGTGTTAACAAAAGTTTCTATTAGCTTTCGTGTTATCAAAGGTTTCTATTAGCTTTCGGTTGGCATAATTGCAAGTCCATTGGTCCAACAAGTCAACTTGTCTACTTGTACTTGTATTGTGCCATAAACTACATTACAAGTGCATTTCACGTGTGTAACACTTGTGAAAGTACACACTATATTTAATTGGTTTTTATTTCATGGTCTGCTTTTACTGGTATTGGTTTTAGTTTTGGATAATGTTACCATTTCCAGTGGTTCTTGGACACATTGGAAATCTGACACTGCAGAATTTTTTTAAACAGGACATGCGTTCACACGATTCTTGGACGTTATTTGGAAATCATCTGACATTGCAGGACTGTCTAAAACAGGATTACGCTTCAAAAACTTCTTGGTACAATAAGCAGGAACCCATACAGGAACTTTAGTATTAAAAGTCCCTTCACAAAAGCAGAGTGGCCTTGTATCTCTGTGTGAGAACCCTGTTAAAAGTACTGTTCATTTTCCTGCCTAAACAGGAAAAAGGAGATATACATAGAATTGTTGTTTTGAAACACAATACAGCTTTGGTTGTCATGGTTGTACACACAATGTGCAATCTCTTTTCAAAACTTTTCCCCCTTTCAAAATCTCTGATTATCCAAAATGAATTTCCTTAATGACAGTGGGTGACTCATAATTACTCGGACAATATTTTTCCCCTATTTTTCCCCTATTTTTTTTTAAATGAATAACAACATATCAAATTTTAGTTTGCAAGTAAATGTGTATTGTACGGAAGCGTTATAAATGGGACATAATACAAACTAAAACAAATTGTGAAACATAATTATGAGATGTAAGTCATAATTATGACTTTTTTGGTATTATGTCCCATTAACGCTTCCGTAGTATTGGCTAAATGCATGTACATGTACATTGTAAGACGACGAATGTAAGACAAAATCAATTTAGTGGTTTTTTTTTTTAAATGTAAACACATGATGCATAACACTAAAGACTTATTTATGGACATCAAATTTACCTGCAAAGCTTAATATTTATACGACACGTACATGTGTACTTTTTCTCGCACCACTGAACACATCAGGTCATGTTTTGTACAGAACTGACGTACTGCACGAGGAACTTTTGTTGAGAAACTACGTCATCATGACCATATCCAGAAGACAGACATCGAAAGCGAGATGTAGCCTTGGGTCTCCTTAAAAGAGCACAAAGCTTTGATTTCCCTGGTGAATACACTGTAAGTCTCTTCACAAAAAGCAGAATTGGCCTTGAGTATCTGTATGTGAGCCCAGTCAACAAGAACCATTTTTTGTCCTGCTAAAACAGGAAACAGAGTGGGAATTTGTGGAATGGTTTTTAAGCTCTGGCAGGAGTTTTGTCACTTCGTGGTTGGTCGGTCGGTAAGTCGTCGGTCGGTAGGTCTGTTCCCGGAAAATTGACCAAAAAACGGGCCCCCTAAGTTTCCCATAAAATATAACTACCAATTGACCACAAATTGACCAAATGCAATGCCGTCGTCAATAAATGCACTCTTGGCGAAAGTACTCAGAACATGCTTCTTTGTCTTGATTGATGCAAATGCGCGTCTATTTTGCATATGAAGTGAGATATTCCAGAACTGGGCCAGAGCTTACTGTGCACTTGCGCTCGTTTAAACACAATACAGCTTTGGTTGAACATCCTAAGAAAACTTGAAAATCTATGGGAGTGGCATATATATACATGTATCAATGAGTAGTTAAAGGATTTTGCATAAATGTATGTGTCTCTGTAGTGAGTCTTGTATGGTCGGGAAAAGAACTGGTTCACTTTTACATTTTCAATTTTGTGTCCTTAGGCCAAAAAAAAAAAGTCTCCGGTTTCTGGTATGCGCGCGCGTCGCCGTAGCCATGCGCGTCGGCAAAATGAAAAAGGTTTTTTTTCAATGAAAGATGATGTCTCAAAACCGCCAAACTCACTGGTTTGACTGGAATCCTGCTGCTGCACAATTTTAACATGTTTTTAGATTGGGTTATGGTCGAGAATAAGCTTTATGTGGCCTCTCTGGACTCCCATACATTTGCACTAAGTTTAGTCGGGCACCATTTGCAGTCATCAGCCGACATTTGAAGCAAAAAATCAGGTAAAAAAAAAAAAAAAAGCCGCGTCGCCGCACCACATTTTGGGCAAGCTCCATACCAGAAACCGGAGACTTTTTTTTTTTGGCCTTATTTGGTTCGAAAGTATGTAAATGTGAAAGATACAGTATATAACAATCTGCTCAATTTGCTGACTGCCATGTAGGCCTACTGTACTCAATCAATTTACTACTTCAGCATAAGAATACACAAACACCCCAATTAACCACAAAAACAAACAAACAAACAAACAAACAAACAAACAAATAAATAGATGTATGAGACACTTGAGAAGTTACATAAATATGCACACACACACAAATGGTCTAGCAAAGAAAATTGCATAATGTTAAAATCAGTTCACACAGTTAGTGAAGTACCTCTTTGGTTGTGTAGCTGGCACACGGCAGAGCCCCTCACGGGAGATGTGACAAACACCGTCACGAACGCAGTGACGAGTGCAGTGAGGCTGAGTAGATGTCTAATCTTTGAAGCGGCCATGGTGTGAGGATCTAGATGAGCATTATCAATCATGAAATAATAACGAACTGGTCCCTGAAATAAAGATCACATACATTTTTAATCATTCCTACTACTGTAATGGAGAAAGAAACAGTTGGAAAATGCAAAACAAAAAAGTTAAGAATTATGCTTGGATTGTAGTCAACATAAATGAGCATCTCTTGTATAAATCTGAAGTTGCTCTCAAAAACCTTACAGATACAAGCGAATAACAGATTACAGCAACACAGTACCAGTACACCAACTTGCCAACACTGAACATACTGTCGAGTTGTTTTCCTAAATTCAAAATGATTGAAATTTCACTTTTTTTATTTGCTTCTGAAAAGGCTCAATTTAACGCTTAAAGCCCTCCTCAATCCTCTTAAATCCGCCAGGCAATTTTTGGAGGATTTTGGAGGACTCATGAGGCTGAATGGCCAAAAAAAGTGTCGGTTGATTTTGGTGAACGCTTTGCGTTGAGTTTGTAGGCTATACTCTGCGTTGTTGATGTTCAGCAATGCATAACTGAGCCCTGCAATTATGCTTGATATCATCCGCACTGCTTCTGAATGTCATATGCACTGTCTCAACCCATTAACAGTGATTGTTGGAGGATTTGGAAGGATTGAAGCAATGGTCATCCCTACTTTGAACAAATTCAAGAAATAACGAATAATTTTGGAGGATTGAGGCATAAGGATGGTTCCTAGCCACAAGGGCCTAGGGGATTAAGTTTAATTACCGAAATATTTTTTAAGTTCGTCTGAAATACAAAAAATTTAAAAAAATTAAAGGTAATACACAACATTTGTAAACACCAAAAAACAAATCTACCAAATTATTATGAAATACCTCACTTGACTATTAAGTGAATAATAGTCTTATTAAGTATCCTCTGAAATCATGGCACCTTGTGTGCTGTCATTTTCAAGAAAAGCAGCATTTTTTTTATCAATTTCCAACGATGGTCAACCGACCATCATTGGAAAAAAACTGACTTTTTTCAAATACTGCCCCCAATTTACCATATTTAGCAAGTCCACATATTGTTTGCAATCGGCTGCACATCCGTGAACGGGTGCAAGCCAGCTAGTCTGGTTCCCTGACCTGACAAGTCCCAATGTCTATAAATTGTCCTGTTTCGTCTGAAGTAGGGTCAGGGAACCAGTTTACAAGAACAGCATTTGTTCTCTTGGTTTTTTCCAGCATCTATGAACACAAAACTTTAAACAGGACAGTGTCCCAATATTTGCTATAAAATACTAACCCCCAAATCCATCCATTTCTGAAATTTACATCAAAAGCAAATGTTACCTTTAAGTCTGTGAAATACACAACTTGGAATATGATTAAAATGTTCAGCCGCATTACAAGTCAATCACCACATGCAATATAGCCATGTGGTGAGGCCATGCACGGCCGCCGTTTGAAAATGTCCCATTATGGAAAAAACATGTGTACAGCCCATAGCATCTAAGCTTACACTACCGGGTGAGTCAAAAAAAGCAAAACCCAAATGTCGGGACTATTGTTTTAGTGAAGTTCTACATGTAGCACATTCAAAATCTAGGATATGAAAGCCCAATTCATAAGCTTTCTTTTAGTACAAGAATCATTCAAACCACTCACACACTTTTCAAGTTACAGAATTTTAAACACAAACACCGTTTTAAAGTTCTGTCCACGGATCACAAAAAAAGGTGTGCGTTCTTTCAGCAAAACGAAAACAATTCACACACATCCCTATGTGATTTGTTTTCGTTTTGTTGAAAGAACACTAACCTTCATGTGATCCGTGGACAGAACTTTCAAACGATGGTTGTGTTTAAAATTCCGTTACTTGAAAAGTACATGAGTGATTTGAATGATTCTTGTACTAAAACTAAAAGAAAGCTTTAAATTGGGCTTTCAAGTCCTAGATTTTGAAAGTGCTACATGCAGAACTTCACTAAAACAATGGTCCCGACATTTGGGTTTCGTTTTTTTTTACTCACCCTGTACAACTTACAAGTACCATGAATAATATCATTGATGTTGCTGTTTCACAATGTGCATACCCCTTTCCTGTTTTTCTCTGTGAATGAATATTTATTTAGAAGGAGAGGTGGGTTTTTATAGCAACACTCCAGGAAGCGAAAAAAGAAAAATTATTTCCTCCTCAACACAAGTGTAATTTTTCCCTGAGTTCTATAAATAAATGTGCTTTTAATAGCCAGTTATCAAGGCTGCATTTGAAAGTTGAATTGCATGTGGCCGCTAAGTGATAGTAAGTTGCAACCACTAAACCTGGAGTTTCAATGGGCAATCAATTACACACAAGGAAAATGTTCAATGGGCATCAATTACAAACAAGGAAAATGAGACACTTTATTACTGCAATGTCAGCCTAGCTCTATGGTCAGACTGTGTGTCTATATAAGGTTATTTTAAAAAAAAATTAATTCTATTAGTATTATTTCCAGGATGTATGTAAAATGAAGGATGTTTGTTTTGTTACAGACAAGGATCTCTTCGAGTCTTTTTTACAATTAGTGACTGTTCTCCTTATTGCCTAATTTTCTACACTTTACTCTACTTTTACTCTTGTGGTTGAGGACTAGTGGTAAAAATGTAATCAGTTTTTTTTTTAAGTTTTTAATGTTTAAAGTTAAGTTTTTTGTTGTTCTACTTGTAACAATGTTAATCGTCTTATCTGTTGCCAAGTGTTTGTATCGTAGATTTGATATCCCAGTCTTGAAAACAGATTCGATGGGACTGAGTATTATGCATATTAATTGTTTCTCTTTGTACCTGAAAACATTTTAGGAGAGCCAACAGATAGTGATTTAGTTCACTTTTGGTAATCCTTCAGGGCTGTTATCAATATTGTTTTTGTTTTTATTTAGTCTTTGTAACCCTGGCTTGTTACTCAAAATGTTGTGTTGTATTTTGTGTCTGTATATATGTGTTCTTACCTGAGAAATAATAAATGAAATGAAATGAAACAAAACTTTGGTAACACTTTATAATTCATCCCAAAAATAATAAATAAATAAAACAAAGATGAAAAGCATGAATTAATCTCTCTTTTTTTAGCACATGTCCAACTTTTGGGTTTGGGACCATGCCTATTAATTAAAGTTTCAAACAAATCACTGAAACACACACATTACTACCCCCAGTGCCTAAAAACACCTGACAAATTTACATCAGGAAAAAGTTTCTCAGGGTGGAATGCAAATAGTTTTGATTTCTATTGTACTTTTTCTTTTACTTTTTTTTTTTGTGGGTGGCAAATACTTTCAAATTGTTTGTGTATGGCTGGGGGAGGTGTGGCTTAGAATGCCCAGGTCTGGGAGATTCCCCAGACAGGGGAGATACGCCAGGCCTAACGTGGCGCACTTCGACGGTACCCCCAACTTTTCTCATGCAGTGTTACCAAAGTTTTTTGTTGGCAAATTTCAAATTCATTCAGTTAAATGCCAGTACTTTTACCTTAATAATACATGCTGTTGAACATTTGTGAACAATTTTAGTGTCATGAAATTTAGTCTGAAATTAAGAACCGGTAGCGTCCCGAAATTGGACACAAATTCAGCTGAGTGTTCCCTAATGTGGCAAATGTTCCCTTACCTGAACAAATCTGGGAAAATCACAAGTTAAAATTTTAAGAATTTCTTTAATTAAAGTTGAAAAATTCTGATAAACCATTATATATCTCTACCATGGAGGAATAAAAACACATGTCTCTACTCACATAACCAACTAGAGGCTTGTCAGAAAATCAGTTTTTTTTTATTTTTGGGCGTATTTTTAAACTAGTTAATTACCCCCAAAACATTTCTCTGCTAACTTTGTAACGGGTAGATACATGCAAACTCAATATTTATGAATGGAAATGTTTAGAGCTTGATTAAATTTCAGTCACTGTGAAATTTCAGGTAAAACTTCTTCTCTGGGAAGGCGCCAGAGGTGAGTATTCGAAGTGCGCCATGTCGTAAGGCCGGGGCCGTTAGGGGACATCAATTACCTCAATGAAGGTCATTCACTGTAAAATGTTGAAAAAGACATTAATCTGGGACTGAGAAATATTTCCAAATTTGTCAGAAAAAAATACTTTGAAAATGCACTCGACTCTTAATCATTGACTTTTTTGTGCACAACCAAAAAATCATGAAAATAATGTAGATTTCCCCGTTTCCCCCCAATTTTATACCAATAACAGTAAACTGACGGATGTGAACACAACAATCTATATAGTCGGCATCAATACATGTACGTCACAGAACAAAAACCACACTAACCACAGACTCTACGGACGCAACACAAATTGCAACACACTACGACTACGACTCAGAGTACGAAATGAAATACTTACCGTTCATATCGTTCAGATCCATAGAAATCGACTGTCACTTCTGATGATCATGATGTGATAATATTTTGACGACCAACTTTAAGGGTCGTTTTCACAAATGTCTGGCCCATAAAATCATGTAGGAGAACAACTTTTAGCACGGTGGTCCGCCGATCCTTCCCAAGAAATATGAAGAACTAGGTTAAATCATAGAACAAGGAACAACACAAAGTTATGAAGAATTTCTATTTCATTGAAATCTTCATTGTGTGAATGAAATGAACAAAATTGGGCCATGGTACGACTACGAGGTTCCGGGTGGAACACTCCATTTCTTCATAAGGTAAATCCGAATTGCCACACTTTTTAAATCTTGGGCGAAATAAGAAACAGAATGTAAGTATTACAGTTTATTTCATTTTGATTGATTTTATTAATCATTCACAAACGTTTGTATTCTCCAACCTCTAACAGCTCTTATTATAGAGCAAGAAGTACTTCTTTCGAGTTAGAAAACACCGCTGTCAAATAAATGTTTAAGACCAACAAGTTGCCAAAAAAGGCAGACTGAACTTTTAATGGTCCTTTTCAACAGCGCCCTCAACAGATCAAGAAAGCAATTATTTTTATTTCCTCTGGTCAATGTGTGGCATCCAGAAATAATAATGGTTAATTAATTGGAATGATTCTTTGAACCACCGACATTGTGTTTTGAAAATGTTGACTAATGCTACGGCTGATCATACCTGAGCTTTCTTTGTCTTCGAGTACACTTCTTTTTTTGGCGGCCCTCGTACGGCAAAAGGACGGTGCAAATTGATTTTAGTCCGTTTTTTTCCCCAGACCAAAATATTCTGACAATTTCTGATGTATGTTAAAGCTTTTACCAACCCTTCAATTTTGGAGGCTCCGTCTTCGTGCGGCTCAGAGTCAAGCCCCACAGCAGCCGAAAAGTTTGGAACGCTGAGACATTCGGAAGTCTGCAAACCTCCGAAATAATATAAAAAGAAGTTGTTTTTGCCTTGGGAACATTATCGATACTGATTGTGGGGCGGGAACCTGCCTTCCCCACGAAAACGGGAGTTATTGTCTGGCAGCCAATAATTCGAAATGGTAAAGTATTAAATTAAGAACTAAACATGGACCTATTTTTTTCGGTCAATGTCTCATTCAAAACTATGTCAATTTTGTATTCCTTTAAGAATAGCAATCATTAGAAAAGGATTATAGTTTTCTGGATGAAACTCGAAAATAACACGGGGAGCACATCCTTAAAGATTGGATTCAGGTTTGATCTATGATCGATAAGTCCCTACAATGACAATTTGTTATCTTTTCCTTTCAAGAATAAAAACACACTTTTCTGCAGAATATCATTCAGTATTTCGTTAGAGGGCGCTATTTCATTTTTATGGTAGATATTTTGTTCGCTCGTACCCCCCGCCCTGCAAAGGGCGGGGGTACGAGCGAAACCACACCTTGGTAGTTGGTACGTTCGTCATAAAACGTTTCAGAGTTCCATGGTACGTCGAACTACGGAGCCTAGAGCGAGACCGATCCCAGATACAATCCGGTGGACAGATATCTGGACTTGAATGAGCCATGGAGGAATATGAAATGCAACCCAGGGTGGTCCGGTGCTGCAAATGAAATATGATGATTTGTCATGCACAACTTCATCATGAGAAACTTCTACCCAGCCTCAAAGTCCGTCAAAGAGAAACTATATTTCACCCTGGTTAGGCCCCTCCTTGAATATGGGAGTACTGCTTGGAACCCATATGCCACCAAAAACATCTCTTCACTTGAAAGAGTCCAGAGGCGAGCTGCACGTTTCGTCTGCAAGGATTTTTCAAGAAGAAGCAGCGTAACTCAGATGTTGGCTACCTTGGGCTGGACATCACTTGAAGAGAGGAGGGAATTAAACCAACTAGTATTTTTGTACAACAACATAGTAAACATTCAACCAGATGCACTGCAACCGAAAAGTAACAGACAAAGGAGGGGGAACAACTGCCAATTTAATGAAATCACCGCAAGAACCAATGTCTATACATGCAATCGTTCCCACCAAGAACTGTCAGAAAATGGAACAAATTACCCCAAGATGTCATCAATGCCCCAAACCACAATCAATTCAAATCATTGATTTAGTTAATTATGCCACTCTCCAAGCCTCTTAGTTATACTTCCTCGAGGAGTTCTGAAGAGGATAACCACCAAGTACCAAGTACCAAGTACAAATTTCCCCATTTAAAATGCAAACAGGTTTTTTTTGTGTGAGATACTACATGACTTTTGACAGTAGACACGAAACCAGTAGTTCGTCATTATTGCACATGGTACCTGTACAACAGAACTTTAAAAAAAGAAAGCTTAACACCGGATCAGAGTCACATTTCTTTTTAAACAGATTCTGTATCGATTGGTACAGGTGGTTTGAGTCTCAAGTGAAGTATGCAATTCGGGGGGTGTTTTTTTTTTTTGGGGGGGGGACCCTGTATATAACTTTTTTGTATATAAGTGTTTTCTTCATTTGTGTTAAGTACTATTTAAAAATTCAATTCACTTTATGTCAGTGTGAGGGATGCCTTTGTTTTACCTCTTGAGATCAGGAAATTATGGCTTACACTAATTAATTTTAATGATACTTTAAACTACCTTAAATATGGGGGCAAATGGATATTTTATAGCAAGAAAGGAAAATTTAAAATTCTCAGACCAAAGAAGACAGTCTAGTTGATGATAGCATGGAATACATTTTTGTTTAATTGGATGGTTGATAATTGCTCGTATTATGAAGATATTGTAATTATATTTTTATAAAAGTACTAAACAATTTTTGCCTTTTCACTGTGTTTGTTTTGCTAATGTCATGCAGTAAAGTTTTGGGGCTCAATCTAAAAACGTTATTACTTGAATGTAAATCTTGGCACTCAAATGGTTGCCATGGAAATGAGAACATAAGTGTTTCTCAAAAACATTTATTTTTACTTGCTCCGCAAGGAATGCAAAAACATAAGCATTGAAAAATCAAAATTAGTCTGTTGAATTGAAATCTGTTTTCTTAATTTTGTCACTGATTATCTCTCTTCTGATGAAAAGAATCTTTAACAATTATTTTTACATTTTATCTGCTGATGTAATACAATCATGGGTCCTTGCTCTATGATACAATCAAACCGGTATGACTCAAAAAGAAGTTCCACATATTCAGTGCCACGCTAAAAAAAAGTTTTTGTGGCCACTCGGAATTAAATATCGGTTACTCATTTATTACTCTAAAGTGTACACAAAAGATCAAGATCGTCAAATGAGGGTGAAAGCAAATGCATGTGATAGAGTTTGAAATACAATAAATAAAGGTTGACCATTTCACGTTTATTTCTCAACCAATCTTTTTCGTCTAAAAGTTTCTAAATAATTGATTACTTTTCATTGGTAACAAGATTTAGTTTCTCTTGTCCCTTTGATCAATGAATCACCTGTGAAGTTCGTGAGTCATCCCCACTGGAGGTAAGAAAACACCACCAATCGAACCGTTCCATGACATGAATATATACAGCGCATGCGCAGTCGGCATATAGACGTTTTAACGTGGCGGAGGGCTGGGCCAAAATCTCTACAGTGAAAATTACGATTTTCGAAAGAAATACTTCATCTAAAAATTATATTTTTCGAGCGGTTCGACGTTTGAGGTCGTGATTAAAACACATCATGTCTTCTTCGGGAGACTTTGGAAACCCTTTGAGGAAATTCAAGCTAGTTTTTCTCGGAGAACAGAGTGGTGAGTTGTGAAAATTATTTGTCCTTCGTATCGTAGCTAATCGTATGCCATAGCCGCCAACGTGTACATTTTGTATACCCCTACTAAAGTACTAGGCCCGGTTCCTATAAGGGAACAAAATCCACTATAGAATTATTAGACCGACCAAACTAGTTGGTGACATTCTCAATAAACAGGTATGTCATAGATAAAGGGCAGGGTTTTGATTTTTTGAGGGAAATTTTGGGGTATTGACAGCGCGGCGACAAAGTCAAACGCACCCCGAAAATAAAGATGGCAAAAAAATACTGCGCGATATACGGCGTGCTGAATCGCAAGGCACAAACCGCGTAGGAAAACCGTGATTTCTACCCCAAGAAACTGTTAAAAATTGCAAAACGGGTGTCATAAGAAAAAAAAGTCTTTTGATTACTAAAGTAAAGGTGATTTTTGAGCAATAAAAAACATTTTTGACTCTAATTTCATCCAATCAAAACAGAGGCCCTACACTACACGATCGCCACATTTTGTATACCCTAGAACTATACCCATAGGTAGGCATATCAATGCGAACATGCTGTATACTCTACAAATAATACAATCAACTTGGAAATGAGTTTTGGACATGTTGGAGCGACCGCTGTATATTTGTAGGCCTACACCAAGACTATGCCCAGTACTTCTTGACATACTCACGTTCTGTTCGCTTAGAATATAAAGGTAGAATCGATCCCGATGGTGCGATAAAAATGATGAAAACAGTACCATTTCCGTACCGAAGCTACAGTTTGAGTTTTAACGTTTTAACGTGCACGCAAAGCGTTGTTGGCGTGACGTCAGAGTCTTTTGGTCTGGGAACCGACTACAGACACCATCTTTATAGTATTGCGGGCGGCGTCAGACGAGCCAATCACGACGCCTCAATTCAATTTTTAAAGCAGACTTTTCTTCAATATTTTGCAACTGAGAGGGAAGTCAAGTGATATCAAATTGAGGCCAAAGACTAGACTGACCAGTGCATGTCCTACCATGGTCCAACTGTTGAAAAGACCTAAAAACTGACCTCTTCGTTGGTCTGGTGGCTGACAGTGGAGAAATGTGTAGAAATAGAGACCAGCATCAGAAAAAAAACCAGAATAATAAAAAAAAAAAATAATCATCATCATCAGTCATGCCAGATGCTTCTTTTGAAGTTTTGACACAGTTGCTTGCTGCAGTACTGAAGGGTTGTTGGACTGCTTGTTTCAGGTGCCAGTCTATTTCGTGTGTTGCATGTTTTCAATACCTTATGTTTTGGGACTTTCATCAGGGGTGTGAAATCTCGGCTTTTAAACTGATTTCAGCTTTTTATTGTTTTGGATTTCAGCTATTTTCCCTCACTTGATGTGTACAAAAGTATAGGAGATTTCCAAAGTTCAGTTTTTTACACCTGTTTCAGCTGTTTTCAGCTATTTTAACAGTGGTCACTCACACCCCTGTTTCATACACAGTATTGAGAGTCCCAAATTCTCGGACTACATAGGATGCAAACACATATTGAGGAAAGAATTGTTGTTATCAGGATTGTACCCTCATCAGTGCATGCTGAACACTTTCACACTCGTAGTCCGATGCCATCGGGCTAAAAACATCATCGGTGACTTGAATACAGATCATCCAAACTTGGACTGTGAGTGCAGAAGGGAAAAAAAAAAAACATGCAAAACAACATCAGACCAAGTACACTCATTCTTTGGTCAACAAAATTCTTCCAAATTTCTTCATGAGAATGTGAACATCTTAGTAAGTGAGAGCATTTAGTTGAAATTTTAAACACCTTTTTTTTTTTACCAAAGAGGGAGGCCAAATTATGAATTTGCTATATTTACTGTGCTGCACATTTATATGGCTTGAATAATGGAAACAGTTTTGTATTTCGAATCTGAAAAGAAATTAAATGAATAGAAATCAATTGAGGAGGTGTTGTGTGGTAGCTAACATCCTGTTATATCCTTATTTTTGTTGTTGTGTGGTGCTTGTTTATTTTCTATAAATTAATTTTTTGAAGATCTCAATGAGATACTATTAATAAAATAATAATAATAATGATGTAAATTTCTATGGCAGAAATCCATGCATCTTCATAAGGCCAAAAAAAATTAGTTCTACTTCCGATAACATGGCATTCTAAAATAGGGTAGGTACATGTAGGTAGGTACATGTAGGTAGGGATATTTTTTGGCCAATTTTTTTTATGTGTATACGGAGGCGTCTGTGTGTAGTCAAGGGTAAAACTTAGAAATTGATGGTTTTGGGTGTTTTGCCCTCATTTTTCCCATAAAAAAAAATAGGGGAAGGGGCTGTCAGAATAGGATAGGAAGGGAAGCCGGAAGCAGGACTATTTTTGGGGGGGCCTAAAACAATACTAGGCAACCTTAGTTTTAAAAGCTGGACGCAGACCAATTTGATCTTGCAGGTCTACATGTAGGTGGTTATCCGAGTCAAATTTAGGGCCATGGTCAGGCTTAAGCAAGTCTTATTCACAAGTGACAGCCAGCAAGTATACCACTGACATGTAAAGTAGAGCTCAGAGATTAAATAAGATTTGAGAACCAGAATTGAATTTATACATGGAGCAAGTACATGCAACAGTCTCATATACTCCGCAGTGTCACACACTACTATCGGTTCTGTTCATTTGATGCTAAATCATATTTATTCAGTCACGTTGGTATGTATGCATTTACCTGTACTCCTGCATTGAATACTTAATTGGCTCCCATTCATTCAGATATGACTGTGATTAAACCTGTCAGAGCGTGAACCTGTTGCCTAATACCGGCACTGTACAAAGATGTGTTAAATTCATTTATCCTGCCTTGTGCCAGTTGGGTAATAATGCTTTGCTGTGCATGCCATGTTAGTAGTCGTGTTTTTGCCTAAGCTCCAAAGAAAACGCGCGTGTACCGACCTGAGGCCAAGTCTAATTGGGTCTTAGCTTCTGATGGTATCAGAAAATCTCAGCGTTCGGTTAAAAAAAATAAATATTAAACCACAAAGATATATACATAGGGCCAAAAAAATTAATAGTTCTGCTTCCTTTTACCATACTTTCCCTATTTTGACAGCCCCTATTCTAGTTTTTATGGGGAGAAATGAGGGAAAACCCTGAAAATCATCAATTACTATCTTTTACACTTGCGTAGCTTCTGATGGTATCAGAAAATCTCAGCGTTCGGTTAAAAAAAAATGAAACCACATAGATATATAGATAGGGCCAAAAAAAATTAATAGTTCTGCTTCCTTTTACCATACCTACCCTATTTTGACAGCCCCTATTCTAGTTTTTATGGGGAGAAACGAGGGAAACCCTGAAAATCATCAATTGCTATCTTTTACACTTGACTACACGCAGACACCTCCATATGATCATACACAAAAAAATCACCACCCCAAAAAATTTCCCTATCTACCTACCCTATTTTCAAATGCCATGTAATCGGAGGCAGAAGTATTATTTTTTTTGTTGGCCAACGTACACGTTTTTCCAAGCAAATGATACAAACACATGTACGTGTAATGCATATTCATTTTGTTCAAATCAACCTCTTTTTTTTCAAATTAGCTTTGGATTGTTATTTTTACTTTTGCACAACAAAGCCAAGATGTCACCTCCAATTTCCCAGGCGTCGGTGAATGTCTGGAACAATAAAATGTAGGAAACATGCAAATGTTATCCTCAGAGGCCCAGAAATACGCACAAACTAATGCACCGCATTGCCAGTTTTGTAGCCGTTACATGAATACACTTCCTACTGCACCGTCCATGTATGTACATCAGCATGCCCAATTATGCGTGCTCTTCAGACAAGCCTCAGACATCGGAGGTTGGGGGGGGGGGGACAGTTGTGCAAGTGCAGCGTTATCGGGTCCCGGCTAGTAGAGACATTCTCATTCATAGTCATGAGCTTCTTTTAGACCGAGAAAGGGAACCGGACTGGTTGGGGGGGTTGACTGTAAGTCAAGTTTACTTGCGGTTATGCGGTAGTCCGTCAATGACAAATCCATTTCATGATCGTGATTTTGCTGCACACTTCACAAACAAAAAGGATCATATCATTTTCATCAAGGAAATTGGACAATGATATATTGAAGTGTTTTGGGGCACTTCATATTTTCTCACAAGTAGGGAATTAATTCCTGTAAATTATTTTTTCATCGTAATTCAGTTCAGTGTGAAATGACTACTTGCTGCACATCCATATATATCTAGGCAATAATTTTTCACCATATTCGTATGCACAGTGCTAACAATTCACACTTGTTGAATTTGCGATAATTACGTTGAAATCTTTTCAGGGTTAGGCCATTTTTTTTCCCAGTTAAATTAATTTTAAAAACAAATTAATGGTATGTGCATGAATGTACGCGTACATGTGATGATTCTATTGAAATTACACTGCATACATTGGTAAGATTCTTTTAGGCATCAGCAGTTAATTAAAAAAGTTTATTATTTGTTGTTGACGCACGTGAAAATATTTGTAAAAGTCTGGACACTTTTGTTTTCATTCTCAATTTGCAGTGCGTTTGTACACTTTCAAAATCATTACACTTCAAGCAAATGTAGAATCAAACACAGCATACAGTGACCACAGCATACTTAACAGCAAGCTACATTTATGCTACATACATGTACATGACTAATGATATTTTTGAGAGCGTTTCTTTTTTGGGGGGGGGGGGTCTTTCTTTCTGAGATCTTCGCTGACGTGCTTTATGGGGTCAGTGTCTGCAATCCATCGGTCAGTGTCTGCTTAGAAAACCGCAGTGAGGAGGAGTGTGTACATGTATGCACGACCAATCGCTGTCTGGCTTCATTTATATCACGCAAACGTGGATAGCTGCACATGATGTTATTTCCTTTGTCACATCCGTACGCACTTGACATTCAATGTCCGGATGAATCAGATACACAGTCACAGTAATTGGAATTGTTTAAGTTGAAGTGAAGGGGGGTTAAATACATGTCCAAGAGGGGCAGTTTAGTCCCGTTTTGAAGATATGAGATAGTGAGGTCAGGTGTAAGCGACAGGTGTCCCGTTACATAAATGGGTCATTCTATAAATTTGGGGTCAACTTTTTTCCTGTCCCTGTTTCCTCTGACAACTATAATTTTGTGATTCATGATGCACTTCATGATGCAGTCATCCTTGAAGAGTGATGATGAATAACAAACTACTTACCTAACAAACAAAACATCATTTGAAGTCATTCTTAATAAGACTTGAATGGCAAATTACAAAGTTAAGAGATGTTACAGGAGCAGGAAATATGTCCCACTTTGGACCCTAAATTGATAGAATGACCCATGTATCCACATTTCTTGGCGTCTGTGTGCCAAGTTAGGAGCACAGAGTAGCCTGCTACGGTACTTTATAATTTCATTTTCTTAATTCATTTATTTATCTTTTTTTGTCAGCTGAGAATTTGCTTTCAAAATTCTAAGCTGATCTTCTAAAGGGATGTACATGTACATCTGACAGGTACACATTTACAATGTGCATCATGTACAAGAACACATGTTTGGCATTGCTAGTTTGTGTGGCAATGGTACATGTAAACAAACTTAATAGTTATTAATCAATTACACATAAATGTATCATTACTGTGTGGGGTAGCCCTTGGTATAGAAACCAACAAAAACTGAAGAAGCAGTATATTCTTGTACATGTACGCAATACACATGACGACAGACACACATTCTTTAGTGTGGCCTAGTGTTGTTGTCTTTATTGATTTCTCCCGACAGGTAGACAGTTATGTCTGGCAGGGCTTGAACTTAACCGAGCCGTCCTCCTAGCCAGCCGGCAATATTCAAATTAGAATGACTAACCTATAAGTCACTGGGACATTTTGAAATAGCCACTTTGCATGGCAGGATGGGGTAAACACCTTGCGCTAAAGATGTCATGCTCTGACATTACTCATACATTAAGTGGAGGTTTCTGAAGGTGTCATGTGTCAAAAGTGGAGAAATTTAATAAATGACGTCATCATTTTAATTTTACCCTGAACTATCCTGAGATACATTTTCAGTCCAAGCATGTACATGTACCATGTATACATGTACATGTACCATGTATGTACCGGTATGTACAAAGTACATGTACATGTATGTGTAGTACGTGTATGTGTACATGTACTTGAAGGTTCACTGTACATTTATGTAGCTTTGACTTATGCAATTTAACTAATAAGATTTGACTAATATGTACATTTTTACATGTGTACCCTGAAAAAAGAAATTTGCCTCTGTACCTAAAAATTGATTGTATTGGCTCTGTTTTCATAGTTTGTGGAATTGCTGCTTCAAGTGTCTATGATTTGACGATTACTTATGCAATTTAACAAGACTGTGTCTTGACCTTCAGATTCTGACCACTCAGCAGGCGCCTTCTATCGGGTCTTCGGTAACCGGTTGTTGTATTACAAAAACATGGCAGCCAACTGACCAATCAACATCTTAGGCCAAATTTCTGCTCAAAATGGCATCACAGTTTCTAAAGTCGACTCCGATTGGCTGGCGTGCGGGGTCGCATAGAATTCGCACGCTCACATATCAAACGTTGTTGCGAAGCTTGCCGGCTCTGTTAAATGATGAATAATACTCGGACTACTTTTTTACATAAACGGATTCTTAAATGTTTCTTAACCCTGAAGTCACTGTAGCGCCCGAATCCGCCCTGCCTCTTATTCACTGTAGCGCCTGAAACTCCCTGCCTATTACTCACTGTAGCGCCCGAAACCACCCAAGCCCTCTATGGTTTTATTGATTTTTCAGTGAATGAATACAATGTAATACAATGTAATACAATGTAATACAATGTAATACAATGTGATACAATGTAATACAATATAATACAATGCAATACAATGTAGTACAGGTGCTAATATTTAAACCTCATTGTAAATATGCAAAAGAAGGTTTTTTATAATTTCAACTCTTACTTTCTTCAATTGCTTTTTGTTTAGGTATGGCACTACATGCAAAGAGTTCTATCTTGTGGCGCAAATTATTCCTTTGACATTTGAAGCCCCTCATGCAATCTCATCTGTTTTTCTTTCAGTGGGCAAGACATCGCTGATCACAAGATTTATGTATGACAGTTTCGATAACACATACCAGGTGGGTTTTTTTATCTCCCTAATGGCCTTTCCTGAAACTTGACATTCCTCAACCTGCCTCCTAAAAGATTTATTTGTAAGTAGAATACATTAGTAGGCAGAACTGGTATAAAAAAGCCATTCTTTACTTTTATGACCTGGGACAAATTCCATTAGAGGAAAGTTTCTCTTACATGATGAAGGATCATTTGAAATCCTGTAGTGTGACAGAATGACAGATGAGCACATCAATGCTCAGGGAAATGATCATGTGACCCAGATTCTCAATGGACAGTCATGTGACTGTCATGTGACTGTCATGTGACTTAATGACACTGCTTAGCAGTACTTTTTTTGGTCGCCTTTTACCGAGGATATAAAATGTACATGAGCCACTGATCCTCTGCTCACAAATTTCATCTTTTCATCAATTTTGGATCACACATTTTGAAAGATACCGTAGTGTACAAGTGAAATCATACCAGCTAAATTGGTAGATTACGTAGTGGTTCTTCCCCTGCCTTACACATCTGTTGACCCCTGATGTGATTCCTGCCGGGGCCACTGTTAAAATTTGTTTTTATTTATTTTTTGGTCCCAGTTTGTTTCGTAACTTGAGTTTTCCTGGGTCACCGATTGTGAAACATTTGCGAAATTCTCTGTCCAGCTATATTTTATTCAAGGTCAAACAACTAGTTTCTTAGGGAGCCGGATGTCTCAGATGGAATAAGAAATTTACCCCTTGAGTATTGCAGCATAAATAAATTTCCCCTCCCGTTTCATAATCTGAAATTTTTCGTTGTAATTCCCCTCTCAATGGAAATGACCTAAGGGACACAATACACCAGTAATAGCACATCCAGGATAAGCATCTGGAACATACATTTTTACACTGAAGAATATTAAGTCACGTTTCTATTTCTGTGAACTGTACGAAAATAAGGCCCTGATTTAGGTTTTAAAAAAGTTAAGTGCACTTTTCAGAACTTTGAAAACTGACCCATGCTGTTCCTGACAACTGAGGGCGCTGTTGCTGGGCTCACAGTCTGATGAAAAGTTTCTGTACAAGTTATGCACCAACATATAAAGTGTAGCTCACTGAAAAGATTTGCACTTATTATTTACTCATTGACTGACTATCAATACATTAATTAAACAACACGGCAGACAAAAACAGAAAGTTGGCCGAGGTAAATCGCTCCCCCCCCCCCAAATAAAAACATTCAAGCAACTTATGATGCTTATAAAGTAGCTGTAACACTGAAGCTTCTCTGCCTAAGATGACAACACAGATGTGCTCAAGAATATGGAAATTTGCTGCATTAGCAAAACAGTCATGAAAACCCTTAAAAACGGCCAATAAAATGATTGAAATAATAAGTTGAAATGGGACACAGGTGTGCACTGTACAGAAGGCATATTTTTTAAATTTTTTTTTTGGTCTTTTGTTGTATTTTAGGCCACAATCGGCATAGACTTCTTGTCCAAGACCATGTATCTAGAGGACAGGACAGTGCGACTGCAGCTGTGGGACACGGCGGGCCAGGAGCGGTTCCGTAGTCTCATACCCAGCTATATAAGAGACTCAACAGTAGCAGTGGTAGTCTATGATATAACAAGTAAGCCTATCACCTGTCATGGTTTCTTTACATGTAAAAGATTATGTAAAACAAAAGGAATGGGTATTTTTCGGGGTGCTGATACAAATTGACCCTACAGCTGTGGGGCCCACATTGGCCCCCAGACGCTCTGCCAAATATTCTGTGGATTTTTTTCATTTTTTCCCATTATTTCACCTTTAGTTTAAGTTCAAATTTCAAATGCAACATAAAACAAACAAATCTGCAGTTTGTGATTTGTTTGACTGAAATGCCAGCTGTATAAATAAATGCTTTCAAAGAAGCCTCCTTCGGCAAGGAAATCTCCGCCGATCAATAGAAACGAAGAAATACCTGCTTGCGTACCCCATGTCAAGTACATTTGTAATGCCTTTCTTGGATTTGAGAAATTGCCGTCAACTGACATTAACCTGTGACATTTCCAGTAAGCTGAAAAAGGGCAGCCGTTTGCTGTCGACACTTGTGCAACCAACATGTTCGTTGTACGCATACCTCATTTCCGGGAAAGCTTGAAAACTGTTTATTTGTCTGCCTGTCTTTCTGTGTGTCCTACATTTTTTTTCGAGGAAAATCCTGGTGTGGGAAAATATATCCTCATCCAATGTGAAATATATTCAAATCCAAACCTACTTTGTATGTACATGTTGCACATCTGCATAGTTTTGTCCACTAGTACCGGTATACATGTAGCACAGACGTAAGTATGAATAATTTCCCCATAAAATTCAGTACATCACTGCGTGCTGCATAAAATGGATGTGCACTGAATGTCATTTGGAATCTCTAAAAGGCTTGAACATATTATAGGAAACAGATGAAACTGGGATTGCTAAGAGTGAAAATCCTGCAAAATCCTCCAATTGGCCTCATGGAAAAATAGCATATAGCCTCAATCCTGCAAATTCCTCCATTATTTCTTGGATATGGTCCATGGAGGGGTGACCACTGCCTGAATCCTGCAAAATCCTGCGGCAGTGACTGTCAATTTGTTGAGGCTTGGCCAGTGACATCCTGGAGCAGTACGGAGGACTCAAGCATAATCCAGTCATATATTTATGCATGGCTGAGCAAAAACAACACAAGGTCCGGCCTAAGACCTTGACAAAGTGCATTCTACAAAATCAGTAACGCACTTTTGCCATGTAACCTCAATCCTCCAAATTCCTCCACTTTGGCAAAGAGGATTTTGAAGGATTCAGGGCGGTTAGGGTTAAAGTGGCAGGGTTCTGAACAACTTGCCCGCAATCTCCTCCTGGCAATGAAGTTATCAGTATCGAAGAGTCAAGCAGCTGCTAATGAAAATTTCCCTGGAACACGTCCGGAACAAATGCGGAGCAGCTTGAAAAAAAATAGCAATAATAGCAACTGTATTTCATACTCATTTGTGTGCAACAGGTACATGCATACTATTCATAACAAATTGCCATAGCCAAAGATTTGAAATTTATTGGCCTATTCTGCAAATCCCTGTCCACTTTATTTTCGCTGCATATTGTAGGCCTATCGGTCCTGGGTTTTTTTGTGCCAATATTGCCGTCAGTTTTTTTACAATGCGGAATTTGATAGCTATGGCTAGCAAATTGAGTCTGATGTATTCAAGTCCTTGCCCTGTTGCTTTGCATTTGTATGTACCCGCATTGTCACAGGAGAGAAATTATTCGTCCTCACTGCATAAAATGAAATGGTGTGTGCATACGTGGCTCTTGAACAGTAACATTTACATGAGTGATGCTTTAGTATCAAGATATTATATCAAACCTGAATTTGTCCATTTCCAAAGAAAATGATGATTTTTTTGCCAAACACTGAGTCTGAATAACTTTGTTTGTCCTGTTGGTTTCTTTGTTTCAATTTTTTCTGGTCTTTTTTTTTAAGTCTATTTTCTCAAAAAATCTGTTTATTGGATGGGAAATTTCAAATTCTTAGTTGCTCATTTGAACTGAATAAACTAAATTTGACCTATTTTTACAAATTTAAAGTGATTGTTTAGAAATGAGAAATGCTGCTTCAAGTTTAGCCCATGAAAAAAATGGCCGTTATCTGAGTAGTTTTTGTGTGTGCGTGTTTGTTTTGGTATAAATCTGGTCTTTTTTTTTTTTTAAACTGTACATGGACTCTCGGCTTCACACATGACCTTTCACTGTCCTAATTGTGTCTACTAAGGCATTCACAATGAGACTGTACATCAGGGAGTCCGAGTTTCACACTACACTGGTGTTGATTGATCCAACTTTAATCGTCTGAACTTCCTCTGACTCTCCCTACCTTTTCTCGTTTCTTGCGACTCGTAGACGCTAATTCATTTCACCAGACGTCAAAGTGGATCGACGATGTGCGGACGGAAAGAGGGAGCGATGTCATTATCATGCTGGTCGGAAACAAAACAGATCTGGGAGACAAGAGGTGAGCGTCTATTTCAGTTTCAGAGAGGGAGGGGGGAGGTTCCTCTAAAATTGCATCACACAACTAAAGTAGTTTGTCGCTTACTGCTAAATCAAATAATTTGAGTGGTGGGATTGAAATCTGTTTACATTCCACTGTTCGGTTTGGATTTTGGAAACCGGATATTCCAAACTAATCATAAAAAAGATATGTGGCGCCAGCTAAAGAAGATGTCTGGAACATCCCTGTTTGCTCCCTGGTCTCTGATTGCAACCACACAACCTGGTCTTTTTGGTTCATGGTCCAAGTCAAATCACGAGCTGTTCAAATTAGCTTTGACAAAGGCATTCCTTCGCTTTTGTTCCACCATTCTCTCTTGTGACTGGACTTGTGAATGTATTACTTTATTACTTGTGTACTCGTGAATTACTTGTGACTGGACTTGTAATGGACTTGACTGCATCCCTGTTTTTTACATCCTTTATTTGAGTTGAAGGTTCAATTCTAAACCACATTAAGAAAAAAAATTGAGGGGGCTTGAAAAAAATGGAAGTTGGTCAATTTAAAAAGTAAGAATGTTTTGGTTAATTGTAACAATTACTCAAATTTGTTATCTGCCACTCAGAATGCCCCAATTCCCCCTATAACCTGTGTTAATTCTTTCTTATTTGATTCATTGATTGTGCAAGGTTTTTTCTTTTTTTGCAGGCAAGTGTCAAGAGATGAAGGGGAAAGGAAAGCCAATGAGCTGAACGTATTGTTTATTGAAACCAGCGCCAAGGCAGGATACAACGTCAAACAGGTAAGACAGGGCCCACTTACATAGAACTGTTAAGCAGAAACATTTTTCACTAAGCACATTTGTGGGCTAAGCATAAATCGGCCGAATACCAGTCACTCTAGATAAACACCGTGTGCATTTTGGCTGGTAAGCTGTTTTTGCTAAGCGAATGATGTTGGTGCTAAGCAAATTTGTGTGCTAAGCTGAGCATGAAATTGGCCTTGGGTTTTCTGTGGGAGCAGGTTTTATTTAAAACGAAAATTGGGGACGGGACCTTCCCTTGATAAGAATGAAGAACATTATTTTAAAAGGCTCAGCAGGTGAATTTGATTTACAATATATCCTACTTACATGTATAGCTGCTTCATGACTTTGTTTACAGACGTCATCTGATCACAAATTAATTTTAAAAAAAGTGTCTTTTTTTTTTGTACGTTTGGCTGATGCCTTGAAAAAATTTAAATAAAGTTCAGTGCACACTGGGATTATTTATTTATTGTTGATATTTATTGTTTATTTTTTTTAATTTTTTTTCCAGCTTTTCCGTCGAGTAGCAGCGGCTCTACCCGGAATGGAGACCACGGAACCCAAAAATACCGGCGACAGTATCCTTTCAATTCTCAACAAATCTGATTTCCATCTTCTTTATTTTCTCCACATTTTCAGGGTTGTCATTTTGGTTTCGTTTTGGGTTTCTATTAACACTGTCAACTCAGCTTCTGGCTACCCATTGTCTTAGCCATACTAAATTCATTCTCTTTTTATCATTTCTTGATACTCATGAATTTTGCCCTACTTTTCTTTTTAGTGTGAATCGAAAACAATGAACAATAGGTATCGACTCATAATATGTTTTAACCTTGTTTTGAAAAACTTTGGAAGGAAATGAAATTTAACTGACTGTCCACCCCCAAGTTGTACATTATAATTTTGTTTGAAAAATCAGTCTATTGGCTGTTTTTGAGAAAAAAAAGTCAGAAATGAGTAGTATTTAGTATTTTCTTTCAGTTCTGATTGATAATTCCAAAAAAGGTGAGATTTTCAGTAGATGAACTCAAAAGTCTGTTATTATGAAAGTTTAAGTAAATAGCTGATTAACGGGAAAAGAATCAAACAAGAAATTTAGAATGTATTCGTTTTTTAAATGGTATCACTGATAATATGCTATTTCCAAATACACATTTTACATAAAAGGACATTTTCAAGTTTACAAATTGTTTATTGCATCCAGTGAGTTTGGCGGCATATTATCCAAAGCATGTTTACAAGGCAACAAGAACATGCTTAGCATCTTAACATTTCACTAAGTACACTTCCCTGCTAAGTTGCTGTGTAGTTTCCAGCTTAGAAGATGTGACTAGAATTAGTAAGCTGTACATTGAAGTTCACATAAATTTCCCATTGTCAAGAGTTTTAGAGTGCTGTGCTATAGACCTTATGCTTAGTGACCATCTTGGAGGACGTCTTTTGTTATTTAAATTCAGTAACAATGAATGCGCAAAAGGCTCACTCATGGCATGTTTATCCCAACAAAACAAAGGCAGTGCCCTCTAAGATGGCTGCTAAGCACAAGGTCTATATTTGGTGTACATTAATTAAGGAACAATACCTAACGTGTGTACCCTGCTGACTGCATGGTGTATGCATCTGTACTAAAAAGCAGGAGGTTAAGTGGGCTTAGATAATTTCTTATTTGCTAGGGGGCACAAGTTGTAACTGCTTAGAGCTTGAAAATCCAGTGTTTCCCGTTTTACGGTAACAAAACCATGCTTTGACTGGAGGTGATTGACATGCCAGCTGTACCTACCAGTTACCTCTTTTGTCTGTTGATGGAATTTGACTAGTTGCAGTGTTTACATGAATGTGATCTGACTGTTTTATTTACTAGTCTCTATACAAATGCATTGGGAAGTGGAAGAACTTTTTGATCATCTGTGATTGATCAAACAATAGGAGTGTTACATAATAATTAATAGCACTGTAGATACCAGAATCATAGTTTGTAGACATATTTTGTATTCAGATTTTATTGCATTGTGTCACTACGTATGTGTAGGGATCCCTTGCAGTGTGGGGTAAGTACATAATTGTTTTATATGAGTGATAATTATCAATGTGTCTGATGTGGATGCTTGAAGTGTTGTGCGCTTTGCATGATTTTTTTTCAAACCCGCATGCCCTTTAATTTAATATTCCCAAAAGTATGTATCTGTTGTTATCGGCTGTGTGCATGTACAGGCCCTCTAGTGGCAAGAAAGTCAATTTCACAGCTTTAATACATGTAGGTGCCGTTTTCTTTAAGACCCCATGCATGGCCAGTAGAGGGCGCTTGGTGCCAGTGCTCAGTGTGATGGACACATTGTGACACGCATTACTTCATGCGCATATGGTGCGAAGTACGCACCATCTCTAGGCATTAAGGGGGTACACTGCAAGAAAAAAAAACGCAAAATTGCAAATACATATGATTTTGATGCTGATGGTTTTTACTGAGGTGGGGAGGGGCAATTGTTACCCAGACCCTCCTGGGGGGGGGGGACCCTCCAGCCTCCCCCCCCCCCAGCCTCCCCTCACCCCCACCCCCACCCCCCCTCCCCCGCCCTGCCCCGCCCCGCCCCGCCCCGCCCCGCCCCGCACAATCAAAAATAGCTTCCTCGTGGATAAGGTCTATTGTAAACGTTGCACTGTTCTGATTGAGAGTGACGTTTGATGCACTTGCTCCATCGAATGTGCATTTTCAAGTTACCTCAGTTTGTTCTCATAAGTAGACTACATGCATCCCTCTACAGACTTTTCACAGAAAGGGCCTACTTTGTGCCTGGCGTAGTACAGATAATTAGTCGTAATTATCAAAAAATAAAATATATATGTCGTGCGCAGTGAAATGCATGTTTGAGGAAATATATAAATGTTGATTGTTGTACATGTGATTGCTGAGCTTAAGTTGATCTCTCATCTTAAAATCTTGCATGCTTTTACTTTTTGTCTAACAGGTTTTTTTTACATTTAATGAATTGTCAGACATCTTTTCTGCATGACTAAAACAAACATATATTTGCAGATCTAATATAGGTAATTTCTAATTTTTTTCTCCCTCTCTTAAAAAGGCCTTGATTTTCAATCATTTCAACTTAACTCATTCTTGCCGACTCATTTTACTTACTTTCTATCATTTAACAATTACAACTTCATAAAGACCTGTAAACCTTCATTTTGTCGTTGATCGTGAGTGTAATTTTCATTTTTTTTTTTTTTTGCTCTTTTATGTTATTTGCGTTGCCATGGAGCATGTATTTTTTTCCTTGACTGTGTTTTCTTTTCTCCAGTGATTGAAGTCAAACTAGAAAAGAACACACCACAGGACCCCCAACAGCAAGAAGGTGGATGTGCATGCTGATGTATCCATCTAACAACTATTCCCATTGGCCACCTTGTGACAAAGCTCATCTCCCATTGGCTAAACACTTTTTGGCAACTTGTAACAGATTCTCTGATTGGTTGTTAAACAACTACCACCAGGCCACCCTGTTTTGTAACACTGGATCTGATTAAGTGTAGATAAGAATAAGCATGAATAATTCATCAGAAAAAAACAGCTATAAAACAGCACCATGGTGATAACCAAAAAAGTGTTTCATTAGTAATAATTTATTCGTGAGCAAATACATGTACACAGAGGACTTTTTTAAATTTTAATCTCAAATAAACTGCAAAAGTTTCATGGACTGTTGGGTATTGTTGCTTGGGATTTCCTAATTTTCATGCATGTCTTTAATCAAACTTTGCCAACATCAATCTTTTGTTGTTCAGTGTAAATGTAATGTAGGTTCTCATGAAACAAAAAGAAACATTTATTTTTAGTCATTTATTTTGATAAGCAGCAGGCGTCGTAGCAAATGTTTTCTTGCAAGGAAAATTCTCTAGCAAATGTTTTCTTGCAAGGAAAATTCTCTGTGGAGCTATTTTTGGCATTGCTATAATGGTCAATCCCACATATTTCTTTTTCTTAATTTCTTTGGCTATTAGCTGTGCGTATGAGTGTTTCTAAGTGTTAATGATTTGTCTGTGACATCTGTTTTTGTTGTGCTGATCTCTAGCTTATAATTTGTATGTAAAGTGTACATAAACCTGTGATGGAAAACTTGTCAAACGATCAAGTTTTCTGTGTACTTTATTTGTAGATTTGGACGCTTCTTGCGTGTGCTAAGCATGCAAGAATGCCTTGATTCGTTGCATACTTTCTTACAAGGCAAACATCTTGGTGGTTTGACGTCTTTAGTGGTGTACATGTAGCTCTTGCTTGGTGTGGGAGGAGCTTGTGGAATGGAAGGGGTGGGGCCTTGTAGGTTTTCATATTTGCATATATGCAAATGGTGTCTGAAAAAATTGTTAGTTTTTTATTTCGCAGAGCATAAATTGAAGTCAAAATTGTTTGCTTGCAGAATTTGTAAGATGCATTTATAAAGTGTGCTAAGCAGGCAATTGGGTGTCTAGCAAAAGTGGTTAGCGGGATAAAACAGTCTTTGTTTTTGTGTCAACTTTGGGTAAAGTTAACTTAAAAGCAAGACTATATTTCAGTAAATACTGATTGTATAGCAGTACTAATGCAGTGGTACTGACCCTACTATGGGCTTAATTTAAATGTATGATGGTGCATTCCAAGTTTGTATTTGAAAATTCTTTAGAGAAGAAAAACAAATTCACCCATTTGTGATATTTTGAAAAATTCAAAAGTAAATGTTTTCTTTATTGTACAGTAAAATAGTTTTGTTCTAAATGTGTAGTGTCATAGACAGTTTCATGGAAATCGCCATCTTTGTGGTCATGTGGTAATCTTAGGGGGTACATATCCCATCATGCTTAGAATATATCCCATCATGCTTAGAATACTAAGGCATGATGGGATGCATTTCCCTGAGATAACCGCATGACCGCAAAGATGGCGCCGTGACACGTTCCATGACATGTGAATTTTCTCTTGAACAAAATTTCATACCAGAATGGTCTAAAATAAAAATCACAACAAAACAAGAATCTTGGAACTACTTTTGTGTTAGCGTTCTCTAAATGAAGAAATTAAACCACAAAATACCAGTATTTCATACTTCATTTTAACTTCATAATTCCATCTGATTGTCCCACTTTTTGTCACTGCAAACTTAGCACTGTAAAAAGCACAAAATGTACAGAGTATAGAAAACTGTCCATAATTATTAAGAGTAAGCTAAACTAAATTTCAACAACGATTCTACAGTTAGGTACTGCTAAACATGTTTTTGTCCTTTTGAAATATTTGTTGGGGGGAGGGGTCAGTTGAAATTTAGTTTAAATAAGAGATTTTTTTTCTAACAACAGTTTGTGATGTCTTGCTACCGGTATATGCTGGCTGACGATGTTTCTCATGACTTGTACAAATTACACTGAATTTTTTGTACAGTTCAGTGTCATTTACATAAAGTCCCATCCATGCCAAGTAAAGATGATGGAATTTAAGGTTAAACATCTTTAAGGAATTTGTTACAGCAGTTGCAACAAATTTCATTAAATGTTAAATTGTAAGGTTATGTTTTATTTTTGTTACAAATACTGAGTTTTTAATTCCATTCAAACCTGTTTTCATTTTTTTTCTTCAGAAGCAGTGCTTAAACAAGGGTCGGTTTCACAACATTGCAAATTTGGGTTAAATTCTAAAAAAAAAATAAAGAAAAAAAAAATCCAAATTTGTCTGAACAAAAGTTCTTAACCGTGTCCAATTTCCATGTATTAAATTATTTTCTTGAGATTTATTTTAGATATTTGTCAGTAACTTCAGACCTTTCTGCAGAAAAAAAATTAAATCTGAGAAAAGATTGTGAAAAAATGTTGTGAAAAGTATTACAAGTCCTCAAGTTTTCCAAAGTTTGGTTTTGAGGCTGCACAAGGCATTGTAAGGTACACAATGTTGTTGGTTTTCTGGGCAGGAATTCATAAACTATCCAAAATCTTTAAGAATGATAATCGATTGTAGGAAATAATGTACACTGTATGTGATAAATGAATGAGGTTTCAAGCAACAAATTAGTGAAATAAAGCTTTGGAAATGTACTACATGTATTCCTAGTTCTTTTCATTTTTAGTTCATTTTTGTTTGTTTTGAATTTTGGAAGTTTGTAGCATCTTGAATTGACCAATCAAATACTCCGTACACTTGGAAGACATTGAGTTTATTTTGTGAAGATCTGTACAATTTGCTTTCCTTGACCGCCTTTTTGCCTTTCAAAGTTCCCGTCACACTAACAGCCAGAGAGCCTGACAATGATATGCAACAGGAGGAAGGAGGCTGCTACTGCTAGACCGCCTCTTCCTATTGGTCAGCGTGCTAGTGTTGATGTCTCTCATTGGCTGGTGCCGCAATGTTCAACCAATCAGCTTGTTTCTGTGTCAAGTACTGGGTAACGATGTTCCATTTCACTCGAGTATGTATGCAAAAAAATAATTATCTGGTACGTTCGAAAAGTGGTATGTGTTCCTTTATTACATTCTTGTGAAGAAAAAAAACAGTAAAATTCAAATGTGGTCCATATTTCAAGTGCACTTAAGGTGCATTGTTAATATTTTGGGACATGATACAAATTGCAGTATTGTAATGTCTGCTGTACTATTCTGCTGTGGTGGTTTATGGTAATAATTCAGCATATATAGGCAGCATTTTGAATTACGGCATAAATGGAATGAAATTGAGGAAACTCTTGGACCAAACAACCAAAACAAAAAACAAAACAACAGTCTGTCTTACTGGTTGCTGGGCCAAATAGATTGCAATAGTGACATCTCAGTGCTTTTGTGAATTAACCAGTATTATCATTGGCTAGTGCCTCAAAACTTTCACCCAATCAGCAGTTAGCTTGTATAGCTGTAGAGTACTCCTAAGTTTCTTGGCTTTGATTGGCTAGTCTCCATGCCATTGTTATCTTTTTGCTGGTATTTCATTGGAGGAGCAGTCGGTTCCCTCATTTACGCTATGCCAAAGATTGAGTGTGGGACAGGAGTGGAAAATAGCATAAATGTGTAGTATTTTAAAGATTACTAGTGAAGTATCGCAATTTATTGATTTTGTTAGTAAAGCAAGAAAAGAAAATGGGAAAAAAATGGGAGAGAACTGCATCAAATTTCTTGCGTTGCAAACCATCGTGAGGCAGTTATACAGTATAACTGATTCTTATATGGGCTGTAAATCAGCAATTGGGCATAACCAGGAGCTACATGTAGCTTCTATTTGGGTATGTATCCTATTGTATTTTCAAATAGCCAATTTTTTGGGGGGCGAATGCTCTTTTGTTTCCCCACTTTTGGGTAGTTCAGAAATGTTCATTAAACCCGAGAGGGCATGTGTACAATATCACACACATGTGTGCCAAGTTGACTTGTATTTTTTGTTTTAACTCAACCAAATTCATGTTGAATCAACAAAACGTTCCGGAAATCACTCAAAAGTGTTGGCTGGCTGGCCAAAAGAGAGATGGCAGATTTTAGGTAAACTACACTTACATTATTATTAGATTTGCGTTGCTATAGATATCATTGTTGTTTTCGTTTACCTTTTACTGCATTGTTAATAGTGTCTGTACAGAGCTGTAGATAGGTGTAGCATTTGCGGAGATGCCCAGTCAAATCGTGCTGTTTGATTCTCACACAAAAATTCTCCATTTGTCATATGTGGAGTTTTGGAATCACAAGCAAATAAACAACAAATCTGATGACATTTGAGATGGGATAGGAAGACAAGGTAACTGTGATCGATCACAAGAACGTCACAAGTCTGGTCACAAGTAAATCACAAGTCAATTCACAAATCCAGTCACAAGTAAGAGGAGAAGAACAGTAACAAATGAATGCCTTCATTTGGCTAGTCTGTGACTTGACTTGGGACTGGAGCCTTGTGATGGACTTGTGATAGACTTGCGATGGACTTGTGATGGAGTTATGATGGACTTATGATGGACTTGTGATAAACTTGTGATGAACTTGTGATGGACTTGTGATGAACTTGTGATCCATCTCGGTACCTCAACTAAACAAAAATAAGCAGTTAAACAAAAGTCCATAAATAGAAAATGTTTTTTTGTCATCCAGGAAAGCCACAATTCACGGAACTGGTACACCTTTTTTTGTCCAGGAAATGATTCTCAAATTAAAGGAAACGAGTCTTTTATTTCCCTTTGCCTTTTTCAGACCACAACATGAACAGACCCATATTTTTTTTCCTGGATTCACATTACAGTTACCTTATGACTTCCGTGCTAGTCCGGTATGTAGCACTTCACTATCCCACAATAACCACAAATGGCCAAATTATTAGAGGTCATGATGTGCCAGAGAAAAATAGATGAACATGACTGCTTGGGAACTAGTCAGGGTGTTGGTAGCACCGTGTGGAAGAATCTCTTTTGAAAAGATGTGTGGTTCTGAAAAGAACCAGTTGGTTATGAACTGTATGCTGTGATCAGAGAATACTGATCAAAAGACGATCGGAGCATACTTATTTGAACGTCTAGTTTCGTAACTAACTGGTTCTTTTCAGAACCACACGTCTTCTCAACAGAGATTCTTCCACATGGTGTTACCACAAAACCTCACTAGTTCCTAAGAAGCAAGTCAGTTCATGTATACTTTTCTCCGGCACATCATGACGTCTAATAATTTGGTCATTGTGGTTATTGTGGGATAGTGTAGTGTAACGGACTGGCACGGATGTCATGAGGTAACTGTTATGTGAGACCAGGGGGAAAAAGGGTTTGTCCATGTTATGATCCTAAGAAAGGCAAAGGGAAATACAAGTCTGTTACAGCAAACCCTCACTAGTTCACACTCCCGTTATGCGAAGTTACAAATCTTCTTTATGCTTCTTGGAACATGCTTTCTCTTGGTAATCTCATGGATCATTCACTGAAACAGTTTACATCAATGAATTCGTCTGACAGAATCTCCTCAAATTCTACTCACAGTGTAAATGCCAGATGAGACGTGTAGTTACTTTTTATATGACTTTGATGCAAAAAAAAATAATGATATTTTCAAAGGATTTTATGTATTTTAATTATAAATAAGAAAAGACAAAAATAATGTGTTCTTATTTTTTTTTTTGAGTCAGCGCTTTTTTTGGCTGGAGTAGCTGCAGACACGATTTGATAATTTCACTATTTGTTTCATTTTTGTTTTGTTTCTTGAAATAAAGAAATTGCTGTAGTTATAGTTTGTTTTATACATTTTGTACATAAGAACATGAACGATGATTTCTTAAAAAGTCATGTTATTTGGTATGGTCAGTATTCTGCGAGCGTCGTAAGCTTAGATATTGTCGTCTGCTTTCACTGTGAATAAAATGACTAGTAAAAAGTGGTGACTTAAAAGTGAAACAAATAGATAAAGTAACATTGGAATAAATGTTCACTCCTTAACAAAAAATATCTCTAAAAGTATATATTTGCACAGATGGAGGTTTCAAGTCGTTATTTGGAGACAGAAAATTTATTGTTGCAGCAAGTTAAAAAAATCACTTTGTGAGGTCGTGTTCTGTCAAATAGTAAAAAAAAAACCTTACTTACGCATACCGTTCCATTGTTTGATTGCGTAATTAAAAATTCAATTCGAATACATTGTTCGGCAGTAATTATGTAAAACAATTTTTAGAAGACATTCATGAACGTTCATTTTTGCCGTGTGTGAATGGGTGTAAGCAAGTGATAAAGAGTGTTATATTGCTTGAAACACATCTAAAAAAATTAAGTCTATAAAAGGAATGTATTCAGTTTTGGAACAGGGTTTAACAGAGAGATGGTTAGAATAAAGAGAAATTCATGCACACCTTTTTTTTCCCAATCTTTTTGAAAAAGAAGGGATCATGAAGAATTATCACGTCAAGAATTCTGCTCGCTGTGAATGAACTGTGCTCGTTGCATTTTTTGTGCAACACATTGAAAATGTAGTGTATTGTTGGAATTCTGTGAATATTTTGACTTGAAAAGTCCAAATGCATAAATTTAAAAAGGAACAATCAGATCATTCCATTAATAACAGCGGGGGTAGGTGGTTGTTTTTGATGGGTGGAAATTCTCTGGAATAGATTTTGATTTGAGGGTATTTTTCTTGCTTAATGTGTCAACTTTCTCAGCTGAACTTTGCTAAACAGAAAATCCTTAGAGCAAAGTTTTAAAATGTGAGGCTTGAAAACATGAAGAACTGAAAGTTTCAAATCTTTTATTCCCCCTCCCCTTGTTACTGGAGTGATCTGAAAGCTGTAACTCCTCCTTTGATTAAAAAAAAATATGAATATGTAAAAAAAAACCTCCTAGTTACTGTAGCTTTATTCTGTAAAAAAATAAAACTGTTTAGGTGTTGACAAGAGTGTAGAATACTATAGCTTTGGTATAGCCTAAATAGTCCATGTTGTAGCACAATCGGAGTACGTGGTGTTATTGTGGTGCAGTTAGGGGGGCGCTTCAAAGTTGAACATTTCTCAGTTTTATTTGCACAATTCTACCCATTCGAATTTGAAAATCTTTTGTTTTGAGTTTCAGATATGTATGTCAGTGTTTGGAAAAACTCAGCGGAGAACCAGTCATGCTCAATGTAAGCCCATGCAATTTTGACTGGTAACCTGGGTGTTTTTAATTTTTGGCTATGCATCTGGGATAAATACACAAGCCATCTTAAATAACATTGCCGAGTACAACTGACAAAATTTACTTGAAGTATTGAAGGCAGATTAAATATTAAAAAAATAATTGAACTGTTAATTCAGACGGTCATTTTGAAATTACTTTCATCGGCTTTAAAAAACCCTCGCTTTAAAAGGGTTATTGTAACAGTTTCTATAACGACTGATCGGCCAATCATGATGCACTTTCGCCGCTCTGATAGTAACACACTTTAAGTGTACAGTAAACAGTAAACAGTAAAAAGGTAGTCACTATAAAACTAGTATAAAGCTAATATTGTGCGTAGTACCAGCTATTTCTTGAGATGGTATAGTTATACTACTCATGGTAAATCTGCTGATGTCTGAATGTCAAGAAAGTTACATGGATGAATGCCGTACATGGATTTTGCTACAACAGTGTAGCCAAAATGTACAACAATGCTTTCATGCTGATTGGATGGATGTAAGGAAAGTGCTGTATTTGAGTCAGGATCTGTGGAGGTAATGACCAAAAGTTGGCTTGAAGTTCAGGAGTCCAAAATTGGGAAAACTAGGCCAGGGGCTAGCCCCAGTCTAAGGCCCGCACTGGAGTAGACTCTGTATGCTGGCAGTCTACATGTACTCCAGTGCAGGCCATAGACTAGGGCTAGCTAGGTTCTAGACTTTTTGTGTACCTCCACCCCAGCCTTTACTTCATCCTGCACTTCAGTTGTCATCGAGTCAATCACAAGTCAAGTTTAAAAGTCAGGTCACAAAGTAACAGAGGATAAAGTTGACATTGACAAAGGAATGCCTTAGTCACGGTCCATTGAAAAGCATGTGACTCAATTTAGAACGAATGACTTGTGGTCGACTCGCAGTAAGAATGAGCAGTATGATAATCCACCATCTCAGAAATAGCTGCGTCTCACGCAAACCGCTCATGACTTTGTGTAGATTTCAACCACTCTGTAGCAGCCCTTGAGATACAATGAAATGCTTGAATAAAAAACAGACGTCACTGCAGCAAATGACTTTCTTGAGTTGCCGTCCATGCTTTATTTATTGTATTGATGGTACCGAATGTTTCAGTTGTGGAATATTTCATTTATTTTCCATTTTAGTATCTAGCTTTTAATAATTCTGAGTATTTTAGTACAGAGTTTTTCCAATACGTAGATCTAATGGATGCACTGAATACTTGGTTGTCTGAGAAGCTACAAGAAAAAATTATAAGCTATAGCACCTTCTGCTTCCTAGTGCAAAACTGCTGGCATAACTTTAATGCAAGATGAAAAGCAAAAACTGAAACCACGTGAAGTAAAAATGACAACATTTCTTTAATTTGTGACTCGTACCGTAGATAGTTTTGGTGATTACTAGTCTAAGTAAAACTCTAAAACAGTGATCACTGGAATAATGGAAATATTTACACCATGCTAAAAATATTTTCAAAAATTATTTTAAAAAATTTTGGATTCTGTCTATTGCAAGGTTTTTGGCAACATTGTACAATTTAGCACTAAAGACTTCAATAATATATACTTATTAGATTTTTATTTGAAATAGAAAACTTTTAATAACATCAAAACAAATTTTAGAAAACATTTGATACATTTTGATTAAATTTGACATCTTTGGTTCTTTGGTCACACACTTCAAGACTAAATGATTAGTACTGAAAAACTCTGCTCTATCCTTGCCTATAATTCACCCATATGACATGGTGTAAAGAAAAGCGGTGTCTATACATTTGTCTCTGTACTATTTCACGTCAACTATGTTGTGAAAAAATATCCCACGCAATCTCAATGACAGTATATCAACACGCTCAGACTCTTTAACAGTTTGATCCTAAAAAGTTGAAGTTGACAGCCACTTTTTACAGTTTTACCAGCAGGTTAAAAAGAGACTATAGAATCTTGCAATACCTCTGCAAAACTTCACCTTGGTCCCATGAAATATGCAGTACTTGTCTCCCACTAACTGTAGTACATTTCCTTGATAGTTTCCTTGTAGTATTCCGACAGGGCGCGCCGTTTCAGCTTGAAGGCATCCGTGATGAGCCCGGTTTCCGGCAGCCAGACTTCTGTGCACAGCTTCACTTTCCGGGGGACCTCCCACTTCTGGAGTTTGCCTGGAAGTCAAGGGAACATTCAAATATCGGTGAGCTTGAGAAACTAGAGTTGTGATTATGTCATTACAAGTCAATCACAAGTCTTGCAGTCTCAAGTGGACAACTGCATTGTCATTGTTCATCCCATTGGTTGTGATTTGACCAATGATGTGGCTTGTGGCTTTACCTGTGACCCGACTTGTTATAGGCTTGCAATGACTTGTGATTTAACTTGTGATTTGACTCGTGATCCAGAAACAAATTCATACAAACTTTTCAATTTTTCTTACAAATGTGACTTAATGTACACCACACAAACTCTCAAGTATAACTCGATGTAAGAACACTGGTCAGATGTGTTTCCATGGTAGCTTACCTTCCATAGCAACCTTTGCCATGGAGACCAGTACCACTTGCTCCATCTTCTTACTGGAGCATATCTCCTCGAAGGACTTGCCGGATAAACCCTGCTCTTTGGCCGCACTCTGTCAAACAATAAAAAGTAATTCTCTAAAGTGAATCTTTCACAATTTGTCTCGAAAATTTCTTTTTCCATGTGTGGGTATCACATGAAGGCAAGTTCATACTCTAAGCGAAAACGAAAGCAAGGCAAATTTCATTTCGACAACAATTGAAATTTGATTGTGACGTTCACCGTTAACTTAAAAACTTTGCTTTCAAACTGAAATTCACTGTATGAACCGACCTTGAGGTCCAGAGCAGACAAAAAAGGAAAATTCGTGAATAAGATTCTTGTACCTCCAGATTATTCCTGTAGGGAACCACCAGGGCAATGCAGTAGTCAAAGTCACCGTCGGCATAGATGCAGATGTTCTCGACATAGGGCGATTTCTTGAGGACCGTCTCTATCGTCGCCAAGGAGACGTACTCACCAGTCTGGAGCTTGACAAGGTCCTTCTTGCGATCTATGGAGTACAAAGGTAAAAGTTTTACCATTTAGAGTGCAATAATAGCGAGATAAATTCATGATGAATTATTGATGGAATTTTGTGACATAATTAACTGTTGCCTCAAATTGAGTGGCAGTGCAAGTGGTGAGTTAGTACTTATTATATTGCCGACAAACATTTGTGACATTAATGCCCATATTTTTTATGCAACAAGGGCACTAGGTGTACACATTCTGAAACTTGTCTGGTAGGCCTACATCTTAGTATAAATTCTCTAGACCTTTTTCTCTAAAATTTGGCCAGATGTCTTCCACATTTCAAGACAGTCACAAACCAAACAGTCATTAACAGCGTGATATTCTTTGAAAAGGCTCAATTTTTCTGCACTACGCAATTTTATTACATAAAAAAAAATGTATGGCGACTTCACAATCACTTCAATCAAGTCACATTTTATCGTTTCAAATTTATACCTCCAATAAAAACGAAATATAAGAGTGAGAAAAATCTGACCAATAATTCTGAGTGTTCCATCGGGCAGCATTTCCCCAATGTCCCCTGTGTAGAACCATCGCTGGCCGTCGACCGTCTTGAAGTACTCGTCAGTCAGGGCGTCATTCTTGTAGTATCCCATGGCAACGTTTCCCCCGCCTATCAGGATCTCCCCCCGGGGGTGGGGCCTGTCCTCCGGGGTGTAACCACCTGAAGTAGAGAACGATCACAAGTCAATTCACAAGTCCAGTCACAAGTAACAGGGGACGAGCAATGACAAAGAAATGCCTTTGTTACATCAGTTCAGTTGAATATCTTGTGAGTTGACTAGGAACTGGACGACTTGTGATTGACTTGTGATTGACTTGTGATTGACAAGAGATTGACTTGTGATTGACTTGTGATTGACATGAGATTGACTTGTGATTGACTTGTGATTAACTTGTGATTGACTTGTGATTGACTTGTGACTGACTTGTGACTGACTTGTGATGGACTTGTGATCGACTTATGATGGACTTGTGATGGACTTGCGATGGACTTGCGATGGACTTGTGATGGACTTGTGATTTTGTGATTGACTTGTGATGGACTTGTGATGGACTTGTGATGGACTTGTGATGGACTTGTGATGGACTTGTGATGGACTTGTGATCGACTTATGATGGACGTTGGAAGTTTTGTGATGGACCTTACTACAACACTAATGATTCAAGTTACTTCTTTAGGATTTTGGAGAACTTGTGAGATAAACGTCCATGTTGGACTTGAACCATTGACCTTTGCAAATATCTTGATGCTCAACCTCAGATCTTGCAAGTTTCAACTTTACAAATGAACTCAGAAACTGAAAACTAATCTCACCTTCTTGCCACTCAAGTAGCTTAATCTCGCAGCATGACAGCGGCTGACCCACGTGACGTGTGATGAAGTCACCGGCTGAAAAAAAAAAAATTTAATTATTGACTTTGGGCCAAAATTACTTGTTGCTTTCTCAACAACCTTTTGTTTTTAATGTGTCTTATGGTACTAAATTATGATGGAGATTTCTTCTGGGAGTTTTGAGTTGAAGCAGCACCATCGCCAGCTCCAGCAATTGGGGGAGGGGGGCTCAGTACCAGCTAGGGTACAGGAAAAAACACTTTGTAAAGAACTTTTTTGCTGATGGGGGGGGGGGGGGTCAGTTGCCCGCTGGGGGGAGGGGGCCGCCTCTCTGGCTCCCCCCCCCCTTAGCGACGGGCCTGAGTTGAAGGCTAAACAGAAATACATATTATTCTGACTTTCTACATGAAAACATCCACAATTTTACACTCACGTTCTGCAACAGTGCCACCCCCGCTTGTCTCTGTCAGTCCGTAGCCTTGCATTATGCATGTGCAGAAGCAGCACTGCATGAAGTGTTGGGCGCTTTGCGACAGTGCAGCGCCCCCACACAGCATGAGCTTCATGTTACCACCAAGCATGTCCCTCATCCGAGAAAAAATCAGCCTGTACGAGAAAAAAAACATTAATTAACTTTTTTGTAAGGTATAGCAAAACATATACAGAAAACATATATAGCGAAAAATACAAAACATGTAACAAAACATTTACAGAAAAATTTACGAACATGTTGAAAATGGGCGTGTCAAATCCTTGCTCAATGTGTCGCAGCTTGTAGTCGTAGGCAAACTTGAAGAGCGCCCTCTGTAGGGGAGAGCCACTGTTGACTTTGTCCATCACGCCTTTGTAGAGCCGATCGATAATCAGCTAAAACAAAACAAAACACAACAAAAATTGTAATTGACATTGTTGCAAATTATGAACTCTGATATAACTTCACCTGATGATTTGTAATTATTTAACCTTCACTAATCTCACCTGTTGCAGTCATTTGCTTTGTTCACAGAGTCTGCTCAATGGAAATCGATGAATTACTTTTTGGTTCCTCAAAAATCTGATTGTCCTTTGACTTGGGTGTTAAGGCCAGTACACAGTTTTGACGTCCGAAAATATTGGCTGCAAAATTTGCCAAGTTGAAATGTGTTCAACTTTGCAAATTTGCATTGCAAAAGCTTGTCTTGTCGTCACAAATTTGCTTTCACATTTGCTTTCAGCCTGAGTAACTGGCGTTTAATAATAATAAAACAGAATGAAAACAATGAACAATGTCCATTGAGTTATATATCACCTCTTCAACTCCTATAAACACCATTTTGAGCCGATATATTCACTCACCATATTCAGAAAGAAAATCCTCATCCTGCACTTGTAAGCAGGAGGCAGTGGGTTGGAGTCTCACCCAAGTAAGCTTGTGATGATTTCGCACAAGCCGACAGAAAGTGTATAAAAAACTTCAATTATAGCATTATGATTTTCTTAACTCACAGGAACTGTCGCCATGACGGTTGGTTTCAGCACAGACACGTCCCCCTTGCTTCCCTTCTTGACTTTACTGGAGATATCAGTCATGGTGAGTGGGGAGGAGTAGCCAAGCCGACACCCCTCAGAGAGGAGGCTGCACTCCAGGACCACCTCTAGGATGTGAGCCAAGGGCAGGAAACAGACACAGGTATCGTCCGATACCAGCTGAGCGATGCCGCTGTAGTTTGCCGAAGAAAAAAAATGACATTGGTTTTTTTTTTACTCACCCTGTACGACCATATTGGAATGAAAGTCACTCGTTCATGTTCACGTACCTTGAGTGAGGTATTCTGTTCTTGGCGCCCGACACCATAGACATGATATTCTTATGGGACATCATGACGCCTTTCGGTATACCAGTGGAGCCACTGGTATACATGATGATTGCTAGATCATCAGGATCAGGTTGAGCGCGAGTTGTATCTGAAAAAAAATAATAAAAAGAAGTATCCCAGAAACAATAAAACTTAAATAAAATGAGATATGAACATTCTTTTTGAATATGTAGTATTGATTTGTATCAATAATACTCAAGGGAGAAATGGAATGATTAAAATTCTTGATTAAACATTTGGTAAAAATCCACTGTGGTATGGCTCTTCAAATTATTCAAAACCAATTTTCCAGATTTTTGCAAATTTGATATAAAATTCCTTTTTGTGTTTTTTTTCCAAACCTGTGTTTGATTCCCCATGTTTGACGACTGATTGGAAAGAGTAAAGCTTCATTTCATCACTGAACTTGCTGGTGTCTGTTTTGGTCAGCTGGTCCTCCATGTAGACAATGGTCTCAATTTGGGGGATATCTTTCTGAATAGCCTGTCAGAAATGAAGAAATCGGTATCCAAATAAAACAATCCAACAAAAATTTGTGTATCCTTTTATTTGTGGTATGTTACCTTGTGAAGCGAAGCACTGTCAAAATATATGGCCTTATAAGGTAACACTAAGTTATGCATATCAGCAATGCAAATTAGGCACACTTTCAACCAATCGGGAACCTTCTTTAAGTACTTTTCATTTTCATTGGAGGAGTAGAGTTTGGGTGTACTTGCCACTGTATCCAAGCTCAATATTGAGGGCCATTTTTTAAAATGAACTCTTGGTTTTTAGAAAGAAACCATATACTTCTTAAATCACTTTCATAAAAGCACAAAAATGTCATCCTTCAAAAGCTCATTTTGCGTCACTGAATTTATTCGTTTGTTGATTTGCAAATTTCAGACAAGCACAAACCTTAAATTTGGGCAGAAGACTCGAACTTGTGATGACAACGCGAACTCCTGTCTCTTTGATGCCATGTATGATTGCCTTCTCTCCTAGCGTAGCATAAAGTGTCACCACTACCCAAAAAAATAATTAAATTTCTTTTTAGAAAATCACTAATTTATAAACGATGCCCTGTGAGTTTTCAAGGTAGATGCATCCAAGTATTGGCACAAACTGAAAATGGCAACATTTTTTGTTCAGCAAATTCTGTACTTATGTCTTGCTATTGCCATATTAAGCACATTTCTTGTGCTTCAGCTTCGCACAGCTCCATGGAAATTGGCCTAAGATGGGCATGGAACCGTGGGGTGTGTGGTTGTCACTTCAAAAAGAAAGAAATTCATCCATCGTTAGAACACCACTGTAAATTGGTCATTCTATAAATTTGGGGTCCATTTTTTCCCCTGTCCCTGTTACATCTGACATTTGTGATTTTATGATTCTGATGCAGTCCATTTAATGCAGTCTTCCTCCAAGAGTGATTATGAAAAGCAAACTATTATACATAAATAACCTACCCAACTAATAAAAAAACATTTGAAGTCATTCTTAATGATACATGAATGGCAAATTACAAAGTATACCATGGTAATAGAGACAGGGAAAATGTCGCACCTTGGACCCTAAATTAATACAATGACTCGAATATAAATACAACAATGTTCAATGTCCTTCAAAAAATCTGGAAACTTACCGGTGAAACCGTACCTGAAGCAAGCCTGCAGGGAAATCAGGAACTCTGCTCTTGTTTCAGCAAAGATGAGAACGTTCTCCTTGTGTTGGACCCCGAGGCTGCGTAGGCCCCGCCCAAGACAATCTACAGCAGTGAAAGTTTCTTCATAGGTCTGCCAAATGTACTCACCCATCACCAGCTGTGAACAGACAAATTAAAAAGTTGACAAATTCAACATGTAAAAACTATACTTTAAACATTTCAGATGGCACAATGGTACACTCAAAATTAAAAGAGGTACTCAGTATTTGAATCAATGAAATGTTGAATAAAAAACCTTTTTTCCATTAATATCCCTTATGAGGCAGAGCACACTGAGAGTTTTATCAAGATGCAATCACATTACTTAAATCTCTTCTTCAGGCAACGGAAGAATCAACAGCTATGAAATAATGAAGTGTAAAGAGGCAGAGCAAAAGAGGTGGGGCTTAAAAGAAGGGGAGGACCAAACAATAAAGTGGAAAGGAACGAGGAACTATGCACCTTACGGTCTTATTATTTTGGAAGCATCCTTTTGATAATAAAAGAATCAAAGACAGAGGAGGAATATGGAAAAAAAATATGGATGGAAACAGAGAGAAGTAAAATGTTAAAAGGCATCCCAAACCTTTTTAAATGATTTTCCGTTGGGTTGCATCTCATCCTCTTCCTTATATATCTCCCGTGTCCCCAGGCAAGGCATTTTGCCGTACTTGTACGTCACGTGCTCAAACTCCCCGTCCAGAGTCTGGTACTTCTCATGAGGGTGGGTGGTCAGCCGGCGAGGATGGGAGGAGTCTCGGTATGGCCCCGCCCGGTCTCTGAATTGTAACAGTGTAGTATATAATCCCACTTTTGCTTTAATTCAAACTAAGTCTGGTTTTTATCTTTCCAAAATCACATCTGCAATATCAAGCCTTCCTTCTTTTCCTTACTTTACAAAATTTTCAACAATATGTTGGCAGAAAATAAGACTTTCTCATCGTTTATTCAGATGATGCCGTTTTGTGTTGTCATTGTTGCAATGATTTTACCCCACAATTTTTTTTTCTAACTTCAACATGCTAGCCTCTTTTCAAAACATCCTTGTTACGTTTCAACATCGCCAACTATTTGGATGAGTCAGTATAATAAAAATGGATTTTATTAATATTGTTTTATCATTTATTCGGCCAAAGTACAAACATACAACTAGCAATCCACAAAAATAAACCAAAGTTAGAGAAAATTGCAGGCAAATTCTAACAAGCAATCTCCAAGAACAAAAAAGACAGTCCAATTTTAATTCTATATAATCTTCTGAAAAATTGTACTTATATGTTCTTCCTTGGAGTTCCTTTAGCTTTGAATCAATTTTGGTTACTGAAATTTATTTGTCTGTGAAACTTGGCAGTGATTTTATTTTTCAAAGAGCGGGGTCCTGAACTACACCATTACCCTTTGCCGACGTTGACGCCCTTCATGCGGTCGCGTCGGTGGCGGAAGGGGGACGCCGCGACGTAACACGGGATGTACGTGAGCGCATCGTAGATCCACACCACCCACGCCAACAGGGTCATGATCACGGAGACGTAGAAGGGCTCCAACGGCTCAGCCTCCGGCATCTTGAGGAGTTGACTCGAGGTATTTGACCTAGAGGTTAGAAATTGCCAGTCGATTATGTTATTGATGGATCATAATTATTATTTATGATAACAGTTATACCACATACCTATTATCCTATTCAACTGTCTTTGTATAGTAACTTTGACAAGTGCCATAACTTCGGTGACAGGTGCACTGTCCTGGTATCCCCTACTCGAGGCCTGTGCCCCCCCCCCCCCTCCCCGGTAATGCACCCTTTCCCGATGCCCCAAATTAAGTCCCTTCCCCTGCTAATAACCCATTTTACGCCACTTGATATGACTGAAAACTCAGTCATGCAAAAGAGAAAGAAAGAACAAAAGGAGCTCGGCTGCAAACTGCCTATAAAATTACACAGACTTACCTGAAATATTAGAACTATGAAAGTTAGAGAACTTGGTATTTTGATCTCAAAAGTTTGCAGAACCACAAAATGGCTGCATTACTTTCCAGGTAAGCACTCGCCAGGTAGCTGCACATACTAGGGGCCTATACAAACTGGTTTTTCAGGGTCCTTGAAGTTGCAAAGTACGCTCCATGGAACAGCTGAAACTGTATTTGCTCGTCAGGAAATCAAACATAAAGTTCCAAAGAGCGCGTCAAAGTTCACCAATTTGAAAGATAACCAATTGACCCCGTTGTCCTCGGCTGCCGGATGTGCATTTTCATGCCTTCAGTCATTGTTTTGTTGCAATTAGGCCTATACCAAGCAATCATAAAAAAGGGCATTCACTTTTCCTCTCATAAGTTCAGACTTTTTGAGACCGGCAAGAAACAAAATGATAGGCCTGAAGCGAGATATTCCCCGGGCTTGTCATTATAAGAGTTATGATGTAACAAGAAAGGATCCGGGGGGGGGGGGGGGGGGGGCGCCAAAGGGGGCCATGCAACCCCCCCCCCCCCCCCAAAAAAAAAAAAAAAAATCACGAACTGCGTAGTGACTACCATCTTTTCCTAAAAAAATAATTGGTGGTCAGAAACTGCCTCAGATCGCACCACAGAGAATTAAAAAAAAAAATTCGGGGCCCAAAAGCGGGACCTGAACCCCACGCCGGAATTTTTCGGACCCACTTTTTGGGGGACCAACATTTTTTGGCCCCCCACCCCCAATAAAAAATGCGTTCTGGATCCGCCCTTGTGATGTAAATAAACAAAATTACCACAATAAATTATTATATATATATATATTACAAATGAACAAAATGTATCCTGGCTTGGAGTTTTAAAAAAAAATTATACGGAACTAATTGCTGCCTTGCCAAACAACCGTAGGCAAAAGGGCAAAGAAATTATTCATTTTGATTGCTGCAACAACAACAAACATCCTTTGATGTGTTTACTGAATACTTATTAGAAGCTTAGACAATTCAGACAGTGCTAGAAGGAAGACATTAATGAAGTTTGTGTTATAACTTTTTCGCGGGAACTGTCAACCTTTCGGCCAGTGCACGTGTAACGTGTGACGTATGTAAACAAGTTTCATGAATAGTCGGGCTACCGTGCAACGTGCTCTTTGTTATTAGAAAGGCCGAAGCGGAGCAGGACACCAGTCCGATTGGTTGTATGGTTTGTGTATTCGCGATGTGAACCCCGGTTCATGATTTTTGTTGTATTTTTGCAGAAATTGTTATGCTAGGTAGTTTATACCATCAGAGGATTATTCTTTGAGCTATGGACGCGATTGACGATGACGAATTTTTCGATGACTGGATCATCAAGTCCATGAAATCGTAAGTTATTGACAGCGTACGTCTATTCTAAACGACATGTCGATTCACACTTTTCGTGTTGAGCTATCCCTTTTTGGACTACCGAACTTAAAGTTAAAATAGAAAACTACAGGGCAGGACCTACATGTATCTTGCAACTTTTCTGCACGCACAGTTAAAAATCTCTGTCAAGATCACCTGCTTGCTCTTTGCATTTTGTATTTTTGTAAATTGTAACAGGTTTCTGTTAAATTACTACTATACTAGGTCTAATTAGTCAGTTTTTAATTAATGCATCTATACGCAGATTAGATGGTCACAGTATTTTTCGTCTTTTTTTTCTTCCACAGTTACAAACATCTGCATATGTTTGACCTGCCCCAGCCAACTTGTGTAATTGAATGGAACGAAAAGAACGGTAAGATCTTCTCCAATGTCCTTTGATAACAAAAAAAAAAGTCTTGTCCATCCCCATCCCCAATGCCACAATCTTAAAAAGAAAACAAGGACAGCGCAAAGAAAAAGTAGAAATGTTCCAAAAAGTTATTAAAAAAATTCCTTAGAAAAAAAGCTCTCAGGCGCTGCTTTTGCCTTTTTAAAGTCGTCTTTTGTTCCCTATCACTGCAGGTATCTTTGTAGCTGGCTGCAGTCCAGACTGTCGCAATGAGATCTTAGAGATGAGCATCCCGGCCAAGCTGACGTGGGAGTCCAGCAGCAAGACAGCGGCAGGACTGACTAAGGACAGAGACTTCAAGATGTTGAGAGGAGGCTTCAGTGATAAGCCCATCCACTGCTTGAAGTATCTCAGAGGAACTCGACCAAGGTAAGTGGTTTTCAAGTTCTTCAGGCCAGTATTAAGGTCGGTTCATACTTCATGCGAATGCGATGCGAATTTGATGTCACGAACCATTTGCTGCGAAATTCCCGGAGTTAAAATGTGTTCAACTTTTGCGAATTCGCAGTGTGAAAACTTGCCCTGACGTCACAAATTTGCGTTCGCATTCGCTTTTGCGCCGAGTATGAACCGGCCTTAATAGGAGGGGGTCACAAGAAACCGAGGTCCATTTTTATTATTTTTAAATAACTTTATGTTTATTTCAGCATAGCCAGGGATGTCACGGGGGTGGGTGGGGGAGGAGGGGGGGGGGTTAGTGAGGGGGGGAGGTTGGCCTCTGTGGTCAAGTTTTTTTTTTGCACATTTGTTCTTGTTAGCATAAATGAATAGCACCACCAAGTGGCAGATGGGCGTCCAGGATTGTCCGCTTCAAAGAGCACCCAAAATGGTGTCTAGGGCCCCCCCCCCCCCATTCACAAGTGACAGTGAGGTACTTTAGGCCATGACCAGCTTTATGACGTGACCAGCAAAAATCCCATTTGACAAGTAACTGCTCAAAAAGAGGCGAAGAAATCAAACTTACCTTTAAATGACTATATCCCACAGATAATTATGAAAAGCTGAAGCACACGGATGCATACAACTCCTGGGACTAAGCAAACAAGAAATTGATAGATACGAACCAACACAGACAGCCTGAAGGCTATAGTGGTGTGATCATTGCCTGGGGTTAGAGTACTTGAATATTCAATGGGGTTTGCCTGATGTTATCAGGGATGTGTCAATATTGTCTCAAAAATAGGCAAGGTCATAGGGATGTGACAAACACAGTGATTTTTTAAGTGACACAAGTTGGGAAGGAGTTTAGAACTGGAGGGTTGGAAAAGGTAAATAATGGCGACAAAAAAGTACAGTGTGCAAGTTTTCCTGCGCACTGAGGAGATATATTTTAGTAGACACCACAAATATGATTTTAATGTAAAGTACATTTGTAAATATAATTTGACGTCACTGAAACATAAATGTACACAGCTGTTATTATGAGGTAGCTGCACTTTTTCAACCGATGTTTACTTTTTACCCTATCATCATTACAAAAATGAAAATTCATTCTAGATAATGATTTTCCAGAAAACTTTTAAACTTACTTTAATTTGAATAAAAAAAATTGGGGGGGGGGACCAGTTGGATTTTGTACATTAAACCAATGTATTTCCAGATGCATTCACTTATTATTCACTGTTTCCATTTTGGGGTCTTTTTTTGCTCTCTCTCATCCAGACTGATTGTCACTGGTAGTCATGCCAGCCCACACCTGGATGTATGGCAACTGGACACAGAGACCAATGATGTCATTAAGAAGCTGCCCACAGTGCCTGGACGAGCGACAGAAGGGGGCGGAGTCAGGGGTGGGGTCAGGGGCGTGGCCCAACGGCCAGGTCACAAAGGTCACGTAGCGTTTGGCTCTACGATGTCCAATCTGCAGGTTGCTGATGTCGGGACAAAAGAGGTGATAGCGACAGGTGAGATAAAAATACGGGGAAGTACTTAACAAGTAAACAGACCTGATTTCATGGAGAAACACAGAAATCTGCTAAGTGCAACAAATATTTGCTTAGCAGAAGCAAGCCAGTGGCCCAACTGAAGAGCAATTTATTTGGATTGTGACTGCTTCTTGGCTGATCAATTTGAGCTTAGCACAAAGATTTGTGTAGCATTTTTGTCTGATTGGCAAGTCTGTGAACTTTGAACCCAACAAAAAGACTGACAAATAACTGTCCATGTTTTCATACAAAGAATGTTCATGCTCAAACTGAGGATCCAAGCATCCACATTGTAAGTAAAAGTGAAAAAAAAATGTCTAGAAGACTCATGCCAATAGAGTTTCTAAGACATTCATCCTCCTTTGATTAGGAATTTTGTTTAATTTATGAATCTCCAATAATTGTTTTTTTTTTATAGATTTTGGGAAAGCTGACTGTGTGGTGGAGATGAAATTTCTGAATGAGAACGAGTTAGTGACGTGCAATACCCAGAGGGGCCTCATTAATATTCATGACCTGAGAATACCTTCAAGCCAATCACCACCCAGTAACCACCTCATGAGTAATTCAAGAACTGGAACTGAACAGAGCATACTAGATGGAGACTCATCCCCCAAAGACATTGACCAATCACATGTAGGCTTAGATACTTCAATTCCTGAAAGCTCCAATGAGAATACCTCTTGCAAGGGGGGAGCAACATGGACCTTTGACCTCAGGTGTACATCAGACACTAATCTAGATCCCTCTAATGAAGGAGACATTGCTTGTAAGAAACCCAAGCTGGATGCTACTGTGGCAACAGTTGTTAGCCTCTGCTCCAGCGGTGAACTTCTTATCAGAGACTTAAGAAACCTTGAATCACCACTGCACCATGTTAAACTTGGAGATGAAAGAAGACTAAGGAAGTCAGGAAATTTAACAGTGAAGGTATGTATGATTTGAAGTGATCAACTCTTTTCAGGTCCTAAAATTCAGACGCCATTGTTTAGCATAAAGATCACAGGATTTTTTTATTGATGGTGAATGTCTGATATACGCTGAATTAAATCATTTGGAATACTTTGGCCTTTTGGCCTGGTGCATCCAATTTTATAGGCGCTATAGGATTCATTTTTCCTGATGTGATTTCATTGTATTTTCTTACAGTGGTGTCCAACAGAAAAGACTTTGCTCTCAGTATCTGGTAAGAATTATCACTTTTCATGTCATTCTAAATAACTTTATCCTTTTCATTTGAATGAAAGTAGCATAAAGAATAATATAAAGAGGAAATGTAGCTTTTTGTCAACTTGATTTGTCAGAACGGAATACATGTATATCCGGCAAATAAATAGAATTTCCATTTTTTGTTTACAGGATTGAATGGATGTGTGGACATCTACGACACTTCAACATGGCAGCAACGCTCAAACTCTCCACCAATGGTAAAGCCCGTCTTCAGCCACGAAGGTCACATAACGGGCGAATCAGCCAATCAGGATGTGGGGATATTATGCCATGCCTGGCATCCATGGCAACCCTGCGTGGTGATGTCATCAGGTAGCGACGGCTCGCTGCATGCCTGGGACTGGTCTTCTGTCTCATGATTTGGAAAAATATTATAATTTAGTCTTTTTTTTAACAGCAACTTTTAAACTCTTACCTTGAACATCAACTGCCACAAACATTTGAGGAAATATAAAATTATGCAGACTTGCCTATTAAAGGTACGTAGGAACATTGGTAGTTATTGGAGAAGGGACCTATCAATTTGATAAGAAAAACCATGTTTAAATTGAAGATAGAGATTCTCAAATGTGTCAACGAAGCTGAAACTTCAACAGATTAATTATTCATTCTACTTATGATTTTGAGCAATTTTGTATTGCTTCAAACAAGTAAAGCAAATGATCTTATATAGCTTAACGACTTACTGTAAAGATGAAATTTGCACAAATTTTCTTGTTTATTATTTTTTTTAACCTGGTTGGAATCAAACTTGAGTTTCCTGCTATGTTGGAATTGCACTGAGTTTTTGTTAACAGTCTCTCCAAAATGAACCTATTTACAATCATCAGGTTATTTTGCCAGAAAGGTCAATCAAGGACATTTGTTCTTCCTCCTCGATGTAGAATACGGACACAGACACGAAATTCCATTGTAATTAATTTTAACAAAAATAAGGAAACAAAATGACAAAGATGTTACCATGTCAATAGAGGGCGCCCTTGATTAATTTGGTGGTGCAAAAGAAATGCAAGTACTGAGGCCATTTCTCAAACCTCGGCTTCGTCTCCATTTCGGCTTCAGGCATGTTGTTTACACATGAGCTAGAGACAAACCAAAGACTAGGTTTAAGAAACGTTCTGGGTGTTTGGTAATGGATAGTATTAAACACTTGTAAAGCAGTGACCTGATGCGAATAGTCTCGGGGTGTATATTGTAACCTTACAACAATACAGGCACAGGGAGTGTTTGTTGTCATTGAGAAGGGAGGTTCAAATATTTACTTATAGCCATTAGTGTCTCAGTTTCGGCAGCAAGTTCTTCCATTGTGGTTATACACTGACCTTTACAACCAATCTGGAAATCTAGAACGTCTTATTGGTAACTTTCAGATCTCAATGCCATTGGATATTGTACAAAGTCAGGATGCAAAAGTCGATTTTTGTGTTTCTATATTTGTAAGCTTTTATGTCTTTTTCAATTATAGTTTGAGCTGTCAAACTCATCTGAAAGAAAAAAAGAATCTGAAATAGAAATTGGAAACCGATAATTCTTGTGTGTCTTTCGTTGTTGAATTACAGAGCACAAACCTCCGCCAAGGCTAAACAATTCCCCGCCATATTGTCAGTACACCCAAAAGAAATACTCGCATAAATGGTGAAGAATCCTAATTCCTGGATCCAGACCCAGATCCGGATCACTTCCAAAATCAAATCGATTTGTACTTATACCAAGGACCACCCCTAAACAAAATTTCATGAAAATCCGTCTATAACTTTTTGAGTTATCCTGTTCACAGACAAACCAACCAACCAACAAACAAACAAACCAACGCTGATGAAAACATAACCTCCTTGGCGGAGGTAACAAGAAGGTTTAGTGTTGCGCAAATTTGGACTGGGAGCGCTTGGGGCAATGCAAATAGAAGGCCCGTTACAATTCATCGTGACTGTTGAGACTGTTTGACTTTCTATTGTCATCCTTCTGGCGCATTTGCTGTTCGCCTTAAGTTGCGTCTTAAAGAGGTATTTCGAGCCGTGATTTTCCTTGTCGGTCGATGCTGAAGGAGGAATGCATATTCTCATTACGAATGCAGATCTGTATGTCCGTGAATATAGCAGTTGTAATTAATATTCCGTGTGTGTTATTACAAGAATGGTTGTTTGAATACCACTACACTAGCGAAGTGTCTGTAGCGGTGACGTTATCACACACGAGACAATCAGTCAATATCATCATCATTAACGCTCATTTGTGACAACGATAAGAGGCAAATCAACAGCCGCTATCAGACACGGGCGAAGATAGGATCATAACGGTGACGATTTTTGACTGACAATGATAGCCTGGATTGATTGTTCTGTACACGGTGCGGATCACTTTGATGACACGGTACGGGAAAGGGAGACCAGCGAAATTTGTTCCTGGCGGATTGAGCCGTGGATTGTGCCAAAATCACCCGGACGTTTCTTGCGGAATTGCCTCCGTGTGGTTCTGATATTGTAACAAGACGGAGATGGATGGACGGAGACGTACATTGCCATTTTAACCTCCAAAATAAAAGTCTTGCATCAGCCTTTCACTTGATGGAGCTAGATGGATGATTAACGTGAGGAAAATGAAAAATTTCCAACTTGAAAAGAATGGTCTGCATTTGGAACAAAAGTCCGTTTTTCTTGTGGAATCTTCGGGGGACCCACTGCGTTCCTTGGCAGGCATCAACATCAACTGCAACGAAAGATCTTTCGCAGACAGTGTTTAATGTTCTCCTTCTGGGAAACACTTTTCTGTAAAATCTTCCATGAAACGATCGTTACTGTGAAATATACGGAGTCTGTGACTCGCCTTTTTACCTGCAGTACATCAAGATTGAGCGGGAAAATAAATTGTTAATTAAATTATTTATGGTTCACTTTCGCCATTAACATAAATTCTCCCTCATGCAAAGCCGTCATTCTGAATGGTGCTCGAAACCCTCTCCAAATCAATGTAGGGTTTATTTTGGCTAAAATCTGTAACACTCCGTATGATTTGTGAAAATAACACACGTGGTAAGTGCCCACACTCGACCGCCATTTCCATGCCAAAGAATGACGTCACTCTTGTATTGACCACTGTGATAGCCTCTTGAACTTCAGACTTTCAGTGCGCTTTTGGACAAAATTACTGATCTACAACGCCAATTTTGAGTTTCGACAATCATATTAACTTCCAATATTTTGAGTCCACTGTGAGGCTTCCGGGGTTCTCTGACGAAGAAATGGAACATTCTCAATTTGAGTTGCTTGGTCTCAGTTTTGGAGGATCTAGACATCACATTTTGTGCTTGTACGCTATCTGTGCGTGTACGCTGTGTTCATGTACGCGCGCGTGATTAAAAAAAATGCAAACAGTTCTTTTCAGTGCCTGACTCTTGAGACGCAAAACATCTAGAAAACAAAGTGTAAGTAGCCAATTTTTATTTAACAGAAATTGAAAAAATATTATGACAGTTCACAATAATTACAATACTCTGGCGTGAGTCTGTACAAATTACTAATGTGAAGGAGTTTTTATGCGAAATTTTGTAAAATAACCTGTATAATTCTGCATGAAAATCATTATGCCTATAATAGGTATAAATTCGTAAATTTACAGAGACTCGTCAGAGTATTGATACTATTTTTTGGTCGTATTGAGATACTTGTCAGTGTTTGTCTTTCTGCTAACGCAGAAATAGTGCATGTGAACTCGAGATGACACGTCGATCATCCCCTGCACACATTCATGATTGACAGATAGATATCAGCTCAACCGTATGCAGACAATAGCCCCTGCTTTTGATTGAATAATGGAAGCATGAAGATTACCTTGTCAAATTTGTTAAACGGAGATTTTGGAGTGACACACCAAATGTAAATATTGCAGATAACTGTAGTTGAAGTGGGAATTTGCTACTGGAAAGAGTGCAGTTCAACACTGTATTTTGTCCAAGTTAGTTCCAGAGGGAAAAAATCCTCATACGGTGTATTGCCGGGTGTTGTTCTGATCCAAAACCTTTTGGGTTTTAAAGCTACAAATATTCCGCATGAAGTAATAAATCCCTGCAGTAATTGATTCATTTTTTTAGGTTTACACCTTTACAGGATCAACTTCTGAATGATGGGACACACGACCTTGAACGAAGACTACGAAGTCGACCAAAGAGCCGTCATTGGGCGTGGCCGCTTCTCCACCGTCAAACTTGCATTTAGCAGACGACACGGTCGCCATGTTGCCGCCAAAATCACTCCACTCTCGCGAGAAAATGACGACCCAATCTCTAACGCCTCGCAGGAATTCCAGATCCTGTCCAGACTGGATCACGGAAACATCATCGACGTTTATGATCACTTCGTGGAGGCGGGGTCCCTCTGGATTTTCATGGAGCATGCGCAGAACGGCGACCTGAGAAAGTTCGTGCACCTGCGCAGACGGCTCTCTATAAAATTGGCGCGAAAGTTCTTCAGACAAATTTTGGACGCAGTGGCGTACATGCACAGCCAAGACGTGGTTCACAGAGACATCAAATGCGAGAATATTTTAGTCACAGGAGATGAGGGTATAGTGAAACTTTGCGATATGGGATGTGCCGTTTCACTCACCGAGAGGACCGAATCCGACCCGCCGTCCCAACACCGGGAGGGGATCTACGGTTCTCCCGCCTACGCCGCACCCGAGGTGTTAGACCGTACGGCCCGGGGGTTGAAGCCGGCCGACGTGTGGTCCACCGGCGTTGTGATGTTCTTCATGGTATGCGGCTACCTGCCGTTTGGCTGCGACGATGTGCCCAGGATACGGGCCCGGATGACCTCGCCTCTCCGCTGGCCTAGACCTTTGAGACAAATCGATAAAGACTGTCGTGAGTACGTGGAATCCATCTTACAACTGAGACCAGAGGATAGGCCGACCGCTGCCGATGCACTACGAGGAACTTGGATGAAAAAGAACTGAATATAACTCGTACCACCAATGTTGAATCTCAGTACCTAAACATGTCCGTGTTAAACTGTTCATTAGTGCACTGTTCGCATTGGGATGGGGAATTTCAATTTTCGGTGTGCACATGACATGAACTTGAATGCAAAGTTAGAGATGTCCGTTTTGTTAAATGCCATAAACTTTCATCCAATGAGCGCACATCATGCATCAAATGGTTTTATGTTTTACTAATACCATGTAAAACTTTTTATATAAAAGCTTAAGTTTTTTGCGGTTAAAGGTCCGCATAGTTAACAATAAATAAGCAACCTATGCATAGGTTGCTTATTTATTGTTAACTTTACTTCAGGTAGTTTTTGAAGGCCCACTAGAGAGTTTCGGAAAGTCAATACCTGACAATCCATTGACGTAACCAGGAACACTTTCGTTTTTTTATTCAGAGTTAACTGAGATAAATGTCTAAAAAAACTCAGAACACTACAAAGCCAAACTTGGACCAAAAGCCAAGCTTGGACCATATTTTCAGTTAAAATTGAACGTATTTTTTGGCTCTTGCCCTTTATGATTTGAAGAAAAAGAAAGACAGCACATATCCTGAAAACAAATTGTGTAATGCATTTATCGAAATAACAAAAGGTAAAATAACCTTTCTTTTGCAAAATCTCTGTGTGAACTCTTTATAAACAAATATTGCTACGTAACCCCAAATTTAAATGCGTTCTCATGGGCAAGAGTAGATTCTTTAATCAATTATTACCATTGTTTACCTTCGAAACATTTCAAATCATAATATTAAAAAAATAAATATTATTTTTAGTCATTAAAAAATAAATTCGACATCTTTTAGAATTTGATTTAGCATTGCGCATGATTTAAAAAAGAAATTGAGAAAAATGTTAACAACAGGACTCGAACTCGGGGCACCGGGTTGGAAGTCTGCCGCCGTTCCACAAGACTTTACACGATTTCACTTTCCAGCAGTGTTTTTGTTTGGCTTTGACAAATGCTAGGTTTCATGCCAGGCGAACACGTGCAAGCGCTGGTACACGTAGACGCATTGTGCAGTCTTACGATGTTAATATTGCGTTTAAATCTGAGATTTAAGGAAAGAAAACCAATGAGTATAATCAAAATTAGATCGGGAAGGGGTATAGAAGATGCACACTGAAACGCTACTGTTGTAATAAATGAACGAAGCCTGGTAAATCCCTGGTTTTATAATGAAGCACACGTGTTCAACGGATGCAGAGGAGGCCATTTCTTTTGTTAATTTCCTTTGTTGAATCTGGCGTTAACAATAAAATGTTTCCATTGAGGGAAAAGGATTAGACGCCGCTATCTTTTTCCACGCTTGAGTGCATCTGAATGGGTGTTTTTGAAGCGGAAAATCACGAAATACAGCCCTTAAGAAGCATTTTATCCTACATCATTATACTTTTTGAAGAGGAAATTGCATGCTGAACAAGACTATAGTTTCAAAATGTAGAAATTCTGCGTATTTAAAAAGTTGATGTAAAATTTCGGGCCAGTTTTTGCCAAAACTTTCCACTTTCAAACGTAGGTGGCGCTACATAGATTTCAGTCAAAGCGATTACTGATGAAAATGGGACCACACGTTCAGCGCCTGGGGAGGGCCAGGGGCTGGGGGGGGGGTGTTCAAGTACAGACCTTCAGATTTTATATTGATCTATTGAAATTATTGTAAATTGCATAATATTATTATTGAAGAACCTTTCTCATTGAATAATATGTTATATAACAAAATGTGTTGCCTGTGCGAATCCCGTAAATGATTGCTGCTACACCAGAATTTAAATGCCCTTTGGTCCCTGGTTTATTATTAACCTTACAATTACCAGAAACATCGTCTCTTTTTTTTGAAATTTCGTAACATTAAAAATATTTGAATAATTATTATTACATTAAAAAGAGTGTTATTTTTAGTTATTTCAATATTAACACATACTGCAAGTCAATTTAAAAACAAATTGGCACTCACGCATCATAACAGAATATAATTTGAGTAAATAAAAAATAAAATTGTTAACCACAGGATTCGAACCCGGGACACCGGATTGCAAGTCCCCTGTTGTTCCACAAAACTGTACAAGTTTTTGATATCAATAGAAGTTATGATTCGGCTTTAACAAAATCAAGGTCTCATGCTGGTTGTACACGTGTAATCGCTGGTATACGTAGACGCATTGTACAGTCTGACGGTGTAATTATGGGTTTTATTCTGAGATTTTAGTTAATTAATCTGATTTGGGTGATTGGAATTTGAATAAGAAAGGTAAATTGAAACGCAACTGTGGAAATAAATGAACGAAACTTCGCAAGTCCTTCGTTTTATCATGAAGCACACGTGTTCAACGGATGCAGAGGAGGCCATTTCTTTTGTTAAATTCCTTTGTTGAATCTGGCGTTAACAATAAAATGTTTCCATTGAGGCGAAAGGATTAAACGCCGCTATCTTTTTCCACGCTTGAGTGCATCTGAATGGGGAATATTGAAGCGGAAAATCTCGAAATACAGCCCTTAGGAAGCATTTTATCCTACATAATGATACTTTTTGAAGAGGAAATTGCATGCTGAACAAGACCATAGTTTCAAAATGCAGAAATTCTGCGTATTTAAAAAGTTGATGTAAAATTTCGAGCCAGTTTTTGCCAAAACTTTCCACTTCCAAACGTAGGTGGCGCTATATATATTTCATTCACAGTGCAGTGTTGTACTCACTGACAAAAAGTGATCACACGGAATTCACCGCATACGCAGGACAGGGCGTGGTCGAGGGGCTGGGCCTGGAAAGGGGGGGGGCTTTCTGGCTTAAAACTTTATATTTATGTATTGACATAATATAATTATATTAGATATATGTGTTTTACACTTCTAGTAAAATATGTTGGGTTGTAGGTAATAATCATGGGCGTCGCCAGGATTTTTTTCTAGAGGGGGGGGCAAAAAATTTGTTTGCCAAAAATGCTTGCATTTCTCAACATATTCTCGATTAATCAGTTTTAGAGGGGGGAAGGGACATTTTGTCCCCCCCCCCCCCCAACTCATTAAATTTACACCACTTTGTCTTCGCGCCTCTTTTTTTTTTCTTTTCTCTCTTTTTTTTTTTTTGCCCTTCCGGGGGGGGGGGGGGGGGGGCAAGTGCCCCCCCTTGCCCCCCCCCCTCGCGACCTCCATGGTAATAATGTTGGGAAATAACAATTTTAAAACCCTGCCGTGGACAGGTGTAATTAGCCTGGGTAAGTACCGCCATGGTACTATGGTACCACCATCAGAGAAATATATAGCGCCACCTACGTTTGGAAGTGGAAAGTTTTGGCAAAAACTGGCCCAAAATTTTACATCGACTTTTTAAATACCCCACATTTTTGCATTTTGAAACTATAGACTTTTTCAGCATGTAATTTCCTCTTCAAAAAGTATCATTATGTGGGTTAAAATGCTTCCTAAGTGCTGTATTTCGTGATTTTCCGCTTCAAAAACACCCATTCAGATGCACTCAAGCGTGGAAAAAGATAGCGGCGTCTAATCCTTTTCCCTCAATGGAAACATTTTATTGTTAACGCCAGATTCAACAAAGGAAATTAACAAAAGAAATGGCCTCCTCTGCATCCGTTGAACACGAGTGCTTCGTGCTGAAACCAAGGATTGTACAAGATTGCGTTCATTTCCCCCCTCGATTTTGCTTCAATTTACACCCTCTACCCTTTTCCAGTCAAATTCTGATCAACTAAATCAGAATTTATTTGTTAAAATCTCTAAATCAAATGCTCAATTCAATCTTAAGACTGTGTAACACGACTACGCGTGCACGGGCTTACACGCGTGAGCCAACGCGAACCTAGCATTTTTTAAAGCCAAACAAAATCCCTATTAATTAATTGAAATCTTGTTTAGTTCTGTGGAACGGCGAGGGATTGCCAATCCGGTGTCCCTGGTTCGAATTCTGTAGTTGTTTTACCCCAATTTTATTTATTCTTTGTTGGTTGTCTTTCTAACTGCTTTTCTTTTGTTTTAATCAGCCCCAGGGTATGCGGAATTAGACCTCAGAATATTGGGAATATCACTAACATAAATATTAAATTAACCAAAAATAAAAGGACCTTCACACAGCAATCAACTTCTGTTAAATCAAATTCATAGACTTTATTCAAACATCACCTTTATGAAGAAAATATAAAATTGAAAATGTTAACAATGCAAGATACATACACATTTACTGTTTTGTTTTTACTAAACAAGAGTTCTCATATGTTTTTCTTTGAGTTTTGATACATTACTTGACAGTAAACAAGGATTATCAGAGTGCCAGACAAATTCTCTGCTGACTAAAGCAATGGAAAGACGCTCAACAATTTTTTATAACCGTATGACTCCTTGACATTTTTCTTCTCCCAATTTCCCTAAAATCCTACATTTTGTTAATCCCACCATAAACCATCAAGTGACATGTTCTACACTCTACACGAGATATACATATCATGATGCACCCAGCAATGTACTAGATGTGTCAATTTATGGTACAACCAATGTTTTGCAGTGAAGTTTGTTACACTGTTGCTAAATATTTCAAAATTCTCAAAAACTGTGGTTTATAGTTGCATGCAATTTCTTCAACCATGGAGCTATTAAATGGTGCTCCAAAAACATCCCATTCAACATCAAATTAAGTTTTTAAGTAAAACATGGATTTGGGCAGTTAGGTTTAATTATCTATTAATTAAAATGCCCAAGTCTGAGGTAGAACAATATACAGTACTTCTTTGTCCACATTTTTAACTGACATGATTTTTTTTAGAAACAAAACACATAACAAAGAAAATATATTGCAAAAGCTGGACAAGCTCGTACAGGACATTTGCATAACTCCAGAAAAAAACAATTGTACATATCAATATTTACAAAAGTAAAAATGGTTAATTGGAATCAATACGACCCATAATTGTTAGTACTATGCAGTAGTTGAAGACAATGATTATAGAACTCATCTACAACGGCAGCTTTCCATAAATTTTTGATCATATACATGTAAGACATTGTTTTGGAACATGAGCATAAAAAGACAGACAATTAGTTTGAGTGCGTCTGAATTAAATACATGCATATATGTAAATTGAGTGGCTGTATTTTACACATGTATGTCCAACTTGAGGTGCCCATTATTCTTAAGGAATAGCCCACTATCTGGTTTTATTCAGCAACTGGCAGGGACAGCCCACAAAAGTCTCTCCATTTATTTCCAGTGAGGTCCCTTGGTAGAAGATGTGGAAGGAAATTACAGTTTTTATGGCGGGAGGAAAAACCCAGAATGATATTCTAGGTAAAACCCATGGAATCAGGCAGGGACTGAAAACCAATCCACATATTGGCTGAGGCGGGATTCGAACCCGGGTCACAATGGTGGAAGGCGGGGAAAGTTTTGGCAGTTGATTCTCTAAATTTCCTGAAAGTTGAGTTTTTAAGAGAGTCTAGTTAGCGGGGCTCTCTTTCTGCGTTTTTGTCTCAATGCTGCAACACGCTCCAAAAACAACTTCTTTGCGTAATCGTACAGAAGGAAATCCTCCGTGTTGGCTTCCTGGACTTTCAGTTTCTGCTGGCCAGTTAGGACAGTCTTGGCAGCTGTGCCCTTCGTGGCGTCAAACTGGACAAAATCCTTCAAGAATTTTAATCCGAAGGTGCTCTCAAAGAGCTGCTGAGTCTCCTTCTGGTACTCCAACATGCCAAAGAAAGCAAGGCGTCTTAAGTTCCTCTTTGCGCTCTCAAGCATTCTCGCCCGGCGCTCTGCATTCGAGAGTTTTGAGAGGTTGTAGCAGCCCACTTCCGAGAGATCCGCAAGCATCCGCGTTTGTCGGTTGTTTGCCAGGTTGTACTGGCAGTCCATGAACTCTTCCAAGGAAACGCCCGTCCAGTCGATCCCCTCGTAGCATCGGGGAAGCTCTTCAGAGGTAGGGATTTTGCCGTTGCACATGTGCACTGCGGTTTTCCAGGTGGCACCTCGCTGAACGTGACGCCACTCGCTGAGGTAACGAGCCTGGGGCTCCCGCAGGATGGTCTGGTAGAAATACCTGGCAGAGAGTGAGAGAAATGGAAAAAGTTGAATGTAGGAACAAGACTAGGCTGACCTGTTTGACCTGAAAGTACTATGTTTAGGACATTACCAATACTCAGTGACTCAGTCAGTCCGTCAGTCAGTCAGTTAGTCAATTAGTCTGTCTGTCCGTCAGTCACAGGGCATAAGGCTTGCTCTTTTGGGTCCAGCGATCACAACCAACACCAGAACGACGAGAAAAGATTTTCAGAAAATAAATGAGTCAAATGAGGAGGGTGGGGCATGGGTTTAGGTCACAGTGGGACCAACATTTGCTGGGAGTGTTACATTGATATAGATTCAAGCCTAAATACTTTCTAATTACTGGGTACCCTTTCGGGATTTTTATGGCACTGATAATTGGCAAGGCAATACATAAATCAATACACACGTCTTGCTTTTGCGGTTTTCACATTGCATTGAAAGCTTTTTTATCTTCAAAGTACAAATAAGGTAAAATTTGTATGGGTTCATCTTCCAACAAACAGTTATGAGGATCAAAGCCTTACAACGTTTCAATTCATTCGGTGCGCCACACAGTGACAAATAAAAACTTTTGCAACAACATGAAATGACGGATCATTCATGGACTTTGTGCACATGATATGTCACTTAGTGGTGCGACCGACAAATTATTACGGCCATAACAAAAAGTCATGTGACGTACCTCCGTTTATGCTTAGTTCCTTCAAACTTATCCAGCATACTGGGCACACAGTTGGTCAGTTCTGTCCAGTCGGCATGTAAGCCGCACGACCAACCCATGGAAAACTCGCTGAACAGCCAAACCTCATTCTTGCTGCCCGGCCTAAAGCACTGGCACGCCTTCAAGCCTTTCTTGCATTGGCATGGGCTGCTCAAGTCCAGATCGTGCACCAGGTGTCGGCCAAACGAGGACCCCCCAGTCTTCTGAATATGCAGGCAGACCAAAACATCATTCCCTGTGATGTTAAACTCCCAGGACGAATTTGCTGACGTTAACAATCTGGTGATCTTTGTGGACGAATCAGACTGCTGTTTTGTGTCTCTGCACTGGTACATATCCATGTCAAACGAGTCATACACGAGTGACACAATAGTCAGCATTACTACTGCAGACAAGCCAATGACGTAGTAGTTTGCCATTTTCACAGACTAGACAAAGCTTGAATCGACTGCTACGAAAGCTCCAGCTGAGTACTTCAGTCAGAGTGGTTTCAACTCCAGGAATTCTTCAGTGCCATAACTCATGTTATCCGAGTCCATGCAAAGTCACGTATGCATATGCATTCTGTGAAAATACAAAAAATGATTAAATAAAAAGTTGACATGTTATGATGTTTATAGGGCCTACTTGGCAAAAGTGTCTTTTCCTGCTAATTACTTGGCTCACAAAAGATACCACTTTCAGTTTAGCACCTTCACATTCCATCAAAACTGAACTGTGTTGTAACATTTCGGCACAATTGCAGAATACCCCGCCACTCAATCTATCCACCTCGTAGCCGGCTACGAGGTCACGGTTGATTGACCTCAATAAACATTCTTAGCGCTACTTGTATGTACTATGCGTCATGCTCCATTGCACTCCCACTTCGTGACCGCGTAGCCGCCAACAGGGTACATGTAGTTGGTTTGGACTTAAAATTTTTTCAGCAACTCCCATTCATTTTGTGTTGCTTCGTTCTCAAGCATATTCAAGGGGACTCCCACTCCGTAGCCTCGTAGCCGCCAACAGGGTGGTTGGTTTGGACTTGGAATTTTTTCAGCAACTCCCATTCATTTTGTGTTGCTTCATTCTCAAGCATATTCAAGGGGACTCCCACTCCGTAGCCTTGTAGCCGCCAACAGGGTGGTTGGTTTGGACTTAGAATTTTTTCAGCAACTCCCATTCATTTTGTGTTGCTTCGTTCTCAAATAATGGACCCCCACTCAGTATCTGCGTAGCTGGCAATGGACTTGAATTGTTTCTTTTGGTTTGCAGTGATTCCAACCTCAGTCGTAGCCAGTGATTTTAGGGGTGTATTTCCGAGTGGCGGGGTATTCTGCAATAACTCCAACATTTCAATTCCCGTTACTTGCTCAATGCCATCCCCACTTCCTCAGATCACAAGATTCTATAGAGCTCATCATCCCTTGTCCTTCCGATCCCAGCAGTTTGCATGATGCAGGGCGGGGGACTGGGCGATCGGAACCGAGCGAAAGGTTGGAACTCTTTCCGCATACATAAAATCCCATCCCATTAAAAACTTACAAGTAGATTTCCATTTCATTCGAAGAACAAGGACATGTTCAGTGCATAGACGTAATAAAAACTGCTTTGGTGATGAAAAACACGTTATTCCAAGACATTTTTAGAAGGGAATTCACAACAAAACTAATGCAATGCCAGATTTCGTAATGAATGCTGCCCTCAAGCGGAAATGTTTGGCCAATGTTATGTCTCCCTCTAGCGGCAGTTATTGGCCAACTCAATATTTTCATTCGCTCTGTCGCCCTCTAGCGGAAACGTTTGGCCAACTCAATATTTATTTTTCGCTCTGTCGCCCTCTAGCGGAAACGTTTGGCCAACTTAATAATATTTTTTTCGCTCTGTCGCCCTCTAGCGGTAATAAATGGCCAACTTATTGTGGATCCTTCGCTCTGTCGCCCTCTAGCGGCAATATTTGGCCAACTCCATATTTAAAATTCGCTCTGTCGCCCTCTAGCGGAAACTTTTGGCTAATTTAATGTGATTCACTCTGTCGCCCTCTAGTTGAAACATTTGGCCAACTCAAAGTTTATCATACGCTCTGTCGCCCTCTAGCGGAAACTTTTGACCAATTCAATGTGAATCATTCACTCTGTCGCCCTCTAGGCGGAAGGTCTTAACTCAATACACGTAGACAAATTGAATACACAAGAATTAATTCACAATTAACTTTTCATTTATTTCATTGGACACTGGGGGCAGAACAATCGTTGACCTCTCTACCACAAGAACAAAGAACAATTCATGCAAAAAATAAAAAACTACAAACGTTTCAAAATAATATATGAATCTTGACTATTGCAATGATTTCAAATGCATTCGGGAATCTTTTGGGGGCCTCTTCAGTACAATGCAATGTGAAAATTAATACCAGAAAATATTTTTGAAAACAGGTGGAGTATTGAAAACAGTATTTTGGGGGGGGGGGGGGGGGGGAGGAGGAGGGGGAGTGAACATGGCATTCAAAACTATATAATTGAAATCAAGGAAATATACAACAAATATGTGCAAAATTGTCAAAAGTCTATAAACATCAGGACATTTTCTATACATGCATGTATTATAATTTATACATCTCTCAAGTCAAAGTTTTCAGGCGAAGATAAAAAATGTTAGTGTACAATCTAAAGCAGTTTAGGGCTTACAAGCGTAGATGTTTAACTCTATTATATACAAGAATACACATATAGGTCTGCGTATTGAAAATGGCTAATATGCAAACTCATGGAAGTTTTTGAATGCGCCAACACAGATTTCTTTTCTCACAAGAAAAAAAACCACAAAATTTTTACCAATCTCAAAACAAAACAAAAACACTGACCATATGATCTGTTTAACCCTTCCTCTGTTTAAACAACGATGTTGCAAAATAGAAAACAGAGAGTTCTTGTGCGAGTCTCGGGAAAAAAATTGGATGAAAAGAACAGCCACAATATCTCTGCAAGATTTGTAATTTTGTAATGCAATAAATGACTTCAAAAGGTAACAAACATTTGTGACCAACTCAACAGTCACTGGGGCAATTTTTGAGCAACCAGGCCTTTCAGGAAATAGATAGGAAGAGTGAACGCATTTTCCTGATACAAATGTTTTAAGATGCAAACTGAAAATACATCAAAATGAGGAGCAAAATATGATGCTCTCTTTACTTTGTTTAAATGTCCTTAAGACTCATTTGGTAGGATCAAGTCACATTTACACAAAGTATTCATATACTCTTCCCAGTTACTCCAATACTTTGGGTATGGGTACTCTCATGTTGACGTAACTCCACATATAATGTGTTGTGACCACACAACCCAGTCTTTACAGGCCATTCAAAAAGAAATACTAAATTTAATCAAAATCTCTTATTAGTCGGCCAAAATCTGGAAGAAATATGCCACCTCTAGAGGACAGTCTTCGGGAAGGTCCGTGCAGTGCACTGCGTTCTTGATCTTGTCGCGGCCGAAGATAGCACGCAGCGTCTTTGGCCGGAGGTTACGGGCAATCTCGGGATCGGCTGGGCCCACAAATTCACGGAAGTCCTCTGCGGTTCGCTCGCCTTTGCCGGTGATCTCGAGGGCAAAGCAGGGACCGGAACACAGCTCCTGAACCATCTCCTGAATAACAATAATACACACGTCATATAATTTACTAGTTCTCAAAATGAAAATGTTGGCCAATCCACAAAAATCTCATGGTGCTGCTTAGCCGAAAGTGCTGCTAACAAAAATATGTTAAGCGTGATTCAGCTGAAAACCTGCGAGAAGCTCGAAATTGCATGCCATTTTTGACCGGTAACCTTTTTTTTTGCAAAGCAATTACTTTCTCCGCTTAGCACATATCTGTGCTTGCAATCATCATGAAATTAGATCCAGGTAAAGACTCGTTTTCTGGCCTTAGAAGAGTGCTTTTTCAATCCACAGGTGAAAACTTGAAAGAGATCACCCACTACTTCCTGACCTTTTTTTCTCTTGAGTCAATGGCGTTTACGTAATCTTGGCTTTGGTTTGGCTTCAGACTAAAGCTTCTTGATTTTAATCCCCTGGCTTGACAGACTCCAGAACAATATTGGTCCATTTTCTGCTACAAACCATGCAAATCCGCACACAAGGCAAATGGTCGGTGTGTTTGCACTGGGTTTGAATACAGCAGGATTGCAATGAATCTTGGGTTGGGGACAAGCTGAAGCCAGAAAATAAAGCCTAGATTTCATAAACACCCATTAAAAATCTATGGCAGTGCCCTCTACAGACAATGCATGCATACAATGGATGGACACTTACACTGTACTCGTTCACCACGCCCTTGTAGACCTCAAAGAACTCCTCTGCATTGGCCTTCTCCAAGTGGAACATCTGGAGGGCGGAGACTTCAAAGCCTGCCTCCACAATGGCCATCATGATCTTACCCGCCTTACCTACAAAATCAAAGAAGGAAATTAATAGGCCAGTTTGGGCAGAACAAGACTTTAACTTCAATCTGTTGGGTACCCTTTTGATATTGCATGCCTGTGACCGACTTTTCATCCAGGAAACTTGGGGTCCTATGCTATGACAGCCTTTGGTTTCTTGATCTCCATTTGTAGAGTTGTATGCCTATAATAATTTAAATCTAAGGTATTTTAACCATTGCCGGCAGTATGACGCAATTTTGGAATGTTGACTTAGCTGCCATAGCCAAGTAATTTGGCCGAAGCCTATGATCCAATGGCTTACCTTCCAAGATGGCGCTAGGCTTGATCACGCAACACGTGCTTCCAGAGAGCTTGGCAGTGTTTTTCCACTTTTTCTCAGGTCCGAAAAAGAAATTTGTTTCTCTCTGACCGGTCTCGGTGGCGTCGGACCCGTGGCAGGCATTCATGGTCTGATCTGAAATGAGAAAGAACAAAATTGACATTGCAGTTAGAAACCCAGGTGTAAACCCTTACTGCTACACAACCCAACTATGATTTTTTCATTGTCATTAATTTGCACTCTGGACACTGAACAGCCAAAATCTGACTTTTGGAAGCAGTGATAACGATAAACAATTTTTGTGGTTTTTGGGAGGGGTTTATTATTTATTGGCTTAAATTTTATTTTCTTTCTTTCTTTTTTTCCTTTTTTTTTGGGGGGGGGGTGTTGATCAGAACTTTGTACTGCAATTTATTCTAGAATTTATTCTAGTTGACATTTATTCTAGTTGACAGTACCTGTGCCAAACTTTGCCCGGACGCTGCTTGGAGCTTCGCTGCGTGCCTTGCTGCTGTCCGTCGGACCTAGTAGTTTGCGCCACTCTGTGACTGCACTGTTCCCCATGAGCTCCATGACAACGATCGAGCCGCTGGCCATAAAACGGACCAGTTTGCTATTTAAAAAAAAGACAAAACAATATATAAAGAAGTTAGAGGAATGAGTTTGATTTGAAGTGGGTGGCAAGGGTCTAAGTTTCGGAACAGAACAGTTTTGAAAATAGTAATCTTGATTTTTTTTTTAAATGCAAAGTTTGATATCTCTTCTGTCCAAGACCTAGTCAAGATTGGGACCTAAAAGGAGTGTATAAAGAGATCTACACCAAGATTGGCACACAGTGGGCTTGAGAGTAAGACTACTCCCGGGAACCAACATCACTGTCAATATAGCTTGAGACTTATGGTTAGTCTCATCCACAAGACTGGGCATCGAGTCTTAGATTGTCTGTACTCACTCAAAGAACGGTCTCTGCACATGCTCCTGGTAGAACTCCTCCGCATCCTTCCTCGTTATCTGAATCATCTTGGCGTTGGCGATGAGAAACCCGCCTCCGTAGATCATGTCAATGATTGCACCTACAGACAAACAGACAACCAGACAAACCCACTATTAAAGTCATCGCTGCTACGTCCACATTGTCAAGGATAAAACTTACTTCCACTTTTTTTACCACACTTAATTTGCTCTTGTTGGAAACATTGAGGGCATGATAACACGATGATGCTTCAGAACGGCCCCGTCAGCTCATTGAAAAGCTAAGGAAATGTAAGGCTTGCCATAGCATAGCATCATGTACAAATAATAATTTCATAAAATCGTACAACAATCAATTTAAACATAACTACCACAGGGACCATTCTAAACTCCAGAAAATGAAATGTAGAGAGTTATAATTGATACATACTTACCAAACTTGGAGACGGCATCAGGTTTGATCATAGCAAGAGTTCTGATGAGTAAAAAAACAAAGAAAAAAATTTGTTCTTCACCAGTAAAGTTCTAGTGCTCTTCCTGTCACAAAAATCTCCAAATTTGTTAGCACTTTATCTTCGAGACCCTATCAAAGTTGTATTGAAGCCATCAAAAATCATCACGAGTCATTCAAAAGTTATTCAGCATCAATTCATGCAACAAACTTTGTAAACGACAGATGAAAGGTAAAAAGGAATATGTAACGGTCATCCCAAAGTAATGCTGACCTGCCTTGTGATTGACTCTATTACAACTCATGACCCTACAACATTTCACAACAAAACATTTGTTACATAAAAGAAACACCGACTCACTTTTCCTTCTTTGAGCTGAGCTGTTTCTTAGTGAACTCGTCTGCGTACTCGACCAGATTCAGTTGCCTGGAGTGAACGTTGATTGTCCCTCCGATGTACAAGTCTTCAAACCTCACGTTGTCAATCTTGGAACGCTTCAGGAATATCCGTCTGTTTTTAATGTCATACTGTAGAATAAATAAATGCAAAGTGTACACAATATCACCAACTGCAAAATGTTTGATTTTCAAATTATTGTCCTTTACATGCATATGAATCTACATCTGGCTAACCTCAGCCTGGCTGAGACAGCTTTAGAAATTAATGAAAGCTTTTGGTAAAGAATCAAACAATATGATAAGACACTTTTAATTCCATCATGGCATTGTTTCAAGGTAACATTTCGGAACGTAACTATGACAAGCAACTTTACCAATCATAAGAGAATTAAGAATTTATAAAGCAAAATTTTAGTTTACTAAAGTTTCTCAACCAAACATATTTGAGTAGATCTGTTGTACATCTCATGATAACCCTCACAACAATTGTTTATTTTTTTGTTACCATTTCCACTGTATTATCTGAAGCATAGAAGAGTAGCTGGTAGGATCGTATGATGGCGGCATTCTGATCATACCACTCAGCAATGAAGGCATACCTCTCAGGTAGAGACTGAAACATGAACGCAAAATAATCTCATAAATTTCAGATGATGAAATTTTTTTTTAATCTTTGATCATGAAATTATCCATGTAGGCCCTACTGGTGTAATGTTGATAAACTTTTTTGACTAATTTAATTAGGGGATTTTTGTTTTCATCTTTTTTTTTTTTGCACCATCGGAACCGATTTGACCCATGTTGTTTCCACATTGGGAATTTGAGTAGGGTAGCCCCTTTTGTCAAGAAGTATCCTCGAGTCACCATAAATGACGCAGGTAACGCTTGCAACGCACGCGCGTTGTCCAGCACAAATTGAATGCGAGTGCGTCAAAACATATTCTCGTCATTTTAGTCAAAACTAGCGGCATACCAGACAGAGATAATTATGTTTACTTTTTTAAAACTAATAAAAGCCCAAAAAAGGACCACGGTATTTTCAGCACTGCAAAAAAAATCGAATGTGAATTTTGTGATGTTTTGTTTTTATTTTAATATATTATAGGCCTACTACTATTGTATTGATGTGGTAGTGTATAGTTCGGGTGGATGGGGTAGGGCCGCCACGTACGTAACGTCAATGCAATGACTTTTCCCGAGCCCAGATGACATGGTCATGGATGAGTGCACGCGTAGGCCAACGCGTGCCACGGCAAAGTCATTGAAAAAAGTCAAAAGACCAAGAATGCGCTTACCAATGCAAACGGTGTAACGTTTAACAATGAAAATGTGGTCAGTTAAAATACCTCCGTACAAACTTACCATTTTACACGAAATGTGTTTAACGATTCAAAAGTATACAAAAAGGAGGACTATACTAAACTTAATAATAATGACAAAAAGTAGAAGTCGATAGTTTTCACCTCCGCTAGCTTGCGCTTCGCGCTGGTTGTCAAGCAACTTCTTTTTGTTCAGTTATTTATTTTTAGCAACTGCCAAGTTGCGAGGCCTTTTACTATGTGACTTTTTTATCGCATGTATCAAAGTAGTTTCTTTTAAAATATTTTATTTAAGTAATTATTTTTTTTTTAAAGATGATGTTAAGACTAAATTTAAAATTAAGAAAAGTATATTTAGAAATTCACAACTAAAAAATAAAATAACAACTTTTCCATCCAAAATGAGAGCGCCCTCAAGTGAAAACATGAAAAAAGTGCCAACATCTTTTTAAAGGGGTAGTGTAATTTAAAAATATTACTGCATTATTGTGTTAGGCTCCTACACGAGAAAATGTATTAAGCAGATAAACAAAAAGGGTACTTTCCCGCTCTGTTATTTGACTATGCACAAATTTCACTGTGAATCATCCGTACAAATATGAACAAAATAAAAAGACCTTTTCAGTATTGGTTGAGGACAAGAAATAAAAGCATGGACAGTGTAATATTAAACTTCCTGTGCATTTGATACTCAGCTTCTACTTGAAACCAATTTATTCCGAAATTGACCGATTTTTCGCGTATAAGAATTATTGACACGTTTTTTAAATTTATTTCCTTTAATACGTGCGTGACCTTTCCGCAAGGTTACTCAAGGTCATGCATATGTATGTTTCCATCAGACCCAGACGTCTACAATATTATTATAGCATTATCGTTGATAGGTACCTAGCTACTTCAACTAAACAATGACTTGTTATGTTTTGTGACGAAAATATATTGCAAGGTCGAAAGAAAAACAGTCTTTACACTGAAATTGTGATATCAAAGGTGGCGTTTATATCGAAAATCTCGTTGGTCTACAGGTAGTTTTCCGTCTGGACTGAAATGTCTGATTCTCAGGTGATAATGAAAGACGAAACATGCTCAACAGCGAACGGCAAATCTGGATCAATGGAATCTACAAAACAAGATGCGGAAGTTAAACCGTTCACGCTGAAGAAATGGAACATTGTGGCAATGTGGAGTTGGGATGTAGACTGTGATACCTGTGCAATATGCAGGGTGCAAGTGATGGGTAAGAAATTCAAGTATTTTTTAAGTTTATGCGATTATGGATGTTCAATTGAATTGTAATTCTTGGTTGATTCTTTCCAATTCCAGAACAGAACTTGAAATTAATGAAAATTGTTATTTTTGGGTATTGACAAACACGAAATTGTTTTACTTTTCAGATGCTTGTTTACGCTGCCAGACAGAAAACAAACAAGAAGAATGTGTTGGTAAGGAAGAATATATAGATGTCATGAATGATGAAGTTTTGTTTGGGTGCTGGTGCTGCACAAACTAAGTGTTGAACTAAAGAACTATCAATCTTGACTATTCATTTAATTCATTGATTTTGTTCAACACCAATTCTTTAGAAAATGGATGTGACCCAAAAATCTTTCTCAAATTGTATTTTTAATCGGAGAAACTCATAAATATTTACAAATGTACTAAATGAAAGTTAATGTTACCTTGTTTTTTTTTTTCCAGTTGTCTGGGGTGAATGCAACCACTCGTTCCACAACTGCTGCATGTCACTCTGGGTCAAACAGAACAACAGATGTCCGCTGTGCCAGCAAGAATGGATGGTGCAGAGAATAGGAAAATAGGATTGGATGAGCTCACCGGTGGAGGAATCGGCCAGCGCTGGACGTGTTGATCTTTGTTACATGAGAACCTTTCTGAAGTACACCATGAACACACGCAAACGATCAAGACAATAGATGCCCTGATTGTCTTCAAGAGTAATTTGGATTACAGCAGTGTAACCTTGACGACATATTGAAGGGCTGACCATCCAAAGTTGAGCAGGTCATCCCCATGCTTGTGATGTTTGTTGACAAACATTCAGTAATACAGACCGCTGTGTTTAAACCAGACTGGACTTAATTTTCTTTTTAAATTATCGTTCTTTATCGTAGAACATATTGATATTTGCAGTTGCTGCATGTGAACTTGCTTCAAGATGTGAATTGAATGGTTTTTAAATCAATGAATTTGTCAAGTTCATCTACTGGGTTAAGGCTAGGAGTGTCCAAGGTTGAGTAATTTGAATCACTTGCGCCCTCTGTTGACCTTGAGAAAGTTGAGCTATGTAAATATGTGTGGCCACATTTCCTCTCCAAAGATGTACCAGCAATAAACCCTGACTTGCTCTAAAATGTCCATTAAAAAAATCCATAAATTCTGAAATTTTGTCAAAATGATGTTCAAAATCAAATAATTCCCCACCCAACCCCTCAACAAAGTTGATAACACTTCCATAAACTGAAGGACACTGCTAGCGATAATGTGTATAAAAAAATAGCTTAGCCAAAATGTTTCCCATAACAAACCTGTAAAGAATATTAGATGAAATGTTTTGTTGCATATAAATCAAATTGTTAATAAATAAATTTCCAACAAGTAAATGCTCTGGTAGTTCAGTAAGAAAACAGTCAGCATGTTTAGTGTAATGTTTCTGTGTTGGGGAAACGTTGACACGTTTAAAATTCATTTAATACTTAACAACAAAATAAGTTGAGTCGGACAAGATTCATAAAACACAGGTCCCACCCAATATTTTAATTTTTTTCTCTCTTAAAAGTCAGCACTACACAATAGTGAGTGGCACCGGACAAGATTTTATACAAACTGTAGTATAGAAACATCACCAGTGTGTGTGTGTGTTTGTGACAAATGACCAATTCACAATGATTCTCAAAGGTTTCCCGTTAACGATTCAATCGACCAATGCTTGGGGGGGGGGTGGAGGGGTCATTTTGTACGTTACCATGACTAGTAGGAATCTCAATCAACTAAAATGCTTAACAGAAATCAGTTCAGGGCTTGCGACCATATGTGTAGTAGTTCTGAAAGTCTGGTTCCCTAGGCAAGGCATGTCTAATTTGGGCATACAATGGATCCAAGGTCATGGGTATCATCCTAAGCATATTAACACCAGCATACTTGGTTTTCAGCAAAAAGATGAAGGTCTATTTCATGACACACTGGAGAAGCACATTGAGGCTGCATCCAAATTGCACGGCTGTGGCTCAAACCAACATGCATCTATGGGAAGAGCTGAAGCCACTTCGCATAGACGAGTGGTACTGCCAGTGTAGCCAACCAATTTGGACATAGCCTTCAATATAAACTTAGCACACTTGAAAAATTAAGACTCAAGCAATACAAGAGTACAGTATTTCCCCACATATCTCGAAGAACCCATGCATTATACACATGGCTGAAAAATGACATCATTGAAAGGACTGTTACTCAGTAGACATATAATATCACCTTTTTTTTGAAGGGTACATGTATATTATATAAAATGGCGAATCACAGGAACAATTTGGAACCAAGGTATTTTTTGTTTTTTTCTGTTACCTTTTCATTTTACAGGTTGTTGAGTAACTTCAATTAGGATGAGACAATTGGGGGGGGGCAGAGCCAATTTGAAAGCAGAAATGTGTTTGGCTCCAACAGTTCAAGTTTTCCCTTAATTTTAATAGCTGGGCATCAGCAGTATTAAAGATCTGCTGAAGAGCTCAAAGTTTGGCCCAAGTTTACTCAAGAAACGGCACATTAAAAAAAAGAGTCAACATATTTCTGGTGTAACACCACATAATTGTCAAACGAAAGTCAAACACAGCTCTATTTTTAAAGGGATAATATGTACTTAAATCTGGGGCAAAATAAGAAAAACATGCATAACAAATTCAGAACTTGATTGTCATTAACAATTTAAAAATGTGCGAGACTCCATATCTGGCCACATGTTTGTGTGAAGTATGATGTACAACATGAATAAGAAACATTCACAAATAGTAAACCACGGAACCAAAATATACATACTGGGCTTACACTTTTGTGACTCGTATGCACAAGGTTTAAGGTCATCATCAGGCCTACTTTTTTTCCTGATTTTTTTTTACTTGAGAGGGAAAACTACACACTGTAGTAGTCTACCACAGAAAATCCACATGTGATCTGGTTTCCAGGGTAGTTTGGATGTCATTCAGGAAAGGCCTGTGCGAGTTGATACTGAGAGGTAGCCTGGATGACATACCATCTGGGGAAGTGGGGATATCGAAACAAGCCCACGGCCATCCTTGGGATCGGTCAAAATCGCAGTGCTGAGTGCCAACATTTCAAGTGAACAATATCACAAAAGAACGCGACAAGTTGTCTTCGCATTTCACAAGGGGCGTTTTCAGGTGCAAGCAAACAATGTACAACGAAAAAATACAAACTGTACAAAAAGACGGAAAATGTAAGGCAACAAACGGTTGGTGCGTAACAGCAATAAAGCAGTCTCACTAGCCAGTCTGACAATTTTAATTACATAGTAAAGCGAGGGCGGTTATATTGTAGCTACTGTGACAAGGCCATGCAATTGTGGGAACCGATCAAATTAACCGTTACTTTGATTGCTAGTGTGTTAATAATGCCCGAGCTTTATTAACAACGCATCTGATTGGTTCGGCGATGTTCATCAGTTTGGTGCAGGATCTGCCTACGATTGTGAGACAACAGATCAACAGAATTAACCAGAATGCAGTAGTCTCTGCTGAAGAAGTCAGTATTCACAGAATACTTTGTCCGTTTCCCAAACTTTGGCTTTGTCACCAGCTTGGGCTTTATTGTCAGTTCTAGAATCAATAAGCCTTTAACATTATACATGTACCATGTTGAAATTGTCTAAATGTTGGCCCCCGGATACAAGTTGACATTTCTTGAGCCACAGTTTCTGAAGTCAGGGGCCTAAATTTTAAAATCGTGAACCAGAACGCGAATTGGAACCAGAGACAAAGCCTCGATTTGGAAAACGCCTTTAAACACTGGCCCCAAGTACTACTGAATACATGAACAACAAAACATCAATTTAGTGGGACTCTATTTCATTACAGCTAATATAGTTTGTAAAAAAAAATGCAGCAAATCTGATTTCTCTGTTAAGTGAGGGTTTGTGATGACTTTTTCTGATCCATTTTCTTCCAGACCGTCATCTAAGAGGAGTAGGATTCTGGAGTTGGGGTTCTTCTTTTTCTTAGTCCTGCACCTGTTTTCCCCCCATATTCTCGCTTTTGTGGTCTTGTTTTCCCTAAGTTTGACATGAGAAAGGAATTTGTATGTCTTACACACCCATATCGTACAGTTTTACTGAAGTACATGACATAAAGCTGGCAAAATCGTATATATACTGGTGACAAATTTCCCTTGCATATTTTTAGGTTGTTTTTAGATTCAGTCCAAAACTGACTGATTGAAAAGAAAAACTAAATTGAACTCTGCCATTTGCCACAAACAGTGTGTCATTTCAGCAGTTTTCAACTCATAAAACTGGCCGTTACACACAACAATTATATTTTAACCCCCCCCCCCCCCCCCATTATAAAAAAAAAAACTAGCATAATACTTGACCAGAAGAGGGGCATAATAAACACAAATTTGTATCTGATTGAAAAAAACAAACCCTCCCTTTACAGCTGGCTTTGAAGGTCACCGGAGTGAGTTTTGTGTTTTGCAGTAGAAAAAAATCCCTGAGTCACCATAGACAACTGTACAACCCAACGCCCCTACTCAGGTTTTAGCAATCCCCCCCCCCCCTCCTTGACTCAGCAACAACAATTGAACTGTCCGTCCTTAAGCCCATCAATGGCTAGTTTCCGACATGACCTGACCCAGCATGACCTGACCTATCCCATTCCCTTTGCGCATGACCCAATGAGGGCGACAGCCGCACCGGTGCGAATTGAAACAAACCCAAGCCATTTACATCACTGAGAGCTTTTGTGGCCAAACTGCTTGAAGACGTTAGGAGCCCATGGAGCAAGTTCTTGGGGTTGTTTTGGTGTGGGTGAGGAGACAATGTGCGATAGAGGAGCTGCAAGCACCATTCACAAAACTCGGCAGTGCTTGAATAGCAACAGTGCCATTGGACTAGCATTCCTGAGTTGCAATAAACCAAATAGTATTAGGCGTGACTCAGGTTGACCCAAATTAATTTTGGTTCAGACAGATTAACTTTTGTATTAATTTTCCATTGGCCAGACCCTGGAGTCGGTCTCAACGACTACAACAGTTGATGTTTTTACAAAGTCACTCCAAACTGTTCAAACATTGAACTTTTCATGTACACAATTCAAGTCTTCAGTGTAATTTGGGTCGATGCAGCTCTGGTTCGCCAGTCTGAAAACGGCTGTTAGAAATTTCTTGCAATGGATCCTTGCGCAATAAGCAAAGGACCACAGATAATTCTGATGTCTCTAATGACAGCAATCGGTAGTTCACTTAACATCCTTGGTTGCTGGAAATGATGTAGATGGTAGCCAGCATAGATCAAAACGGTGGAGGCCTCGGTGACAAGATGTTTAGCCTTTCTGCCCCAGGGAGTCTATCACAGGGTTTGTCAAGGTCTTGGGATGCTTGGCAACTAGCTTACTGGCTAGCAAGCAACACCTAGGGGCAAGTGTGCATATCTTCCCCCCCCCCCCCCCCACCATTGGTCACAGGGTTCGACAAGGTCTTAAGACGGTTGGCAACTGGCTTACAGGCCAGCAGCAACACCTAGGGGGCAGTTGTGCTTATCTGCCCCACAGCGTTTGTCACAGGGTTTGTCACAGGGTTTGTCACAGGGTTTGACAAGACTTCTTGGGATGGTTGGTCTAACGGATTACAGACAGCAGGTAATAGATTTCCCAAGGGCAGTGGTGCCTCCATACTTCTGTGCTGAATCTCCAACAACTCGACCTCAGCGAAGCTGGAAGTAATTCTCTCAGCCAGCCCCAACCTGCCTGTCGCACGCTGGATTTCTGCTCAGTCTGTCGACTTTAGCGGTGTTCATTTTTGTACTTTCCCTCTCTCAATAATTCAGCTTTTCATTAATCCTGATCAAAAATTTCTATGAACTTTTTTTTGGCTCTTTTTATTTTTTACACAATCCTGGTACAAAAATTTGCCCCCTTTTTTTGTTTGGTCGGCAGAAGTTTGCATCATTTCCGCAGATCCAAAACACACACCTAGTGAAACGGAAGAAAAAGGAACATAGAATGTATTAGTCAACAGATTACAGGAAGCATGTGCGTTGAGAGGATATGACTCATGGTTGATGTGTTAAGGTGTTGAAAACTGGTTCAATTCAATGCAATGCAAACATAATCGTGACTGGAACCATGCTGTCCTCATTGGTCCTTTAATACCCTTGCTCTTTTGGTATAATTCAGCGCATGCATGTTGGAAATACCAATGCACTCCAGCTGATGTGCCTTGGAGGATACTTTGACTCTGGAAACAGAACTGGAAAAGCCTGCATACCCCCACCCCACCGTGAACCGAAGAAAAAACCTGAAAGTGAAGACTTACTGAACCGTCTGATGCACTCGCTCCTACTTTGTCCCCTCTCGAGTTCCAACAAACTTCAAAGATTCCCCCCGTCCCTCTATAACTATGTACAAGCGTGCCCGTCTGCAAAACAAGGAGACAAAAAATATCAATTAATCACAGAAATATTTAAGTATCTTGAATGCAAGAAGCAAAGGGCTACCCCCCTAAAAAAGGCAAACAGACTTTTCTTTGGACTTTCAGGGCTCAGTTAAACTCAAAATGACCACTTGCTTCAGACAGTATTTTTGAGTGCGATAAATGTTAAAATAGGCATAAACAAACTTGTAATGCCGTCAGTTACAAGTCACTTAAAATCACCCAGTCTCAAGTCAAGTCACAAGCTATTCAAATGAGCTGACAAAAGGCTTCCTTTGTCACTGTTTATACCCTATTAACTGTGATTAGACTTGTGAATTGGGATTTGAAATGTGATTGACTTAACTAGTACTTGGCATATAGCAGATGAAGCATCAATATTGTTTGTCTGATGAATTGAGGATTTGTTGTTCAATGCACAATTTTTTACAGCTCTTGGGAAGATGTCTGAAATGGTGAAATACATGAATACATGTGTATTTACCTGCGTGGACCATATGTGGACGCATTTATCAAAGGACCCGCTGGCAAGGTATTTGCCGTCTGGACTGAACGCTACACTGTAGACTGGTTCTTGGTGTTTGGTGAGTGTATGAATGCAGATACCCCTGTCGACGTCCCACAACCGCACTGTCGAGTCGAAGGACGCACTGAGGGGGACAGAAAAATCAACAGTTTCTATTATTACACCTCATACATATTTATGAGCCAAAGGCACTACTTTCATTGGCCGATGCTCCAATATGTTAGGGAACTGAAAGTAGGCATCTTGCCTAAATGACGCACTTACTATCGCCAAAGCTGTTGGTATTACAAAGAAAGTGCCCTAAAATCGGCTCCTAGACTCCAAACTGTGTAGCAGTAGGGATCACATGTGTGGTTGATGGTGATACCATACTAAAATATTCACAACAGACGAATTATTATGCACATTCCGGGGGCGATTTCCCACAAAAGTTTGTTGACTTTGAATAATGAAGCTAAACATTTTGTGAAGTGCAACAAATGTCAAAACAATACATCGTGGTTCATTTTTTCCCATAAATGCGAAATTACCGTGTTGTATTTGTGTATTACAGGAAATAAACTACATGAGACAGTTTATAAACTACATGTGACAGTTTTTAGGGTATCTTCTGAATGCTGTGAATTGCACTTTGCGGAAAGTAACGTTATATTTCTAGCTGTGAAGACTGCCTTACCTGGCTAGCATGAGTGGTGTGTTAGGGTTGTGTGGGCTCCATTTGATGGTATAGATTTCTTTATTATGGGCTTGTAGGTCGTGCACGCAACATTCTTGCTTCATAGACCAAATCTGAAATGAAAAAATTTATAGGGTTTACAATTGAAACAAATTTCATCTCTTTGGATTTGGACATTGCTAAACTTTGCGGACAGATATTTTACTTTCTCCACTGCCACTGGAGAAATGCAATACCGCCACCAAGAGGCAACTAACGACCAGGCACTGAATCATAGCAGCTCACCCAACCACTTTGACACAAATTCATGGATGGTTGAGAAAACCCAGCAACGGTGGCGTTGCTAAAAATAGAACGACTGACAGTCGGGGGAAACTGAAATTATTTGAGAAAGGCGCAGGATCCTGATACTAAAATCTACAGTAAATGAACAGGTCGAAAGTCTTCACACAAAGACAGGGGAAAATACAACGATGGTAAATCATGATCGATAAAAATATCTGACGAAAAATCCCTCTCCGCTGGAATACTTAGTTTGCTTCCTTTGACCAGACAATCTAGGGTAAACCAGTCTCCCATAGGATTGGTGGGTTTGTGGCTTGGAAAAGTCATCTCCACAAGATTACTCTTGTAGAGTCCCGATTTTTTTTCCCAAGGGAAAAACCGCAACTTTGGGATAACCCCTAGAAAGAAATCCCAATTTCACAATGCCTGGAAATATGTAAGGAACTCTAGCAACTTTTACCCATGCAATTTGATACAAGTACATGTAACATCAAACATAATCCACTGTGGGGTCAAGAAATCGATAAATAAATTATTCCTAAAATATAATCCAATTTGGGCCTTGCAGAAACAAGAATATGCTTTCAGCTACATGTACTTGCAAATGTATCCAGAAGCATCACTAGTGAACCTTACAAATTGGCTATTTTCCAAATTGTGCAGAGCCAAGATAAGACGTTCTTGCGCCGTGGAATCTGAAACACATGAACGTGGGTAGTATGCATATTTTTAACACGATAACCTTTCACTTGAACTTGAAGGAAAATTTTTTTTTACTGAAGATGCCGGGCTTGGAGAAAAGGGAAGGAAGGTCCCACTGAATACTGCAATGGAACACAACTTCCAATTGAAACAATTTCCCGTTTTAATTTCATTTAAATTGCGTCTCCTTCCAAGGAAGCTTTGTTGAATGGCGAGCGGCAAGCGGCAGAAATAGACTCACATCTGAAAATGTTAAAGGGAAGAGTTTTTCCATACATGACTTTGCAGATTAAGAAATAAATTAATTGATTTAATACTCGAATGGGATGCTCAATTTTTTTCTTCTCCACCCCCCCCCCCCCTTTTTTGGCTTGACCTTTTAAACAGGAACCTGTATTTTTACTGTGGGATGGAGGCCAGCAGGACAATCAGATCTGGCCTGTGTCCAGTACAATTCTTCCGCTAAAAACTTGGACTTTCTTCAAAGTTGGAATTTGGGAAGAAAAAAAATTAAACTGGAACCCACCTGTCACTGAACATTAAGGAAGGATTATGGGTGTCTTATGCTGCTTAGATCTGGCATGTTTGAAGAGAAATATTGGCTTAAAAACGTTGATATCATGTAAACTAAGAATCGTGATATCTTTCACAAATAGGTGGTGAGTAATAGAAAGTCACCGAAGAAGAAAATGTCTTTTCGATGTGTAGCATACGTAGCATCCTGGCACCTGTTTGAACATTTAAAAATTAGCACACAACATTTGAAGAGGGGATTATGAAAAGACTTTTGTTGACAGCTGCTATCGGCAATGCTTAAAAGTGGGCGGGACTGAATGAGGTCAGGGGGAGGAGACATCAACTTCCCGGCCTTGACTTTTCGTGGTGGGGCCCTTGGATTCGGAGACGTCAGACTGAATTAAATCCTTCATGCTGTGGTTGTGAACTTAGTCGACTTGTGGTATTCCACATGATCAGCTTGTGGGATGCTAAGGCGTCTTGAGGATGCTGGTATTTAGCTCATGTCAAGCAAATCTAGGATTTAACTTCCAAGTAATTCTGCACAGTTCACTTTTAGAGTTTGAACTTAAGAGCCTAATTGTTTCTATTTGTTAATCTAAGTGTAGATCTTGCCTTACAAGAATTTTTATAACCAGCTTTGAAAAGACAGACTGAAAATACTGTTTTGACTGACAGAAATGTCTCCACCCCCTTTTAGTACTTTTTGTATCTACAACAAAAGTCTAAGGATACGACAAGGTTGCAGGTACAATGCCATAAGGTTCACAAGTCTTGACGTACAAATATTTCCCATCTCCGGCCGGATGATTTTCAAGGTCTGAGTTGAAGGAAGGAAAGCCACCTGGCCAAGGAGAAGGTCCTACAGAAAAGACAAGGTCTGCTCTCCTGAGATACTGAGATAGCCTCGGGTTAGCTTAGGGTTTGAACAAGGGAGGCCTGAATTCCTAATCCCTAGTAGTGTACCCTGTCAGTCATGTGCCATTAAATTGGGGTGACACTTCTATTCTACATGGGGCTACATGTACACCATGGTCACCTGAACAAAAAGTTGTGATCTACATGTACATGTACATTGTAATTTGTCAATGCTCTGTTTTATTGATAGGCCGGAAGGGTCTGGGTTTTTTTCATCTTTATCTAAGGTAAATGGGATAAAGTTACAAAAAAATATTTTGAAAATCTTTGGGCTCGTAGTCAGGCCAATCCAAAGTCAAATCACAAGTCAATTACAACTCAAGTCACAAGTTGAATCACAAGTCTGATCACAAAGTAACGGGATATGAATACTGACATTGTGCAGTTGATAGTTTCTTAATAGAAGCTACAAAATCTTAAGAAGATTAAAAGAAATTGAATAGCTACCGGTATGAAGCAATAAAGCTTTAAAAGAAGTGTGCTGCTTCGACTTATAAGCAACCACCAGGACCAATTGTGTCTGTCAGTCACTTCTTGAGAATTAAACAAGGGTGGATAATGTCTGCCACTAGGCAGGGCAATTGAACAAATGACTGGCTTCAAAGTGCTTTCTACTGCAATCCTGAGACACAGGAAACATTAGCAGGCAACTGTGCATGTACAAAGGGGTAGAGGAAGGGGGGGGGGTACTCAGTAGCAGTGTTGTATTCGAGTCCATCGCAAGTCGAGTCACATGTTCATCACCAGTCAGATGAAAAATCTGGTCACAAGTAACATGGACTTATGATGGACATGTGTGATGGGCATGTGATGGGCATGTGACGGACAAGTGATGGACATGTGATGGGCATGTGATGGACATGTGATGGGCATGTGATGAACATGTGATGGATATGTTCTGTAATCTGGGTGCTTAGGGAGTTCTTCTGCAGTGTGCACGGACCTACCATTTTACAAACTGCAGTGACTGTGATACGAGGGTGTTTCCCTGAATTCAGCCAACGTAAAACCTAAGCCTGTGTTAACGTAATCAAGAAGAGTGGTTCTTCCTGATAAGCACTTGCCAAAAGCTGATGACCTCACAACCACATCAGCGTGACGTTCGGTCAAGTACCTTGACTTCAACTGATCACAATCCATTACCTTTTTTTCCTGTGTGTAATCACTGTCTGATCCCTATCATGTATTCCACGGCAAACTGTGCAATATCATGGTTAGAGGCTTGGAAGTGGTCAATAGGAACACCCACTAAAAAGGCCGGCCCAAGGTCACTAGGCTTGTAAAAGGCTTGTCATTATCACTTTTTTTCTGGAAGTCTTTCAGGATCCTCAAAAGCCCACCACTGTGCATCAAACTGATGACATATGCACATTATTAATTTTTCTAGAGCATCAAGCCTCATGTATGTAAGTAATCCTGCAAAATCTTCCAAAGCTCATAATGAATTTTGCAGGACCTAGGAGAGTAAGGGTCGAAGACTAGTCCTTTTAGCTCTTAAAATATGGCAGTGAGTGAGGCGAATACATGTCTGTCTAATCAGATGGGTAGGTGGGGGGGGGGGGGGGGGGGAGAGGGCGGGTCCCATATTTTGATGGAGGGTTTCCTAAACATTGAAATTGCCTAAAGGTTGCTCAGACAGATGTGACATTCACGATGTGGAAATACTCTGAGACAGGAAACCGGGAGATTTAATCGGAGGACAAAAATATCTCCACCAAGGCCGACAAAAAGGCCAGGGTTAAAAAAAAAAGCTAAAAGTGGAGTACCGAGAATTACCCTTCCTCTTGTTGTAAGGAAGACAAGAGCATCCACTATGAGTAGGCCAGAGGCCAAGTTCATGAGAGGTGCTAAGCACAACAAATGTTTGCTTAGCCAAAAGAAAGTACCGACCAAACTGGCATGAAGTATACATTGTTTATAGCAGGTTCTCAGCCTAAGCCGTGTTGAAATTACTTGGCTATGACTGGAAATTACACGTGTGCCTATGGAAGTGGCTGCAGCGGCTATGCAGCCAGCCATATTTTACTTAGCAATAAACCATTTTCTACTCAGCAGGTAAATGAGATTGGGTCCAGTATTGGAACAGCTGTGAACTCAGAAACATGGCAAGGTGAACAGGTACTGCCGACAGAGTGAGTCATGCAGCAACTTGTCATGATTGTGGGAAGCACTGAGAAGGACTCATATCCTTCATGGAATGACCGGACGCAGTGTGCACCTTGTAGATTGAGAGACCTCTGCCTCCCCCTTACAACCTTTGACCTTTCCCTACCAGAGTGAGACAAGGCCTACACTTGAGGTGACCTTCAACTTGTTACATTCCAATGTCACTCCTAAGGGTGTCTGCTTTACAGTTCACATATTTTGGCCCTAAGACACAGACTTTTCCCCCCAAAAAGAAAGCCAGTTCAATTTTTTTTATCACAGACTATAAAAATTGGCAATATAAAAAAATTAACTACATTTTTAAAAGTTTACTTTGAGTCTGAGCAAAGCCTAGAGATCTGTTGAGGAAACTGGGCATTTCAGGGTCACAACTCAGCAACTTCTTGTTAGCTGTGACGCCGAACATTTCTTGCCTTCCTGTATGAGCCTTTTATTATTAGATCCACGTTGAAGTGAGAAGTCAATTTTTAGTTCTTGAGAATGTCACGGGGTTACTTCATTTCCTGAATCTTAAAAAAAATTATTAGGATTCAGCGAGAGGAAACAGCAGATTTCCAGGTTCAGTCAAGGAAAACAAGACAAAATGGATCACTTAAAAAACCATGAGCAGCTGAAAAGCAAAATGATCTTGACAAAGAAATGTCAAAGTTGTTGCTTTTGTTTTATGGGAACGCAAGCACGAAAAAGTCTGGTGATCCGGGTTTGGCATTAAACTAACCCTGGATTACTGTGCCGGAAATTGCCCGTAAATACATGAGAATGTATTGGATGTTTGAGGTTTACATCACTTCGATATCAGTTTCCTGACTATGTGCACCAATTGTCCTTGTTTTTCCGGCACTGCCATTCAACACCAGTATTCAATCGTTTCAATCTGCATCAAAATCGGTAGTCATAGGAAGTTTCTTAATTGGCCTGCATTGGACGTGTTTGATACGATCTGGCTGGCGCTTCCCTTGCATGGTGAAATCTGGGGTTATATTTATAGACGAGGAACAAAGCAATCGGTGAAAACCACTTGACAATCGCAATGTTAGACCAGAGAACTGACAAGCAACCTGTCAAAACTTCTGATGTTAAATTGATTTGATATGGCGTTATGAGAATTCTATGTACATGTTTCTTACAGTGTGTACACATACGTGTATAAGCAATGCCTACATGTGCGAGTACAACTTCAAATCAGATGCATCAGATGCATCGTATGTAACTTTTAGACTTTACAGGACTAACAACCTCAATGTGCACAGAATCCAAGCTCCCACTCACAGACAGCATTTATGTACACAATAGTTGATACGTTTGATACACCAAGCTCTTCAATTTTGACTGATAAAAACGTCACAACATTACTTCTTGATAGTGGACCATGAACAATCACGTCTTTATGTTTTCCCCTATTAAAACTCTCCTATGGAAACGTGCATTCTGAGCCATGCTGTTAGTTAGGTCAATATTGGTAAAGACCCATTGGTTTGTTAAAAGTATACCAGGGGAAGTGGAAGGAAACTTTGACCATTTGTGACCTTTTAAACAGCACAAGATTTTTAATATTAGATGAACACACATTCTTGTAAGTCTCTGTAGCAACGTACCAGATTAGGAGAGCCAATCTCTCAAATTCTAACTCAAAATTGTCTTTGCTTTTGCTTTATAGTTCCAAGCTTCAACCATCCAGTGATCACCTGACTTTTCTTGTCATGTTCCCAGACTATTTCCCAGACAAATCCCTGTCATTTTAGGGGCAGATAACCTAGATTTCCTTTGCCTGGTCAATGTTGATTCTAATCTGGGGATTTAGTCTATAACAGGATGAGACCAATCCTCTTTAGCCCAGGGCTGATCGGACAAAATCTTTGGGGGATGTTATGGAAAGGAAAAATGGTCCGCCAGGGACAGTGGGCCTCCTTCAGGGGTAAAGAGGGAGGCAAGGGTAGGTTAGACATTCGGGAATTCAGGACTGGGGGACAGAACTGAAAGAAAGGAGACATTCTTCTGGACAGACTTCTGGCCAGACAAGAAGTCTGTCATACAGGTTTTCTCCTGCAAACCTTGGCTTGTTTTGACAAAAAAATATTGAAACATGCCTGATGGGGAAACACTATTACAAGTATTGCAAAAGAGAAATTGCTTTATGGATCCTATTCAAAGACTCAAAATGGTGCCTAATTTGAAAGATTGAAAGCTACCATAAAGGCTTGATTTGGTCAAACCACGGCCATTATCATGCTACAAAGGAGTTACATCAAAACCTGGTACAATGGGCACTTCTTGAACTTCTCAGCGTCTTAGATTGGGATTGTTGCCCTCTCAAGTGTTGGCACCAAAAGAAAGAATGCTAGAGGTAACTGGAAACTCACCAAGTGGTTAAACCTCAAGGGCTAGATTAGGGCAAGGTAAAGAATATCGAATGCACGATATACTCATGTTTGGAGGGGGGGGGGTTGAGTGAGTGACTTAAGGTGATGACGGACCAAGGCTCCACTAACTAAGGAAATATCAATCAGAAACGGTTCTATGGGCTGGTTCTTAGCATCTGGTGGATGACATGTTCCTAGCGTCTCATCTGCTCTAAGGAGTGCACACATACTGAAGGTTCAGGAGCATGTAATTAGTCAGAAGCCGAGTCCAGAATGTGCTAGACTGGAAGTGGTAAGCTTTACACCTATTTACATCATGGCGACAGGTATGAATATAATACTTCATCCAGGTGTATACCATCAGCAGTCAGCACACATGTGCACGATGACTAAAGTTTCCAATTTTTATGATTTTTAAGGAAAAAAAGTTGCAGTTCTGAAATTCAGAAATCAATGACAAAAAAGGAAGACACGTAAAATATGCACAGTGAGTTCATGATTTTGAAGGAAAAAGTCACGACAATGAAGATGGGAGATGTCTAGGGTACCACGATTCAAGTGCAACTGCCAAGAACATATACATTTGATTTTGATAAAGTCTTCAACATTGTCAGTGAAGTTTGTAAACTTTAATAGCTTGACCTAAATCCCAACTGGCTGAACCATTCCAAACACAGAAAGTCCCAAACCAGACCTCAGCGAAAATATTATTACATCCCCATGTGCGTGTTTGAAGTTGGATCGCCTTCAGCAAGGCAGCACGGGTCATTTGCTTGGGTCCACAGTCATGACAACGAAGATGGGAAGAGTGAAATAAACGGCAGATTGTCTCCGAGCAGACTGCGTTACATCAAGGGGTGTTTCTGATACGCGGTGTGATTATGGATGACAGATAGCCTGTCATGTCTACTCAGGCGCGTCCATGGCATATCCTGATACAGGAAGGCCTGATTGGGCGTTCGGTTCTGTACCCTGGGGAGGGGTCAGAGCCCACAAGATTCAGTCGGAAAGGGAATTGGGATCTTGGAAAAAGATGCTTTAACCTCAATGGAGTTTCGCAGGCTCTGTTAGATCATTTTTGGGGGATACGGTGATCAAGGTGGTAAGTGATGCATGTCTCCTTGAGGATAGTGAGGCTGTGTTTAGTCAAGTCCTTTTCTGAGTCAAAGAAGTAAACTAAAATGTGAGCCTGGTGCATTGGGAATTAAAATTGAGAAACTACTACTAGACAGAATGGTTTGAAAAGTTGGGAGAGAATTCAGCCAAAAAGCGTGCTGAAAATGTCAAAGAATTCGCCTAAGGACTCAAACTTAATCTGCAGAGTTTTGGAAATCAGAAAAGTTGAACTTTGTTGGACTTTATCGGGAACGGGAGTTATTACCACGTCTGCTGATAAATCTTTTCCACATGTTTGAACATTTACAATCGGGACTCACTGGCGTCATTAAGGAATGTACAGAGATAGTTTAATGCAGACCAGTAGCGCAGGAACATGATACATGAATATGACGCATGTACCCTCGAGGGGCCCCGGTTCAACTGTCAACAGCAACTGTGGATTTCACACGACCAGTGTGACTCGGTGATACCGGGAGAGTTACCCATCTCTCCTAATATGGTCAGCCTGTAGGGGGTTTGCTGAGTGTCTGTCATAGGCAACGGAACAGTGATCACAGCAGCAAAATCCAAGTAGGAAATTGACGAAGGGAGAGTGTACTTTAAATCACAGTTTACAAGATTTTATCGTTACAAGATTTTATTTTTTAAGTGGAGCATTTATGAAGGGCAAACTGGAACATTTCAGATGTGGCACTTTTGATTCGAGGTGAGAAATTGCAGGTGTTGGTCTATGAGAAGTTTAAAGCTTGACCTATACCAGATAATCTGACATATGCCATTTCGTCAGGGTTTTAATGTGCTGCACTTTCTAACATGCGGCTGAGGGTATAGTCAAAATTTTGATGAGCCAGTGAACTTGCACATCCAAAATGAATTGATTTAATCGTAACATACAAAGGAAAGTGGACAACCATTTGCCAATTTTCACCAAATTTCTAATAAACTTGACGAACCTCGCACAACACTCTACATGGATTTCTTAAACAGAGTTCATACATATCTCAGAAGAAAATTGACCAGGGTCTACAAACTCAGCTTACTCTGCCTTATAAATAGCACTTCCTGTTTCCTTCTAAAAGCCAGTCAAACTCACCCAGGAAATCTCAGAGAGAAGAGCGGGGTTTAATTGCATTACAAGACGCTCGCGCTGTAAGATCCATGCCGTGTTTACCAAGGGCACGGCCGGATAGCATCATCCTCATGAAGGGAGGAAATTCTGAAGAGACTTAAAGAGCCATATCTCCTGTGTATATCTGCAACCTCACGCAATGCGATTCAGTCGTCTTTTGCCGGTATCATCCCGCGTCTGAGTTCTTAAGCTGCAGTTCAAGGCTGTTAATCTACCGTCCTTGTCAACTGAAATCCATGGTGTTTCAATTATTGCTTCAAAGGCAAAAGACTGGCAAGACAGCAGCTCACTCAAAAAAAAGTGCACTTCAGATTTTAAAAAGATACTGAGGATGACTGTCATTTGAGCTCCACACAGTTTAGATTTGGGACAAAACCAGCCCCAAGCCCTGGCTGCTGCTTGAAGTTAGCTGAAAAATAATGTTTGCCTTTCAACTGGCATTTAATCACCTTCTAAAGAACTTTTTTTATTAAATCAACAAAAGAAAATTAACACTCAAAGAGTAAAAATTCCCAAAGTCCACCAAAAAAGAGGCCAGAACATGCAAGGAAAAAGTTGTAAAAGACTAGAGACTTTTTCGGTGGTTAGAGGTGTGAGGAGGACTTTGCTGATTATCTTACCTTTAGCGTCATGTCATCTGAACACGACGCCAGCATTGTTCCCGTTGGGTCCCACTTGATGGCGTTAACCTCATTCTGAGGGGAAAAAAGACAGACATGATCATTTTTAAAGAGAAGTTTATCACTTCAATGCAGGAAAATTATAAGAAAGCGGCGATTCCACAACTAAAAAGTGACCACTCTCTGAAATTTTTTTCAAAAACAAAAATAGCCCAATTTGGGGAAAAAATGAAAGAAATATGGTCAACAACAATGCAATGCAATTAAGATCAAAACTCAGTGAGATCACTCAAACAATTTCTTCAGTCAAATTAATTTTAGGATGGCCATGACCAAGAGAATAAGTTAAGCCAGCTTATAATATACAATTCATGATTAATTTCAAGGAAGTCTCTGTCATCAACAGGTCACAGTGGTGGAAGGATATGACATCACCACCATGACCTGACCTGAACTTTAGTATGAGTAATGGACATATCGATGACAAGGGGTACGTACATATTTATCAGTGACATGTTTGATATACTGAAATGATAGTGAAGTACCTCTTTGACTAATGAAAAACAGAGACAGATGTGGATAACAAAATTAAGCTTGTCCAAATGTCAAAGGTCAATAGGCAAAACAGACTCTAAATTCACCGTGAAAGATTTTCAGGCTGTGCTCTGCCTAGTCACACAGTTGGCACTGCCTGCATACTAAGATAAGCAACAACATCAGTGTTTTACCAATCTTCGTTGCTATGATCAATAACCTATTGACTATCAACTGGTGTGGTCCAATACAGTCTTGATAAAACAAAACCACTGCAAGAAATCGCCTTGTTGAGTCACTAGAAAATCGCGCTGAGTAGGGTCAAATTTAACGCAGCGAGCCAATGGGAAATGTGGCCGATCGCGGATCAGCATTAACTAGAAACAGGTGTTTCTTTGCTGCGCTGGTCGAAGGGGGAATAGGGAGAAACAAAAGACGAAAGTTCAAATCACTGGCAAGGTCGTCAACCTGTTGCTTGTGAAGCTTTATTTGGGATGATTAGAAGCAGGTGCGGCTATAATGGGACACAGTCACAATTCCAGGTAGGGCAAGCTGAGGTGGGGTTCTGGGACTACATTAACGTAAACTCCATGCTTTTCAGCTGAGAAAACATCTTGAATCTTCTAAAATCATCAAAGTGCAGGAACTCAGCGACACATTCTCTGTAGTGAACTTTCAATAGGCCTCAAGCTCCCAATGTGCAGTTACAGTGGCTGGGTTCTACTTTCCCTAACCCTGCACAATCCCCAAGTGGATTTTGAAGATACTGAGAGGGTTTGAGTCAAAAAGTGTAAACTTATGAATTTGATTTCTGGCCACAACAATACAATTATGTTCTAATTCAATGTATTTTGAAACGATTGCTCAGTGGCAAGTGAATTTATGAGTAATGTCAGTGGCCAACTATTTGCAAGTGTCTGACTTATGCATTAGAGTCTATGCAAGCTGATACGAATCACTGTGAAGCCACCCTGTAAAATGTGCAGATTTCAGCACAATCATCACTGACGGCTGGCCTATTTCTGTTTTTTTTGTGTGGTTTATTTAGAAGATGCACCACGCAAACCCTGTGATGACTAATCCAGTAATGTCTAGTCAGTTTTACCATGGGGAATTGTTTTATCATGTTTGCAACCAGAGCTTTTCCATGTGCACATCCCTGGCGTATCAACAAAGAGCACCCTCATGAGACAGAATGTGTCATTATGGCTGTTTCTTAATCACACGGCTACGGCTAGCAACAATGCATAAACATATGTAAGTGGCTAAATCCACTCCCTATAGACGCGTGTGCCACTGCTAGCCGTAGTCAAGTAATTCAGACACTGCCTATCCCACACCATGCAAAACAAAATAGAACCAAATGCACCATTTTCCCAAGTTCCGTTCCTCCTGTGCAATAAACGTCTCGGATGCCTTTCATTACGCACAGTGTTATCAATACATCGCATGCGGATGGGAGTACAAAAATACACCGCCCCTTCAGCTATTCTTAGAATACACAAGAAATTAGTTGTAAGTAACAGGAAGATTTTCATCGCTCAAACTTGAACAAAGAGGAAATAGCCGGGTTCCTTAAACTGGTTGAACCATCTCAAAGGAGCAGGAGAATGACAGTATTTTTTTTTGTTATTGTGAAGAACTGCCACTATGTTGTGGCATAAATTGCAGTGTCTCAGGGGTGTTAAATGATTACACGGCAAACGGCCATCAAAAGCCAAGGACGAGACAGCTTCTTTTGACCTGGTGTCCATAATGCTGCAGCCAAAACTGCGGTAGCCGGGGAGTATATAGTGACTATCTGTACAAAGTGTCTCATGAACTCCAGGCATGAAAATTATATGGCGCTTTGTGATCTTGTAAGAGCTAGATGTGCAGGGCCCATTACATATGTGCTATGTTTTTAGCTTTTGCATGTGACCAAGTTTGACCAATGGTCACCTGTCCAAAAGCCATGATATGATTGGTCTAATATTCTCTCATTGTACCTGCTGCCGATGCACTGAGTTCATAGATTGCTGTGGCAAATTTTGATGAGCCACTGACAGAATTGTGCTCAGCATAAAATAGATTTGCTTCGCAAATGCAGGTTACCAATGAAAATGTCATGTGACGTACATTGCTACGACTGGTACTTGCTCATAATTGCTAAGCATGTAAATATTCTAAGCAGTATTTCGGAGGTAACTTACTGTGTGGCCTTGGAATGTCTTGATAGGTCTGTCGCTGCCCAGCTTACACACGTGGATGCATTGGTCTGTTGAACAGGACGCAAAGCATACATTGGAACACCAGTCTACGTCCAACGCTGGAGCTGTGAGGAACAAAGAAATAACTGTGTTTGATGACCACATTTAATAAATTCATTGAGGAACTTTTGGTATAAACAAACTGGTGTTTTTTTTCAGTCTATCTGGATGTGAAAGTGAAAGGAAGAGACACATCAGACGTATTGGGTATTTTGGGTTAATCTAATGACTACATGAGCATTTAAAGATATTTGAACTCGATTTAGAATGTGCTCAAATCTGCAGTCCAAGTTCAATATTATGTTTTAATGCATCTTCAGAACTTTATTAAAACAGGAACACCCAAAATTGATATGAAGTAATTTACATGAAGTTTGAACAAAGTCATGCTGTGTTTTTCTTTCTTTTTTCCTTCTATTTTTTGTGGTTCTTTTGTCTGACATGATTTTCCTTCAAATAGACAAGAAAAGCCTAAAGGACTGGGATACTACAAATGTCCCATTTAATGGTCTACCCAGACCCAAACAGCTAGATTCAGTGGGACAGGTTAGTGGTGCGCAAAATGCCATGAAAAACCAGACATAAACCCAGCAATAAAGTCCACTGTCATCACATCGGAGGAAGACCAAAACTACACCGCCCAAAAAAATGTTACATCAAGCTCCCAATCCTTATCTCAATTTTGATATCTCCCGGGAGATTCTGTGATCACAGGTGGACTCAATTATAAACGTGAGCCCCAGTCAAACAAGCGGCTGTTTGTGCAGACGTATCACATCTCGCCGGTAAAGTTACGAGGAAAGACGTAAAGGGAAGCACGTGGGCGTCTGGCAAGGTGCAACTAAATGTATCTTTAAAGGGCTAGGGCAGAATTCATGAACAGGTTTAGCAGAAAATTCTGCTAGGCATATTTTCTTGCTAAGCAAACAGCAGCGGGGAACCACTCACAACTGATATACATAGTATGCAATTTTGGCTGGTAACCTAGTTTTGCTGAGCTAGTATATTCTGCGTTTAGCATATTTCCTTGGTGAGCACCTCCATGAAATTTGTCACTGCAATTGCTCACTTTTTTCACATTCTTTGCTGATTTTTGCCAAACCCTGGCTGGATTGTTCAAGTGGGCTCTACCTTCCTCTGGGCTCTACCTTCCTCAATCCAACAAAATCCTTCAAACTCCAGGAAGATATTAAAGGATCTTGGACGGTAAGTTTTAAAAGGGTAAGTCTGCATTTTTTTCCTCTATCAGTTAATACAGAAGAGGAATGGCTGAACAGCCAAAGTGACCTTTTCTTGTGCTCGATCAAAGAAGTGGGACGAGATGAAACCAGACAGGAGCCTGAAGACACATCACTCCCCAAAACCCCAAAAATACCTCGGATGGTAGGATAATGCGTATGAAACCCTCCTTCACAGCTATGAGGGGAAGTCTTAACGACAGATAAGACTGCCCCTGAAACCTAATCCCCCTAAATATGAGAAATGTAATCACTCAGCGGACAAACACACCTAGACTGGATGCTAGCCAAGTTCTTGGAGGAAAGTGAAGGAGGTTTATTAAGAACGGGAAGCTAGATTGCATCCTCGATTCAAGGTCTTGGCACGGCACTGAGGTATTACTTGCACATGACATTTAAATCTCGTAGAAAGCCCCGAATGTACATGCCCAATTAGAGTGTGTTAAATGCAACTTAGAGGTTTCTCAAAGTTGTGTGCCGAGTCCATGGCAGGTGGATTTTTGGAAGGAGGGATGGGAGGTTGGGATGGGGGCCAGGGAGAGGGGGGGGGGGAATGCCCTTAGTGTCAAATGAGGTGTAGCCCCTATGCCTGTCTCCTTTTCAAATGGACCACATCCGGCAGACCTTGGAGTTGAACCTCTTTTAATTTTTGCCAACCCCTCTCCCCCACTTCCCAAAAATTACATTCTAGATCCACCGGTGGGTGGTTTCCTCTGTGAGATGAAGCCGATTTTTTTTTCCAGGCAGACAGCAGACGGCGAAATGTGGACCCAGGTTTCCTGTCTGGTCTCTGATCAAGCACAACACCTCCGGCACCAACTGAAGATGTCAATGTTTGGGTTGGGCTCAACCACCAGAGAATTAGAACTTGTCGGCTTACACCGAGAAGGATTCCTTGTTTTTTTTGCAGCAATTAGGAAAAGGGGCTGGGGGTTCTGTGCATGTACTGAGGATCAATCATTCAATGCAATTATTGAAATCAGAAGTGAAATATAAATTTTACAAGTTTGCAGGGACTTCATAAGATTTTAGAAAGATCTAAAGAGGTTTTCATGTGTTTACAATTGCCCTTCAGAGTCATGCCAAAAGAATTTGTCCTGACTAAAACTGTGAGGAGCTAGCGCACATGCAAATCATCAAAAGATCGACTGTTGCATTCGTTCAGAACGACACCAGTCTAGTCAATTCTAAAATTAATACCAGGAAGTTTGCCTGTCTGAAACCAAAATCCGTTTGCGTCAACTACAGTCGCTCCTCATACTTTTGGGTTCAGCGTTACTTCCAAATATTAGTCTCTAATGGGTTTTTAAGAGCAAGCTTGGGAGCGAACTATAGTTGACCATAGTTCGACTAACTTGGCTCGAGCAATGGATAGTTGGGCTAGTCTAGTCAGCTACTTGGAACCGGTTGCATTGCTTGTTACCAAAGGCCGTGCCCATCATAATGCTTAACACGATCACGAACTTGTTGATGGCATTTTTACCAGTGTTTGACTAGAGGCATTTATAGTACGCAGGCTTAAGTTACATGATGAATTGACCACTGGTCGACTACTGCTCCTCACCCACACATGCTCCTAGTCACACAAACCTGAATGGAAGGGGAACTGCTGTTTACACTCTCCCGACTGCGCGTCCCAGATGATCGTTGTCTTGTCCACACCAGCACTCAGGATGTAGTTGCCCTTCTTGTTCCATTTCAGTGCAAAGATGGGTCCCTTGTGCTGCCCTAACGTACTGACTAACCGGCCGTCTGTCGACCATATTCTGGCGTAGCCGTCGTAGGAACCCGTCGCTAATAAGGTACCATCGCACTGTTACAATAGCAAATTGGAGGCATTTATGGAGTTGCTTTGCCAGGCTAACTACTTAGCACGGAAAATACTACTTAGCAAAAAAAAAAGTTATCAGCAGCTATTTCATGCAAAATACTGAATGTGACTGTTCTCTGCTGATCTAGGCAGTACAAATATCGCTAGGTAATTTTTTAAATAGTTAACAGTTTCTTTTTTGAAAGTGATGAAATCTAAATGGCGACATTTCTTGAAAAATTTTTTTTTTTAATTGTCTCATAGGCATCAGTCATAACACATACAGGCTGACAAAGAACCAATTTGTTTCACAAGGCATAGACACATTCTGTGTTAAAAGGTCAATTTCAAATTCCGGTCTTTGGCCAAGATCTTGGAAAAGTAAGAAGACGCATTAACTTGACCTTTGGGTGGAGGGGGCAAGGCAGTTAGGAAGATCCTAAGACTTACATTCCAGTCTAATGAGGTGACGTCTTTGTTACTAGGCACGTCTTGGCCGCCTTCTCGAATACAATGTCGTAGTACTAATTGATGTGGACTATTATTGTTCTCACTCAGGTTCCATATCCTCGCTGTCGAGTCTCCAGAACTGTAAACGGAAGGGAAAAGAAACAACAACATTAAATTTCAATTAAATTTGACAAGCAAATCGCTACATTTTTCAAGACCATAATTTGACATGAGATATGAATTAGTCTAGTTAGTTGATTTTTTTTTCAGGCCTGACATTACTTTGTAGTATTGCAGTGCACTTTATTCTTGATTTCAGTATAGATACACAAGTACAAAGCATCTGTTGTTCCTTTTGGAACATGATGACTCATAAAACTAGAATGATTGTATAAAGCCCGGTTCATACTCCACGCGAAAAACGAAAGCGAAGCGAAATTCGTGACGTCAACAATACGTTCGAGGCACGTCAACCATTGTTGCCGACATGAATTTCACTTCGCACTTGCTTTCGCGTGAAGTATGAACCGGGCTTAATACAGAACATAGTAAACCTACTGTAATGCACATCAAGACATTTCAAATACACAAGTAGTACATGTATGCCTGACATCATCATGATATGCCAAAATAAATTGGAGTTTTCTTTACAAATCTGTGTTAGGGTTTGGTGTACACCGTAATACCTCAAAATAAACATCAAGGTCAAAGCACTTTTTAATATTGTCGTCAAAAAAGGGCCTGACTCACCAATGTTTTCACACTAAACAATTCAACTCGGGATCAATCACGATAACATCAATCTTTCACTTTCAGTTCTTTCTACCATTACAGTTTAAGATTTCCTTTCCTTTTCTAATTGTGGAGCCCTCCATTTCACTGGGTTTTTTTAAAATTATTCCCATGTTTTATGTTTTTTATTGACAAAATTGATAAGCCAGTTCCTGTTTTGATGTTTTGGCAATGACATGGAAATCAGGTCAAAAGGTTTAATGTAACCACCCTCACTTGCAAAAGATCGGAATAACACGCACTGTAAGACACTTGTTTCTCATTTTGACAGTTTCTTGCTAATCCCCAAATCCTTCCTGTGGATGGAGCTGACTTCAAGAAAACATCTAACCCCCAAGGACTCAGCCCCGAGTACTTCATCCCAGGCCCAGGGCTTGTTTACTGATTTGGCAATTTTGTTCAGCCCAAGGAAACAACCAATATCCATCGGATATGTGCATTTGATATGAATTCAAGCCTTCAGCTTGTATTACTGATGGCTCCACTTCATTTTTTTTCCTTTTCTAACTATCGGGAAAAGAGATACAGCCAATATAGTCCATATATATTTTTTTAAGGCAAAACACGCTGAAATAACCCAGAACATTCATAACTTTTTGTCATGTGTACTATTGCCATCCAAGAACATCAACTTGTTGGCTGTTGTGGTTAACCACGAGATCCAATTCAAGATCTTTCACTGCTTCTCTTGGAAATTGAATTAGCCAAGAATATCAACCCTGGCCTGCTGTGCATTTCTGTTAGAATTTGGCTGAATTGTCAAACATCTGAGACTGTGCAGTAACCCTAACTCTCTACAGGTGTGAAGAATTGTACTAAAATTGGCCGATTCAGGCCTGGAAAGGTTCCAGGGCCTGAAATGAAGCCAAAGTCTGAACAAGGTCGAGGTTTAAGAAATGACCAGTGTCTCAACCAGACGCTAAAATATTGCTACATGGATTCCATCAGCATTTCATTTTGACATTTAGAAGCCTGGAAACGGCTACAGGTCCCCATGGATACAAAGTCAGAGTCGAGTTTGAGAGATGGCCAGTGTCTTGGGGTGCTTGACTCACCCTGATGCTAAGAGGTCGTTACATGGATTCCAGGCACAGATAAAGACCTCTGACTCATGACCCCTGAGTACGGTGGCTTTGCTGGCGGGGATCTCCACGCCCCCGTCCAGTTCCATCGTTTCTGTGTGATTAGCTGTAAAGGCGAATGAAACAAAATCAAGATAAGAATCAAAAGACCGACAATATTAAGGTTATCTGTCAGCAGCACAAGATTATAATTGTGTATAAGACAAAATTCTCCTAACGCAGAAAATATTTCAATTTTTGTTTTAATTAAATACAAATATTTATTTACCCAAAGTTTTGCCCTGAGTTTTTAAGACAGAATTGATGTACTGTCAAGTTTAGAGTGTAAATTTCTATTTGATTTCTTGCAAGTAATTTTGACACCTTTCACATGACAGAGGTAAATAACAAGGCATACATTACTTGTAAAATATAATAGTTGGAGTTGCTCTGTCCAATATATTTTTACCGTTTCATCATTTTGAAACACTTTCTATGCAATGACAACCCTTCCATCAATACAATTATACTGTCTCCAGCAATCAAATATTTTTTCAGTGTGAGGTTTTTCCCCTAGAGAAGATTTCATGAATTCACAAAGACTTTTCAAAGGTCAAATCTTGCAATCAAATGAATTTTGATGACCACTCATGAAAATTCATCACCTCAAATGAAGGCTCCTCATTCAAGAGTCAGACTTTAAAACAACAAAGTGTTGCCAAGTGCAGACCTTTTTTGCAAAATTTTATAACAATTTTAGGGTTTCATAAGTTAATACCACGGTTCCACTCAACAATTTAAGGGCTCATATGCAATCTACTGAAAATTTAAGGTTTCTGAGGGATTTGTCAAACAGAGTTCAAAGTCTACATGTCCATATTGTCATTCAACATTACAAGGCATGCAACGAGGACGGTGAGTCACTCTTTGCAGGTGTGTGGTTTTTGCCTTCAGGGGAACCATGCTGGGTTGAATGGTATTGCAATTAGGTCAAGGTATGGTACCACATGACCACATTAAAGCCACAGGCAAGCAGGGTCACACAGAGCACCTGCAGATCAGGGCCCAATTTCATGGCTTCGCTTCCCATGAGCCAAGAATCCCTGCTAACAGGGTTTGCATACTGGATAGAATTTCTGGGCTAGCACTGTAAGCACAGACTGGTGACCATAAGCACAGAATTTCAGGGTAAGCATGAAATTTGGCCCCGGATTTGGAGCCAGACTAGACAAGAGCAGTAAAAAAAATCAAGGGACAATTAAGTGGTGCTGCTTAACAGTTAGCACAAAAGTTGTGCTAACTGTAGCAAAAAAATGTGTTAATCTATCTTAAGTGCTATTTCATGGCATGGATGCGTTAACAGTTCAACAGGCATGGATTTAAGCAGCTTTTTCTCTGAAGTACCCGTGCCTTTTGCAGCGCTTACTGCTCATGGTCTCCATGAAAATGAAGGAGGCTCTGTTAACAGAAATCGTGTGCTTAGCAGCGCCATAAAATAGGACTCAGGACAAATAGAATTAAAGTGAAGAGCACAAAACATTTCTCCACAAACCCATGTGCCAGACAAATATAGTTTAGAACCAGTCACGACAAAATAAACTGCATGACCTTTTGGCCGGTACAAACCAGCCTAAACCAAACTTTTCTGGGTTCTCAGCAACTCCATAAAATCGACCCCTGGACTTTTCCCACATCCCTGGCTGTGAGACTTAGTCAGATGCACATAGGGAGGTGCATAGAGTATAAGACGTAATAAAGACCAGGCCTTGCCTCAGACAAGGTGAAAGTTTCGGTGCAGACAATAAAGGAATATGGCAGAATTAGCTTGATCTGTTTGGGTGCCTCAACCGTAAAGACGCGCCAACATTTTCCCCACTATGCCCAACAGGATCACTGCGACTTTTTAAAACGAGACTTTTCCTTCCTCTCCTGAAATCAAAAAGGTCCCACAAATGCATGCTTTTGCACGGAAAATATTGGCTAAGAAAAAACAGGTAACCGGCCAAAATCTCATGCCATATATGCTGCTGTTGACTAATTTTTTTCTAAGCACAAACATTTGCTGAGCTATATTTTTTGCTAAGTAGAGGCATAAAATTAGCTCCTGGTCTTTCTAGTCTACTCACTACCCACCTTGTAATGAGTTGAGTGCGACATCGTCCCCGTTCGCATTGGCCCCGTCCACCTTGCTGGTGTTGTTGGTGTTAGCCGCTGCTTGCCTCGTCAGCTCGCTCTTCCGCGACGAGATGACATCTGGCATGACGGCGTCAATCAGCGATAACGAGTCAAAGCCGTTGTCCAAGACCGAGCCATCCTGGAGAGAATCAAGAGTTTAACGAGGATTGTGATGATCATGACACGATGTTGTTGACTGACAGAACATTCTGACCTAGTTAAGACTCTCCGACGCTCTTGGTACCCAGGAAATCCCTGGTTGTGCCATAAGCCTTAAGATCCCAGGATATCAAGGTTTATAGGGAAACGCTTAAGGCATACGAGATTACAAGACCTTGATCTCATAACAAGAATAAAATTGAAAGAACTAGCCCTAAACCTTCCAAGGTTATTTGCTGATGAAACATTCTTAAATCCTCCAAAATCCTCCACTTTGCAGAAACCAAATGGCACAATTGACATTTAATTAACCCTAACTCCCTAGGCATTTTTGCTAGGATGTAGCCTCAATCCTGCAAAATCCTCCAATTGGCCTCATGGAAAAATAGCATGTAGCCTCAATCCTGCAAATTCCTCCGTTTTTCTTGAATATGGTCCATGGAGGGGTGACTACTGCCTGAATCCTGCAAAATCCTCCGGCTATAACGGTCAATAGGCTGAGGCAGAGGCAGTGACATCCTGGAGCAGTGCGGAGGATTTCAAGTATAATCAAGGACTAAATTTATGCACGGCTGAGCATAAACAACACAAGGTCCGGCCCAAGACCTTGACACAGTGCGTACTCCGAAATCAGCAATGCACTTTTGCCATGTAACCTCAATCCTGCAAATTCCTCCAATTTGCAAAAAGGATTTTGGAGGATTCAGGGTGGTTAGGGTTAAGGGGCCTCAATCCCCATGTACATAAATACAGGCTGATCTTGGAAAACTCCTTCAGAAAATATTAGGTAATTTTTGTAGGAGGAACTGGAAAGGCTCTGGTTAATGAGGATAACACAAGAATATCTGTCAACATTCAGTTTTATATTGTCTGTTGAAAGAAACGAGCAATTAGCACAGCTTTTCTACTGATAATTCTTTGCATTTTGAAATTTTACATTTGTGCTGGCTTTGCCTATTTTTTTTCAGGCTTTGGTCTTGTTATACTAAAAAGTATGAACAAGATTTACTATTGAGTAAATTTATAAGCAAACACTCCCATTCACCAGAAAATTGAAGGTCGCATAATAATCAGGTGATCTATGACTAGCCAGCGCATGAATGGAGGGTAAACTAGCCTGTTATGACAAAAGCCTCTCTTGACCTTTGTGTTCCCAACCGTCTGATTTTTAATTCAAAAGAAATTCTGAAATGATTTTACAATTTTTAACAAAGAAATATAAAAACTGCATGCCCCCAAACCAAGGTTTTTGCTCTGCAAAAAAAAAGTTGATAGATGGCATGATTTTATAAAATTTTATGGAATTAGATGTATGGATTTCAGTAATGGGTGTATTGCAAAGTTTGTTGGGCTACATGTAGCTTGTATGCATTTTTATTTCATACAGTGGACACAACTTTTTGTACAGTCATCTGTGGCATTTTCATAACAAAGACTTCAAATAGCTCTGCATTTTTCCATGTAAATCAAAGGAAAATTGGTCACTGTTCTTGCTATTATATCACAAGTTCAAAAGAACAAAGTGAAACCTCCAAATCAATTTCCTGACAAATACAATGTAACACTTGTCAGGAATATTTTTTCCTGCGTAATAAAGAATATGTGGGACAAAAAAGAACAAATTCTGGCATCCCTGGGAAAAAACCAGGAACTGAAAATCCATTTTCATTTTAATGTGTGATTCATGCTCCCTGGCACTTTGACTCATGTTGGAGTCCAGACCAATCACAAGAATGAATCCACACTGAGTCAATTTCCTTTTTCAAGAAAGAAAAAAAAATTAAAGTTTTTTTTTTCCAAGGGGTGGGTATGTCTCGGCAGATTTCCTACACATCGCGTGCACACTAGATGTCGTAACTTCTGTTCCAGACAGCGAAAGCATGGCCTGATTTCTTTGTCTGAATTTTGGAACACCACAACCCTTAGGTATGAATGTAGCAACAAAAAGGGCCACAGGTTTTGGGTTGTTTGGCTCTGAATTGTTGCAGAATTCATGTTTTGAACAGAGTTCAGTATTGTTGGACAAAAACCCTGTAATGTGTGCACAAAGAGGTAAATAACATATCTGAAACCTTTTTTCAATTTCCAGCACACAGCTTTGGGCAGTTTTGTTTATTTAACCAACTAACCTCAAAACCACCCAAAACACCCTGCCTTTTACTCCCTGTACTGCCCCAAACCGCCCCAAGCAATGTTTGCTTTTATGAATTCATCAGGAAATAAATACAGGGTATCACAATGTAGTACAACTCTGAATAGGTTCAATATTGTGGCAAAATTAATGACAGATATTTTTTCCTCTGGTTTCAATGATCACTCACTCCATGACACCATGATGAAGCAAAAAACAGATTTTCTAACACAGTTTTATGGACGAAATGGAATTTATAATTTTCTGAAATGGGAAACAAATATTTTTCAAACAAACCTAAGTTCCTTACGTACCTCGTTGATGCTGATTTCTGCCTCCACATACTGGAGGCCCTTCTGTATGATGGAGATGAGTGCTGCTGGGGGCACCAAGGCCCCATTGATGTTGGACTGACTGATGTGGCTCTCTATGCCAAAAGTGAACGCCGAGTGGGAAAAACCTGCATGGTTACAAAAATGGGGTACATGAATGATGAAAATTCACTCAAAATTGGCACAAAACATCAAAAAAAAAATTATATAGGACGAAAACTACAATTGCCAGTGAGAAAAATAACTCAACATTGCAATAAAAAAGTTTCAAACTTTTTATATATATTTAATATTTTATATTCAGCATGACGTTTCCACACTGCACACTGTCTATACAGTAGCCAATTTGCAACCCCCAAAAACAAACACAAACCTCAAATTTATTATAATTTTAAAAAATTCAATAGCATTTGAAGACGAGCATTTAATGTGGTCTTCATACGTTGGTGAAAGGCAAAACCCAACATTATGTTTGTAAAATTGTTAGCTCATTTAATTCAGACGAGTTCTATTTATTGCAATTCATTTTGCAGTGAAATTAGACATCATAATGATCTTTGGAATTCAAACTATTGCATTTATTTACAAGGTTCCCTTAAACTGTAATTCCATTTCCATGACAAAAGTGAAGCTTTCCATGACAATTTCTTTTTGGAACATCAACTTTCAGTGTCTCCTTGTAAACAACAAAATTCCACGACTTTTCCATGACTTTCCATGATAGCTTATATTTTCCAGGATTTTTCGGTGACAGTGAGATCCCTATATTTACCTGATTCTTGGAGATACCTATACACCAAGAAGTTGACTTCATCACTACTGATGCTCATGGTGGCCGGGGAAACATCAAGCAATGGAGATCAACTCATCAACATGGGCACCTGTGCATATCAACAAAAACATGCATATATATATTTTTTTTTAATGTGAATAACTCATCAATAAAGGAACATGTATGTAAAAAGTTTAGTGGTGGGACTAAAATCCAGATTTTTTTTTACTTCGTTTTGAATTCCGCTATTTGGTTTGGATTTTTGGAAACCGGATATTCAAAAATTCAAACCAACCTTAAAAAAAATTAGGCCTTCCTTTTTTGTGACACAAGCTAAAGAAAACAACAGGAACATCCCCCAATTTGCTCCTTGATCTCCGATTGTAATTTGCATATTTATACCAGCCAGCGGTCACCATCTCCTCGGTTCATGACTAGCCTGCCCATTTGTCTGACCAGAGAGTTCCTACCCATTTTGAAAGATTACAGCTCTAAAGTGTTTTTTTTTAAATGTTGAAAAGACATGAATCTGGGACTGAGAAACATTTCCAATTTTGTTAGGAAATAGGCCTACTTAGAAAACATTCTTGACTCTCCATAATCTCGTAGACTGAAGTGGAGTCTTGATAGTGCTTCATTCTTTCCAGCACCTGCACCACAAGGACCTTAGGCTTTAGGTATTAACCGTCATTCAATGTGAGCAGTAAAAAGTCACATGAAAAATATGTTCCTCGTAATGAATAATGAAAAGAAATAGGCTACAAATGTTTTCTGACGCTTAACGTTTAGGTTATCCATAAGTAGCCCCCCCCCCCATGCTGTTACCTGGGTCAACATTGGTCAAGTGACCCTTTGGTTTGAAAAGTATACTGGGGAAGTGGAAGGAAACTTTGACCATTTGTGACCTTTATTTAACAACAGGAAAAGTGACAAAATGCTGCCATGCTGGGTTGCCATGTTGCAGGGTATTTATTTAGGTCTATGTGCAGATTTTTTTTACAGGGCAATGCGGTCACATTTCGAGCACCTTGGTGAGACTAACGTCTTCTCACATATCCAGGCATTTGCCAGGTCACATGGGGGCGACGTGCTGACTTGACACACAACTCACGAGATCAATTCATGCCTTTCATGGATCAATTCATGGATTATAACTCATGAACAAAATTCCATCTAATGAATAAATTATGAACATGTTCAAATGCTGCATTCTTGCAGTTGGAATGAAGTCACGAAGGGGTAAGCCTCTCGCAGTCTCGATAGCAACATGCATTAAACCTCAAATGTTCCCCTTCGCGGCAACTGCATAAACTATGCGAAGATAATCGAGGTTCCTGGATGTCCGACCACAAGAATTTATAATTATGTTGTAAAATTGTCATGATTGTAGCTAATTTATAAATAATGTCTGCCTAATTTTTATCATAAAACTTAAACAGACACAGGCCTAGGGCCCTAGGCCTACACAAGACAAGCACAATGATTTCAATATTCGACAATAACATTCATTCCAAACATTTGGCCAACCCATTTCACCCATTCCCAACGACGCGTGATATAAACACCCGCTACATGTACAGTGTACATGGTTATGTACATGTACATGTACAGTACGTGCATAGCATAGGCACACACCATGCACACGGTATTCATGCATCGCGCGAACGTTCTTACCTTTTTGGGTCCGACAGCGTAATAATTTCCGATCTGCTTGGGCTAACGTTGAATTATAACTCGATGAACCGTCCCAAGAAAGATCCAATCAAGACAATTTTTATACCAATAACATCTTGGATATATACTCCATCGATTAACGAGGTATACCGGTCGCACTTTTCGCCGTTTTGACGAATTTTCAAGCGATTTTTAGACGCATAATACATCAGAATTTCGAAAAGCTGAACCAAGATGGCGCCACGGACGGAGTACGCCTTTGCGTTCAGAATCGTTGGCGAACTACATTTTAAATTTCGTTAAATTCGCAATTGTATCGTACATTATCATTATAATATAAACTGGTTAATCAAAATAATTAAACGACTGATTTACTGCGTTAATATATGGAAAGAAAATATGTAAAAACAATGACTATGTTTATTTAGAAATGTGCGGAGGGATATCTACAGTATTCAGAGAAGGATGCAGATCACGTGACAAGAAACTCACCTAATTGATTGCATAGAGGGCGCACGTTAAGCGCAAAGTAGCATCGAAAAAAGATGATCGGCGACCTGAACTTGAAAAAAGTATAGGCCCCCAAAAAACAGACCATGTATTGGACTGGGGATAAGGACCGGTCGCGAGTGGGTGGGGGTTAAAATTTGAGGGTGCGTCATCATCTAAAATGTACTGGAAACTAGATAGACCCTATGGATAGACATGTTGGCGTCTGTACTACTTCATTGTTGCAGTGCATGCAGTGTCTGCAGTTTGCTAGTGCGGTTCACTTCGAGTCGCAATCGGCCGGTACGGTGGGGGCCGGAGGTGTCAATAATTATTTGTCTATGGTTTATATTTACGTCCATTTTGATGAATTATGCGATGCAGCATGCTAGTATCTTATTAGCGGTATGGCCATCTGATTGGTATAGGAACTAACGGAAGCAACGCGCGGCTTTCCCCATTTTGCACCCCCATCCACTAAAAAAAAAACCCCAGAACTTAGGCCTAGTGATTGGTATTCATCTTCGCCAGTAATGGTCAGTGTGTGTTTTACTGTTGGCTATAGTAACTAATAAATTCGGTTTTCCTTTCAAAAAGACCGTTCTGACAATCAACACAATACAGTGAGCCCCATTTTGACATCTGTGGTACCGTGGTAAGGTAAGGAAAGTCCACTCCATGATCCCGTGCGATGGCGCCGGGCCAACTTGAACACGGCCGGTCCAGAGACGGGTGCGGCATGCGTGCGTATGCAGTCCTCTACGCACCGTTTCCAATTATAGTAACACATGACATTTCATAAAATTCGTTAGTCGTCTTTTTGTTGATGAATCAAGATATTTTAAGAATAGTTGGCTGCTTCAAAGTTATCAGTCATCATGTATTAGATTGTTGCGTGAGAAGACAACATTGGGTTTCCGGTGATTAGGCGGGTTGACCAAGTCAATGATAATTGATAACCACGGAAAACGATTGTTTTAAAGAAGATAACTTCAAAAACAAAACGTACTGATTTCCCTCAAGTTTTATTTCACGAAATGCTTTTAGTTAGCAGGTAGTTTCTTCAAATCTAAATACGATCCTTATGATGAACCAGTCGTAGATTGTACGTATAATTTCGTTACCAGTGTAGGCCTATGCTTTAAAAAATGTCTTTGAAAATGGAGCATGATGACGTTAAAGTTGGATTTAAATATTGTAATAAAATTCGGTGTTTTTTTTTACTTTGATGTCAAATTTCTAAGAAATGAAGTTCAATAGGTCGGGTATTCGTCTTTCTGTTCCTAGGACTTCACTATGTCGCACCAGACGATCATTTGTTCCTAATGCTATTTACATGTTCACCGACAATGCAAGCAGGGTCTAACTAAGGGTTGTTAGCATTTTTTACCATGGTCTCGTAATGTATTTTTCGCACTCTTGGAATGGATTGGTCGGGGCAGCGTTGATTGGTCACGGGGGGCTACGGGGTAGGAAGGCTGGGTGTTCTTTTCTCTCTGTATCCTTCCAGCCTGATGTTGTCTATGATGTTGTACCATGTGACCGGTTGGCGTTGTTTTGGCTGGTGCATTTTTTTAGTGTGCGGGTCTTTTGTTGCTTTGTATTTCAAACTTGTCTAATTTTGTAATTTATATAGTTTTTATATTGACTGTGTGTACCTGTATTTGGCCAGTGGATGTCAAATTTCTATGTTTTTTAACGTGGACAATAAATATATTGATTGATTGATTGATTGATTTGACGGCTGTTTCCTGTACTTTGGTGAGCACAATTAGACGGATTTATGTTGTACCCCTGCGGCAAATAAACCGCGTGACGACCAGGGTCCCTACAATTGGTGACAACTGTGGAAAACCAACTTCTATCATGACCCCCTCCCTTTTTTTATCTTCCATTACCCAATGGGACGATATCTTAGTGGTTTTAAGTCAAATATTATACTTTTGATTTTGACCCTTGTGGGAAATATTGATGGTGTCCACAAACGCGCGCGCTTATTACTCACTCACGCAAGATGTATCTGCAGTGTCGTGATAGAAAAGGTCTCCGAACCGTGGTGGGGGAGGGGGGAGACGACTACTCATGGACTTAGTAACTTCACTTATTCCAGATGTTTCAGACCATGAAAGTGTTTTTGAATTACTGTAATGCGATCTGACAATTGTGATGTTGATGAGAGATGTTAACACTTTCGATGCCATGTAGCTGGAATCTTACTTTATAGGCATTATTCTTGACTTTCAATGGCATGACTGTAAGACTTACATAAGGCATGTACCTTAATTCCTTTCCCCTCAGGTTTTAGAGGTGAAAAAAACTTCTTTTTTTAAGCCCGTCAGCCTCAGTATACTTAGGCCTACCCATATTTACCCGAACCAATTACCGCCCTCCTATTTGGTGTCCGCCATTCATTATATCGAAAAGAGTTCCAATTCCAGAAAATAGGCTTTCGAGCACCTCCGTGCAAATTGAACCATATTATTCACACTGTTCAAAAATAGTGTTCATATTTTATCTAAAGTCTAGCTGAAATATTAATAGTGGGGCGGGAAAATGTTGGCATTACAAAGGCCAAGATGTTGGACAACCGAGGCAATAGTAGACCATTAGGCCACAAAAAAAAACGTCTCCGGTTTCTGGTATGCGCGCGCGTCGCCGTAGCCATGCGCGTCGGCAAAATGAAAACGTTTTTTTTTCAATAAAAGATGATGTCTAAAAACCGCCAAACTCACTGGTTTGACTGGAATCCTGCTGCTGCACAATTTTAACGTGTTTTTAGATGGGGTTATGATCGAGAATAAGCTTTATGTGGCCTCTCCGGACTCCCATATACATTGTATTTGCACTAAGTTTAGTCGGGCACCATTTGCGGTCATCAGCCGACATTTGAAGCAAAAAAGTCAGGTAAAAAAAAAAAGCCGCGTCGCCGCACCACTTTTTGGGCAAGCTCCATACCAGAAACCGGAGACTTTTTTTTTTGCCTTATCATGTTGCAGCCATTTTGATTTGTTCCCATTCAAATCACTACCAAAACAAGGCTGGACGGAAAAAAATAGCCTGGTTCCTTTTTGCACAAACACATTATCGGATATAGGTAACATGACTGAAATGGTGGCAGCATGATACTATTAGACAATGTGGTGGCTCTACGGGGCTCCCCCCTTCCCCTCTTTGGCCGCAAAAATAGGACAAATTGTGGATAAAAACACAGCAAATGCATGCCTGCTAAACCCCTTGTTGGAAGCTACCCCCCCCCCCCCCCCCTTGATCTAAAGATCCACCCCTCACACGGCCCAATGTTCGCACTTCTACCCTGCAAGTTTTTCTCTATAGCTAGGCTCACTTTGGGCACAGCTCCAAAAGGCCAGGTTCTGACGATAATGTGGGCGGGGCCTGGCTCTGCCTTCCAGTAAAACACCACCTCACACTCGTCTCGTGAAGGAAAGTGTCAATTATCAACGCTTCCCGATGCTGGAAAGACGCACTTCTTGTTGCACAGAAGGTAATTACAATTGATGCAGCTATCATTATAAAACCGACATCCGAGGTTGACGTACGTACATCGAGACTCCCTTCAATTTAAAATGACTTATGTTTTGTGCTTGAAAGGCGCAGCCCTGCATGGTCCTAATCTGGTTCACGGAGAAACACATTCTTGAGCTTAAAAAAATCGTTTGCATCATGAATGGCTATGGACTGGAGTGAACCAAAAAGGCGACACCGTTGACCTATTAAGATTCTGAAAAAATAAAAAATCAGCAGGCATCCTGACATTCTAAGCTTCGATTCGTGACGTCATTCTTTTTTTCCCCGTGACGTCATAACAGTGAAGCTTAACCCGAATATAGGGCTGCCAAGACCAAGACCCATAGCAGACGATACGTTTTCGTCGTACGATATTCAACAAAACTAAATTAAAGGTTTGTCCCCACTGGTACATTGTTGGATGAAGTGGGCACTTAGCGAGGGACGTTTTGGATGGGCCACGTGATAGTTTTCGTTTTTTTACTGCATGGGTGCTCTAAGTTTGACTCGACTGGAGAATATTAAAAAAAAAATTAAAAAAGGAGCACAGCAACAAAGCGTATATATTTACATCAACAATGTTTTGTTTTATTTCAGTCACATACCAGCAAGAAAAATAGGACAATTTGTTTTCACAAATGTCTTCATTTTTTTAATTTCTCAAAAACTCAAGCTCTTTAACCAAGGTTGAATTGTTAATGAATTGTATACTATCCGATTACAAACGATAAGTATTCAGTTCAAAATAATAGGGTGGATCCAGGGCAGGAGATAAATATTTGCCGCTTTTCATTTTAAAACAACAAAAATTGTCTTGTACTCTGTCTTATTGAATAGAATGTGCCGCATTGTCCCGTCCTGGATACACCCTTTAAAGTTCAATATCTTAACTTTTTTTTTACAAAATTACAAAACAGAAAGTATATAACAGGTGAACTTATAATTTGTATTGAAGATATTTTACAAGATAAAGTAGAAATTTGAAATAAAACTGTAAAACATTTATTACAAAATTTATTCCAAATCATTGGAAGGTATTCGCTCAATTTTTTTTTTGGAATTTGACGAACAAAACATTAGTCAAAATTGGAGAAGTAAACGAAAACAAAGATCTAGATTGCGAATGTGTTCTGGCGTCCATCAGAGCAAGGGAAGACATTGCATACCGATTTCTCGTTAAGCTTTAGTTTTCTCACGATTGAAAATTATGTTAACATATGACAAATAAGTTGCAAGTTATGGGGTGTTTCTTCTGTTCG